AGATAAATAACTATAAGACAGTGATAATCGATGAATAGGCTCACCTCCACTCCACATATGTCCGCTCCATCAGAGGCCACAGCCCTATACACAGACGGATGATTAATATTAATTGAAAGGAAACACAGCAGTGAAAAGTCTGTGTCTGATTACCTCGAACATGCGTTTCAGCTTATCACCCTTTTCTCAGCCTCCAGTTCCTCTTTGAGCAGACATTGACCAGGCCATGGGCATACCACAGGCCCTATGTCATAACTGTGCACCGGGACAATAGCAGAGGTGTGCGGCGCTGCTGAGTGACAGGACTTTGATTCAGCTTCAGGGTTTGGAAGCACCTTGTAAAACGCAGCCCGTGGAGAGAGCGCTGTGAGAAGCTGAGAACTATATGTGCAAAGAGATGAAAGATAAAGTTATGATACTGTCTCATCCTCAGACAGGGAGAGGACAGAACAGGACCGTACATAGAACTCCAAAAGTGCCTGCAGGTCCAATTTATTCGATCAATTTAAATTATTTGAATATCATTGTTGTTATTTTGGGCAGCACTGTGTGTAGGTTTCCTCCGCGTGCTCCGTTTATCACAGAATGTATATAGATGGACAATGCTAACCCCCAGAGCACAATGAAGCCCAATAGGGAAGTGCTTATGGACTCAGTTTTCCTCCGTGACGCCCTCCTCTAGCCCGGTTACTGGGCTAGAGGAGGGCGTCACGGTGGCTGAGTGGATAGCACTCTCGCTTCCCAGCAAGAAGGTCCTAGGTTCAAATCCCAGTCGGAACAGGGCCCTTCTGAGTGGAGTTTGCATGTTCTCCCCGAGTCAGCGTAGGTTTTCTCCAATACTCTGGTTTCCCTGACCCCTACCACTAAAAACATGTACAATAGGTCTGGCATGCACCTCTTGTACCGGTGACCACGCTCCCATCTCTGTGTGGAGCGAGAGACAAATAAGGCCCAAAAAATAACAATTGTAAACCGCTTTCTGACTCTGGTCTGTGAAAGGCAGTATATAAATAAAGATTACTATTACTAACCATTTGTGTCACACTCACCATCGTGGGCTAAAAAATCTGTGTTTTAGCACTCTCTATGTTCCGGGCATTCACATTTTGATATTCCATCCATCCATTTTCTACCCTTACATCCATTTCTGGGTCAGGGGGGTGGCAGTCAGAGATGCCACCCAAGTCTCATAGCACCAGCCCCTCACTGACCCTCTGCAGGTGGTGAGTCCACAGGAGGACACATTTTGATATTGTCTTTGTAAATTCAGATATGAGCCATATAAGGATTGACCAATCAGATGCCTTCATTTACGGGGTAAACTCCAGCTTGCCTAAGCAACCATCTTAGTAACACATCTTTGGCAAACACATGGTAACATCAGCTCTAGGTTAGTTGACTCCTCAGTGAAGATACAATATAATAAAAAAAATAAAAAAAACAATACTAATCTGCTTGCACAAATGAAAAAAGTATAATATTTTCCTGTACCCTTTAGTACCTTTGGAGCTAATAAAAACACGGCTGTTCCAACCAGGTAACCGTCAATAACGGCCATTCGAGAAAGACAATATTTAAATCCATTTCCCCCAATTCTATAAATCCGCCACAAAGTCTTTGTAACATCTTTAGTATTCACATGCATGCATGTTTGGATTACCAAACCAGCCAATCAGCTTCAGTCAGAAGCATCACGCAGTAGCTGATATGGGTGTGCATGATTATGTTTTTAAATTAAAATAACAGAAATGTATAATATTGGTTGCAGTAAATTCTGTTTATATTATGAATGTGAAGATGATTAAATTGAGCATGAGTATTTAATATCAGCCACTGAAAAGTAACAGCTCTGTCCTACACAGAGCTGTTTGGCAGTACAAGGGGAAGACTATCTCTAATGAATGTTAATTAAAAGAGGGCACTAATGGAACCCAATGTCAGGCTGCAGATCCAGAACACATCAAGAGCAGAGTGAGGTGGATCATAAAAATATGACCCACTCTCTCAAAGGAGCCATAAATCTGTGATAAAAGGCTTTTACCGTGAATATTCACAACACAATTACAGCTCAAACCATAAAGCTCACGGAACTAAAGTGAATATTGATCAAAGTAGCATTAGGAATGTTACAGCGAAGGATCAACTGTTTAACATCAAAGTCAGTGACGTCACTGCAGAGTCTGGTATACACATTTTATGAATCCTCATTTTAGAGTTTTGCACTGTTATTATTATTATACCATGATAAGCAAGACATATTACAGCTCATATCTTTGGGTAACCAAACAGGCTCATATGGCCAAACAGGCGCTACGGCCTATACATGTTTAAGGCCATAGAGTTTAGAGATAAATTGTCATTTCAGACAAAGCAATAAACTAAAAACCAGAAATATTGTATTGAGAAATAGCAAAATGTACCTGAGATAGCAGGATAAAACCATAAAACTGTAAATGTGAAAAGTCAAAATGTTGGTGAATTCCTCTTATTTCAGTCAAATCAATCAGTTGTAGCTGGTGGTGTGCCGTGTGTTGGTTTTCAATGATAATTATGGGAACAATGATCTAAAGATTCTCAAACTGATTCAATTTGAATTTCACAGCTTGTTCAAGAATTTTGAAGATTGAAAAAAAAAAAAAAAATGTCATAATCATAAGGAGTATCAGTTTCAATACCAAAAGTCTCCCATGCTCTTGACTCAAGTAGTTGAAGGTGGCGACTCCTTGTGGTGAAAGAGATCATTACATCAGGCTAGCTTCACGCGTGCTGCAGTCCAGTGGGTCCATCCTGCAGATGCATAAATTAGAATACATATATGTGAAACATCTTTTCAAAACGAGATTAGTTTTTATCTAAACACGTAAATGTAACGTGGATTCAGCTATGACTGCAGAGTCCATTTGACACTGCGTTTTTAATACTTTTTATTTACTAATTTATTTCTGTACTTAGCGTGAACACAGGAACCTCAGGCCCGCACGATGGAGCTGTTCTACGCTGTTCGAAGTTCACGGAAAGATGGACCAAAATAAGGTATCACCATGGATCTATAATAATAAGGTATCACAACCCCACGTGGCTTTTGTTACATTTTCTAATACATTTATAAGCCTAGACAATTTAGCATTCGACCCAAACCATTGGAACGTGTAAAAAGACAGTTAGCTTGGTTATGGCTAGCTTTTTCTGACTGCTTTTACCTCCTCAGTGTGGGTTACATTTTGAGACACAATAAAGATTCACTTACCTGTTGTGCTTATAGCTGGGGTACTTAACTTTCAAATATCAACAAAAGAACATTGTAATACATCCATGCATATATCTAATATCTAACATCAAGTTCCTAGCTCTCAAAGCAAAGTATTGGCCCGATGGTCTCAGCCAATCAGCTCTCCGCCCTGAAGCGTCAATTAATGATTCACAGGGCTCTTTCTTATAAGGATAACTATAAGGATAAGAAAATGTTTGGATGAAGACAGCTTGTCGTGTTCTGGTTGGTTCACAATGTTGAACTTTTACAATTTATATTTTATGAAGAAAAACAGTTAGATTCTAGGTTTTGAGTTGCTATACAAATAAACTTGCCTTGTCTTGCTCATTTAAAATTAAGATTGAAAAAAATTGAGAAAATGGCACCCTTTGTCATCCAGATTGTTAGTGAACTGCATGTGAACGGTAACGACTTGGTTTTTGTCTTTTTGTTTTCATTTTTCATTCTGCGCATGTGAAAAGCAGCCGACAGGGGGCGCCAAAGGATCGCCACTCGACTGAACGGTATGAAAAGTTGCGCGTTTTTTAATAATTTGTTGGATTTGATGTTGACCTTATATTCATAATACTCTGAACATATTTACAGCGAATCATTGAATAGACGACGTAATGATCTCAAAGAATATCCAATTGAAGGCACAGTCAATAGTTTCCCGAGGTGCTCATTTGCTCTATAATGTATGTGATTATGTAGACTGCGCACTCTAATCTTACATTATGCCTTGAATTAGTCCTTAAGTGCAGATGTAGCAAGTAACCAAGAATTTTTACATAGGAAATGGTCTTTTTAGTTCTTTATCAGTACTTTTCGACCTAAGGATAGACTTCAATATACTTTTACCATACAGAGTTTAATTGTCGTAACTATAATTTAACCTAAGTCTATTGCTACCTTCGCTTATTTTCTGTATAAGTAAACCAAACATTCTCACAAGATGAATCTCATAATACACATAATTTTACAGCTGCATTTGGGTTGAGTTGTGAGCTGAAAGAAAACAAAATGAATTGTGTGACTGTGGGCAGAAGTGAGCAGGGAGAGAGAGGAGAGATGTTGGTTTGAGGTTTGTGAATGTGAACCAGGCGCGCAGAGGTCTCATGGATGTGCGCGGGGAGGGGGACGTCTGAGGATAAATGCGCTCTTTCACATCAGAAGGTGGCAAGACTTGGACTTTTAACACAGGGCTCATTTTTGCACAGTATTTTGGAAGCGAGGACTATAATGAGCAGCTCTTAATTAGAAACCTCGTATGGAAACTTTGATTAAAAACTTTTTCCTGTGATTTGAAGAAGGCTCAGGGGAAAACGCGCGCAAGGATCAGTCTGTTTGGGAAGGTGTTGCGCATTAGTGATGGTCTAATCACTGAAGGCTCGTTGGATGGGACAGGTGCTGAAATTTCACGGCCAATACGTGGGACATTAAGACGTCTTTTTTGCATTTATCTTCGGCCACGTTTGGATGTGAATTTTAAGCATCGTTGTCCTCAAAACTGCGCATAAAAACTGTCATAGTGTGTTGTTTTTCCCAACTGAAATCCGTGGAGAGGACAGAAGCCTTTTACACACAGGAGTCATGCTACTGTTGCACAGTTTGGACTGATTTTACGCATCTCTTGGGGATGGGAAAACTGAAGGAGCGTGTGTGAAGTGTGCGCCGCTCTCCTGCCAGCGAAGGCTAATGTAGATAAAGATAAAGAGGACCAAATATAGTACCGTTTTTGATTGTATAAATGGAGATGCGTAAATGGCTGTTGTGCCTGGAGTTCATCCTCCTTCTCAAAGGTAAGTTTATTTACCTTTTTTTTTTAACCATGACTTAAAACTTGCTACTGATGTGTTCTCGCTGACCATAACATGACCTCCCACGCTGATGTACAAGTGAAACATGTGGTAATTTAGGCTGGTATCTTAAAAAGTCAGTCAACGTGTGTGTGTGTGTGTGTGTGCGTGTGCGTGTGTGATGGTGCCACACGTGTCTCCTAACTCTCTTTAGCCCCGGGTCGTTATGCTGTATGACAGTAGCGGCAGCCCATGGAGACATTCCTAACATGGCTATGTGCTGGAGAACCCTGTAAAAACATATGGGCTCTTTCCATATGCCACAGCATCCAAAACCTACAGGGACTTGCTCTAAATGATAGTTTCAGGGCTGGAAAACGCATCAGTGGAGATGGAGGGGTTAGATGTTTGCAGCTCAAAGATTTCACTGCTATGCCAAAGGTTACTAGTTCAACTCCTGTTTTTAGCTGACACTCCATGGCAGCCGTGCAATCTGACCGCCTAAGCCATATCAGCCATTTCCATCTTGATGTCTATAAGCTCGCCCAGCTCGTTGTGCCATGTGGGTTCCTCTATGGAGCGTGAACTTCTCCCCTCTGTTTCTCATGTTCACTTTTGGTAGCGCAGCCTCAGACACCTCATCTAGCACTTTTGACCTCCCATTGGGATGCGGAATAAAAAGACTATTGTTGTCTACCTTCACTGTAGCATATGGGAGAGATAAGCAAGTGTGATTAGATGTTATTTTTGCATGGCATGTCTCCGGGCAGTAACTAAAATTAGTTTTGATTAAGTTGTTAGATCTTTTCCATCTTTGTGTGAGTTCTACTTTCATTCACATAAAACAGTTAGCACCAAATTGCACCACCCGTATAACACATGTAATTGGTGGTAGAGCATTTTTTACAATTGGCCTAATATATTCCAAAATATAACCTATAATTTGGACTGGGTATCAGCATAGAACCAGATTTAAGATTGGAACCATAAAAATGTTTTTGGCTATTTGTTTTCTGGGAGAGCACTGCAGTTTGGCCTTTCATCCGAGAATGATTTGTTGATTGGAATGGAAGATTTTCCTGTTATAATAATGTCAAAGTTGAATATGGCCACACACAAAAAAGAAAAACAAGTACTAGTCCTTTCAGAAAATATGCCCTGCCCATATACAAAAACATACACATAACAATTACTTTGACAAAAATTGAAACATTTGGAAATACCGTTGAAACATGTCAATTATATCAGAGTCTGTATAGGCTGCGTTCATGTGACATCACAACATTCCAAATAGCCTAAAGTTACATCATTGTGGAGGGCAGTTGAACATCTTTCCTTTTAACTATACTGAGAGTCAACATTTTACTCTTCATTTCTTTTTGATTCTGGGGCTGATCCACATGAAACAAACTGCCACACATATTGACATCTTCTATGTCTGGTATAATTATTTGAGGTGTCTAGAAGTGGTGACAATATAAAACACATTATGGGGGGAAATGGATTCCCTTCCATATAGTTGCATTGGAACCTGCTCTCCAACTGATATCAATAAATCAACCAATCTTTATTCGTAGAACTCTTTTCATGTAAAAAAAAAAATCAACCCAGTTCATAAACACTTTGACCCAACAGTCCAACAGACCCCAAACAGCAGAAATAGAATTCAAGATCACAAAGGCATCCTATTCACTGATAAAGAAAATGTAAATTCAAGGAAATAAGTTTAGTGCCATTTCTAGCTTTTGCTGGGTAATGGGAACTTCAAGAGGACAGAGAACCCACCAAGGAATCAAAATACAGTATAGTACACCTCAAGTGAAGCGTTTCTCACATTATCTTTGAGACGAGCATTGGGAGTGCAGTTTGATGTGTGTTTTGGATGCGTCACTGGAGTGTGGAGGTGAGCCCAGTGCGGGGTATGCGTGTAATGTTGATGTCTTAAACAGATGTCCAGTTCAAGTCTATTACACTTTTTGTTAGGCCTTAACAAAATGTTCAACGCAGGTGTGTGGATCCCGGCTCATTCATAAATCCTCCTGTTATTCTCAGAGCAAAGGTTTTTGTTTTTACTGCTTTCTTCTCATCATTTGCTGACTTGTACTTTTGCTACACCCCCGGCCTGTCCCCAGGAGAGGGTGACACATATGAGCACACAACAGCAGTGATAATGAAGAGACAAGCTGTGTTTAGAGTGAGAGAAGGTGAAGCAGAGAAGCCTGGGAGCGGATGACTTTCACAGAAGTTCCTGACTATGTTCTCTGGTACAAGACACAGGAGCTGCTTTTATAGCGGCGAGAATGTTCCTTAGCATGCATTGATAGAGATGCAATATTTACAGTATTGTCTATCCATCAATTAAGCATTCTGCAGGTTACCTTTCTCTTTCCATGGATAGTTCCATTGCTCAATTTATCCATTAATTATGTTCAGGGATTACATAGATGTATTCTGATTTGAAGGAAAACTAAAGCATGAAAAAAGTGCTTGAAAGAAGTTAGATTTATCTTTATTAGATTACTTAAAATGACAAGCAATGATACAAATGAGTCAAAGTGCACTCAACTAAAGGGAAATATTGCTCAATCTTTCACATTTGAAGTAGAGTCTGTTTAAAAATATTCTTGTATTTCTAAACGGAGGGTTTTAGAACAAATAAATTCAACGGAATATTTGTGATGTGGTGGCACTCAGAAGGCGATATCATTGGTGATATCAATTTTGTTGCAATAAATCTTGCAGCTCTACCTCTAAAATCTTTTAGATACGGTGGTATTTGGCAGGTAATAAGTTTGAGAACCACTCATTTTATCTTAAAGTGAGTCAAAATAGAGGCTCAAATGCCCACCGTTGCAAACCAGCTCCCTCAACATGCTGCTTTATGCACTATATGGAGTGGACTATATTAAAGACATGAAGAGACGTATCGTGCCTGCAAAGTTGAACATGTGGTCGGGTGAATCTAGACTCGGTTTTGCCTTGATAATGTTTACCTCCTGTTGTCATGGAGATGGTCTGCGGTATTCTGTCATGTACATAGGGCAAAAATGAACCCAGCGGTTGCAAATTGGGGAAATTGTACCGTTTGTTACAGTCAAGGGAGCGAGTGAATACCATTTTTTCTTCTTTTGGCAGGGGGCTTGTGGTAGGGTTTCAGCGTGTCTAACAGTGTGTACTTGGGGGGTGGTTGAGGGGGTAAAAAAGGGGTAATTTATGGTTTATGAGAGAATGAGCGAAACAGGAGGATGAAGGAGAAAATCAGTGGCAGAAGCGGTTATTGGAGACCCAGCTTGTTGTGGAAAGAGGTTAGGATTTGCAGAGGGCTGGTAACGCGCCACAAGAAAAGATGCAAACTTTTTACTGCACTGTGTCAGAGGGGAATTAAATGTTATAGCCAAATTTAAGATTAATTGGAGCTGTAAAAAGAAGTGCATGGCAGATTACAAGGCAATTTGGGTTTCTTTGAGTTATGGTATATATAAAGTGTGATTTTATCAATTTAAATACACATATTTAATTGTTAATGTCTTCAGATTCAACTAAGTATCACAAACTTAAGTGACTGAGCACAGAACATTTCCACCAGATAAGTTGAATCAAACGTTTATTGTTGTATTGTAGCTACAGACTACGGGCGGGGGAATCGTTTACTATAGGGATGTGTACCCAATAAGTCATTTCTATGAAGATGTTTTCCAGGGGCATGAAATTTTCTTTGGTCAAATGTAGAAAAAATCCCATATTCACTGACAGGATCTAAACAACTGTTCGATTAATCAAAAGAATAATCGCCAACCAATCGATTATCATATTCATTGTTTATTAACTACTGCCCGAATCTCTACAACAGTTGAAGATTAGCGTTGTAGCTCAAACTGACACATTTACAGACTCAAAACAAAAAGACTTTTGAAGGTGTTGATTGTTGATTCTGCTCTGAAATGCCTGGTTCTCAAGGGCATCACTTGAGCTTTGTAGAGTTTTACAATAGGTTTAAATAGCTAGAAAGGACGACGCTTATGGCAGGACAATGCTTGTCAGAATTTGTTTCTTGGACGGGAGTCAAAACATCTTTATGTAAAAAACTTGGTCCAGATATTTTTGAAACTTGGTCTGCGATCCTTGTAACACTAGTTTCACATGCCTATCATTCAGTTATTCCAATGTAAAGAATTCTATGGCAAATTTGGAACACTCCAATGATGTCTCTAAAGATTGTGGTGCCACCTACTTGTGAAAACCAGATTCGTTAGATCTCTAGGGCTAAGTCGTGGAGGGCCTGGTTAGTACTGTCATGGGAGACTTCTGGGAACACCAGAGGCCACAGTGAGGTGACTGAGGCTGTAAAGTTGTAAAGTCTTAATCATTAGGCAAGACATTTCAACTGCAGTGCCTAGAATGAGTCTGGTGTGTGCGTGAATGGTTGCTGATAATCAGAGAGGCCAATGGCACATACTGGTTGTCTCGCTCCTGTCTGTCAGTGTGCCCCAGGGCTGAATAATTACATTTGAAGCCTTTGAGTGTAAAAAAAAACATTGCTATATAAAACCAATACATTACTAGATGACACCGTTGGAACTGGCTTCCTTTACATTTGTCATAATTAAGCGTCGTATGACATCGTCTTGACATCCCCAATACCTCTTTGGTCACACACACAGACAGACACAGATGTTCCTTGCTTTTATAGATGCATAATTATAATTATTATAATAATAATGCATCAGTTTTATGTAGAGATTTTTTGGACACTCAAAGACGCTTCACATGTCGTTATTCTTTCACTCCATACACAGTGATGATATTGCCTTTTGCTTCAACTGGGTATTTTTTTAAGCATATTATATACATACTTTGGTTAAAAATGTCTGCAACTTCACATTCTTCTGTCAATCTATCAAATAATGTGGTTTGTTTTACTACTCCCTTATAATCAGACAGCTTCTTAGGTAGATGCTTAGTACATGGGATTCAGGATATGCTAATAATATCATAAAGTACAAGAAACTGTTGGAAATTATTGGCTAAATATGCAATTTTCAACATAAGAAACCATAAAACCATAGAGCTTGTCATTCTGATGGGGTCTTCATACCATCACCTCACATCTACAAACCAGTTTTTTGTAGGACAAAGCTGATCTCAAGATGTGATAGAGGCCAAAAGGTACATGTGAAATCTACTGAGAACCAAATTGTTTTGAGAGCAATTTTATAAATGTTTTGTTTTTCCTTTTATAAATAGGGTATAGGTTAAGGATGCTTTCTTACTGTTGCCATCATAATAATTTTTCAAACTGTGGTACAACTGTTCATGTGTTTTTTAATGTTTGCACCCAGACTTTGATGGGGGGGTTCAGCAGCAGCTCTGTCTGAACTCAAAACTCTCGCTCCAACAAATAGGCCACTGTACTATGTTTGTGCAATAACCATACAGTTTACAGTCACTTCCATCTCCCTCTAACTGTCTTTCCTCTGTGAGCGCGTGTCTGTATGAAGGCAGCCTGTGTGTCATTACAGGGGTCTTACTATTCACCATCGTTTTTCTAGCCCACACCCTGCTCCACTGCCCTCACTCTGCTCTGTTTGTCCACGTTACCTTCTCCCAGGGCCAAAGAGAACATTATCTTGCTCAGTGTTGTTGAGAATATGCTGAATCAGCTTGTGAAAGAGGACAGTATTCAAATTGCTATTGATACTAAAACTGTTGTGCTGAAACTTACTATCGATATTAAAAGAAAAATATAGCCTTCATTTGACAACAGCCCACATAGACCACATTTCAGAAATTACTATTATTTTCTTTTCTAGATGAATAAGAATACAAAAACAGAATGTTCAATCCTGCTTACACTCGCACTGTTTTCCCAGTGACTGTTTTTTGTCTATAAATGCTGCAGTATTTCCAGTAAAACAGAAACACAATATTTTGTAGCATGCAGACGCAAACATGCCACCCACGAGCAGACTTTTAACTTCACATCCATGAATTGACTTTTCTGAGTCTGGATTGAGGTTCACTGCCTGAAATGTTTCATAGTCTAGCATTATTACATTTATTTATGAATAAATGTATTCATGTTATTTGATTACTTCTCCGGTGATCAGAAACTTTTCCAGGTGGTGAAATGTTCTTTCCTCCATTAAGCATATTAAGATGTAATGTAAACCTTAAAATGTCTTCAAGCTGGGTGGGGTAACGAAAGTTTCAAACCACAACAATTAAAATGAGTCTAAAACAAGTTCCTCACTCTTTTTTTCATCCTATAGATGCGCTTTTTCAGATGGAGAAGTGAAAAAGAGAGGACTCACTTCTCAGCCCAAAGTGTCAAACAGAAACTCTTTTCTGTTTCTTCCAAGTCTTTCTAACATGAATGTATTATTCATGAAAAAAGATTGGGTATCCCAGTTTGAATTGGTCCCGGTTGTCAGAAGAGTTGTTGTTGTGGCAGTATGATGATGGTGGATTGTTTCTGTTGCTCAGGACATGACACAATGTCTCATGGTCCCAGAGTAAAGAAGTGATACTGGACTTCAGGTCCTGGTGCTGGAATCTTACAGTTGTTTTGCTGTTTGATTAGTTGGTATGGCTTTCTCAGGATAACATGAGTTTCATTTAAAAAACAGACATTTGTTGGATTTGAACAAGTCTACCCTGTTCTTGCTCATTTGTGGTGCACTTGTTCTTTTGTAGAGTTGTGCCACTGTTTCAACATTAACGTAAAGCATCCTCGAATCTTCACGGGTCCAGAAGACGCTCTGTTCGGCTTCTCAGTTCTACAGCATGACTCAGACGGGGAGAAATCGTAAGTCTGCGGGAAAATGAAGCTACTGGTTTAACCCACAAATACTGAAGCACTTTACTTTGAATACATTTTTTGTTGTTTTGCTGTAGAATGCTTGTTGGTGCGCCCTGGGACGGACCACCCAACAATAGAAAAGGAGATGTGTACAAATGCACTGTGGGAGAAGAGAGGAACTCGAACTGCAGCAAAGTCTATTTAGGTAAGTGAATATGGAACTGTGTCAGTCCTGAATCAGACGAGAAGAAGAGGAATACATGAGTTTTGGGTGATTTCCTAAGTGGAAAAGTAGATCAACAAACCTATATTTAATCTATGTGTCTGGCCTTTCATAAAATGTATGAAAGCGTTTTACTTACATTATAGGACTTGCTGGACTATCAAGCACACCTCTAATTATAGCGCACCACTGAGGAGCCATAACTTTTAGCTTCCATGTCCGAACTCATTTAACAATCCGTTTTGACAATAAATGTACATCTAACTACTGACAAATATAATGTATGTAATGTAAATAGAAGTAAAAGTATATGGTACGAATCGTAACTTCTGAACCCCTTTTCTGCACGTGTACAGACAAATGAATGAAACAAAGTCTTGATACAATCACAGATTTATTAAAAACAAAAGTAAAGTGCAAAACCAACAACTTACAAAGTCCAAGTATGTATGTCTCTTGAGACCAGGTGAGGGGACGAGTGGTCATTCATTGCTCGTTGGTAATCTCCTCACTTGTGGGAAGGGATTCTCAAACAAATAAATATACACACGACAACCTAAGTACAAGCACAAAACAGAGACACGTGAAAGAGCAAGATAGAGCACAGTAGTTACTAAACCTGGATGGAATCGAAATAGTCCATAATAGTTCTTTTATTGTGCCCCAGGAGAAACAGAAATATATATTAGCTGTATCAATTCATAGGCTGTAAGGTTTAAAGAACTTGAAAAAAGTAGGGGCCTTTTTGTCCAGCAATTACGGTATATGCTTGTTTGTTGTCTTGAAGTGGGCACATTTTCTTTCCCTAAACCTGGTTGAATACTAAACATAGTATTGCTATCTTCTATTTGTTGGCATTCACAATTGCACAATTGCCCAAATTCAGAATTTCAAAGCAACCAGCCCTCCCCAAATATTCAGATATAGTGCATTTTATTGCACAGATACAAATTGCACTTACTAACTTCAGAGAGTAGTGTGACTATAACCCCACTGCTGTATTGTCTTTTATCTTACTGTGTACTATATGGTTCTTTTACAGGGGAAACTGCTCTCCAAAATGTCTCCAAAAACCTGAGGAATTCTCACCTGGGAATGACCCTGACGCCGAACTCCCCTGATGGCTTCCTGGTAAGACTACAGCCAACAGTCGTAATTCAGTCCTTTGAAATAGGATGTTAACTACGAGCAGAGGTGGGAAGTAACAAGTCGTACTTTCTAATTGGATATTATCTTGTGGTATCTGTATTTTACTACTGGTAAACACAAATATCAGTCATTTCTCGTCCTTTCCTTGCAGTTGAAGACTTCACATAAAATTACGTAAAACAAATTAAACCATAACATGCTATCTTTATCTTATTAGGCAACATGTTATCTTCTCTATACTTGTTAAAAAGAAGAACGTGAGACACAATTTGACAATTTGGGCTGAGAGCTGATTGGCTGATTGAGGGTGGTCCTTTCTTTTTCACTTTTCTGTCTGAAAAAGTTGATCTAACCGGAGGCCAAAAATGCATATGAAAACAAGCTAGTTAGATGGATTTTAATTCACAGTAAACATTTGGGAGGTTTTAAAATTAAGTACTCAAGCTTTGTTTGTGTAAGCTCTCAGTCGTACAGGGATTAGTCAAAGCAAAGGAAGGTTTGGGTGAGAAACCTCCATTTGCTTTTACTCAAGCTTTGGTTAGCAATGCTTCTAAATTCAGTTACAGCATACATACAGCCAGTATGAAACACTTCCACAACACAATTTGAATATTTAAAGGGTATTGCTTAATATATATATAGTGTATATCTATACTGTACTTTATATATCTATACTGTACTTTATATAGTACTGAGTAAAAAATGCATCATGTTATACATACAAATATATGTTATAAATTATGAATAAAAGGGCTATTTATTTTTTGATTTTACGTATAGTTGTACCTCTCGCGTTAGCTAATTAAACCCAGATCTTGACATGCTTTTGTATAAGCAAGCAACAATGACAATAATGGCACTAAGTTTCTCACTTTAACTGGTAAAATTCTTGTCAAATTTGGGCAATAATGCGTTAGTTGTGGATGTAAAGCTAAAAATACAGTAAGTGTCCACTATAGTCACTTGAGTCAGTTCACATATTTTTGTGAACCAAACTTGAACGAGATTTGGTCCAGTTAAAGTGAACCAGACCAACAAATGTGAACGCACCCGAAATGTGATATTTTTCACATATTGAATGCGTCCCACATTCTGGCTGCAGTGCTGGGTGTGGAGCATGTTTATCTTTATCCCAGTGGTCAGGTCTATAACAGGACTGGAATGCGTCTCCGGCCCTTTGTTAATGACAGACTATCCAAAAGCCATTGCACCTCACTTACATTTCTCCCTCCTCCTTCCTTTCTCCCATCCTCTTCCTCTGCTCTGTCTGTCTGTGTGAGCTCCATCCATAATGACAGGACAAGAAAAACCATGATGTTTCTCTTTCACTGTCCACCGAATATTCACCCCCCACCACTGTTCATTTTGGTGACTTAAATATGAGTTTTCGTCATAGCTGCAGTGAATGTCATATTTTTACAGATTAAAACGAAATAAACAGTCATACCTTGGGCTTTGGCTTGATTAAAAAATAGGTCACGGTTATTTTTCTGTTGCTGAAATAAATCCTGTATTCCATTGAATTGTTTAAAGTTGCTCTATTTCACTCTTGCCATATCACTGGCAAAACAAACTCATGGCTGTAATTAGTTGTGAATATGTTGGCTTTGCTGTTCTTTAGAAGAGAACTGGAACTGTGGCTATGAACACAAGATCATTTGCGTCGTACAAAAAAAACTCAAAATGTTAGTTTAACCTGGAGAGACTTTAACACAAGGAAGGATTGAAAAGATGTAATGAACAATTATAAATGTTTGGCGCTCAGACCCTGGCAGAAGCCGTGGCGATGGACATTATGAGATTTCATGGTAGGAGGAGCTTTCCCTTCAGGGCCCGACTCTGTGGTGGCAGCCTATGAACTGCTCCAGAGCCGCAGGTTGCCTGTTTACGCAATTATTGGGAAAAGTCATTGTTGCCATGCATAGCACAGAGCAGTAGAAATGAGAAAAACCCAAAAACCTAAAAATAAAACTGCACTAACAATTATTTGGCTGAATCCTAATCTTCACTAAAACCACATTTCTTGTCAAAAAGAACGCTGTCCTCCCTCCTGCTTTTGTCCACATGCCACTTCTAACACATGAGCCAGGCTACCACACTCCAGGCTTAGTTTAGTGCCAAAAAGAAATGCTTTGAAGACTAGAATATTTTTGTCGCGCCCCCTTTTACCATAGCTCCTTCCATCTATAGAAACAATCTGATTCAAATTGCTTTGCTGGTCTGGCGTTCCATTTCTGCTAAACCACTCATGACAACAGTTACTGCCAGCATGTCAACAATAGCCTCAGTCTCTCGCCGTTTCGCCCTCATTTCTCGGTCCCCCCAAAACCACACAATTGTAGATTTTCCATGACTTATTCAGTCTCAGCTCTGTTTGCCTTTTGTTTCCAGTCTGCAGTTTTTTATGTGTTTATACTCTGGTTAGCGGCCGCACTTGTCTATGTGTTTTCAGACTTTGATAACAACCAACCTCCTACTGCTCCTGTATGATGTGTAAATAGACTGAATCCAACTGCATTACTTCATAATGCAATATTAGAGTTGTTAGCTTTGTTAGGTTTGCATATTGAGCCATCTTTAAAACATAAGCCAATGTGTAAAATCTGTTTTCAATTACTCCTCTGGTTCAATGCACAGACAGACAGCAGATACCAATGCAGAGCCATTCAGCCATATTTCCTACAAAAACAAACTGCTCAGGCTGCAGAAGAAATCATAGCTATTGCCAAAGGTTACTATTTTCAAGAAACACCACAAACAACAAATTGAGAATGCGCCTCTAATTCACAGGTGAGATTGGTGGAGCTGAACTCGTATAAAAATTCAAAAGCAGTAGTTCCCAACTGTCAATTGCATTTTGGTCGAGGTCAGAACTGTTTTTGGCTGTTTTTTACCAAATTATTCATTTCTTTTGAATTTGACTTTTACATATTTTTTGGAACAGAATGAGTAAATGAGCTTGGACTGAACCAAAACTAATAAAGGCTTGTTATTGCAGACTGATATTTATTTATTATCAATTGTGTTCCAGGTTAAATTATTAAATATATGGTTGTTTTCTTGAGCTTTAAAACAATCTTAAACATTGTTTAACATAATTTCCAGAACTCCCTGTAATACCCTCAGTAAAAAAAAAAAAAAAAAAAACCATGTCAGATAATGTACATGACCAGAGCTGCTGGTCAAAGCCTGCACTAAGGGGGTGGTTAGTGCCGGCAGGGCAGACATGCACAGAATGAGGCAAGACACTTCACCCACATGGCCATGTATACATCTGACATGTGAGCGAGTAGATAGTGGTGTTCTGAGTGTCCAGTGGCGCCTCCAGAGTGGCAGCTACATGTAAAGCGTTGTTGTGAATTGTTAGTAAGTGGTTGTATATGTATCTGCAGGCCTGTGCCCCTCTGTGGTCCCAGGAGTGCGGCACATCTATGTTCAGCACCGGCATCTGCGCCTCTGTCAGCGACGACTTCCAGCCGAGAGAGAGTATCGCCCCCACGGCTCAAAGTAACTCAATACCACAAATACATGCTTTTCCTGCAAACAGCAGTTTGACTTTTGTTGTGGAACAGGGTGCTCCACGTACATGGACATAGTGATCGTTTTGGACGGATCCAACAGCATCTACCCCTGGTACGAGGTCCAGAACTTCCTCAGCAACATCCTCAGCAAATTCCACATTAGTCCTGACCAAATGCAGGTAAATGCCTGGATTATTTGTTTAGTGAAAGGAGAAGGTATATTTCAGAATCAAATTTTGTTGTTGTTGCTAAGTATTGTTAAGTAACAGGAAGTCTAGGAACTTGCTTCGGATTTAGAATCATTTTTCCAATTTTTCTCAAACCCCGTAGTTTTTGACCAGTAACACAACCATAAGAGATTCAGGTTGGATTACTTACATTCTCTATTTATAATAATACAATCATTCATATTATTTCTGTTCATATCAAGACAATGTGTAGACAATTTTTTGTCAGTTTTGCTTTTACAGTATACTTTAGGCCTTTTTTTTCTCATAAAACAGAAGTATTGTCATTGATATAGGAATTCAAAGAACCATTATTAAGTTTGATTAAACATCTATAATGTCTTCATTTCTACAGTTAAATGTAATGTTTGTGTAAATCTAAAATTGAGTCCAACATTTATCAGGCAGCTATTCCTGTTGTCTGCTATATTTAAGTCTTGGTATTATTGCCCAGTGCAAGAAATAAAAGTAATTGCTAACATAATAAAAGTATAAAAGTACAGAGAAATGGTTTGGCGAGCGCGTTAGCATAATATGTAATGTGCAAAGACCGTGTTTGCTGGAAGGAGAGTGGAGTTTTTCTGGGATTACAACACCACCGAAGGGGGCTGACTGTGATGCTGCGGAGGTAACAGGCAACATGAGGTGAAGAGGAAATACTTTTGGTTTTTGGATGAATTCAACATTCTGCGAGTGCTGTTTGCTTTGAGAACACGACCCGCGATTTTTAAAGGGACCGTCCACCATCAGTGTGTCTTCAGTAGGCAGTACTTTTCCACTCTAATTAAACCCTTGTTTGTAAAATGTTTGAGATAAGCTCTGAATGAGGATGTTTCACAGAGCATAAGAATTTGGAGAATGTAAAAAAAAAATAAGATTTTATTCTGCACTTTCACAAACTGGTGTGATCTCTTAAAGGTCCCATCTCCATGCACCCTGCTGAGAAGCTGCAGACCTGTGATGCTTTTCAACCATCTTAGCACAAACTTTGGAACAGTAATAGTAAATAACAGTTCTGTGCAAGCACACTTTTGGAAAATGTGTTAACTCTTTGAGCATTTGATTTTCACACATGCACACAAGTTACTCCATATCTGTGTCCAAATGCGTACACCTCAGATTGCTTTTGCCCGTGCTCTTTAATGCATCTGCTGGCCTTGTCTTAGTAGTGTCCTTTTTAAATGTGCGGAAATTGGTCGATCCAGTTAAGTGACACCTTACTCGCAGTGCACAAGTTTATATCAATCAATCAAATGAAGGACCAGGCGAGGGATTTGTTTTCATTAGTGCTTTGTAAATACACTCTACTCTACTCTCTAACATAAGGTTTTTATTACGTTGAGTAATAACTGCCAGATATGGAAAAAATAATTTGTAGAACTCGTTCTCTCAAGATCTAGAAGCACAAATTTGTTTCCCATTGATAAAAAAGAAATGCAAGTTTATTTTTTATAGCAGAATTCACACACCAGTCTACTCAAAGGGCTGAACAACACAAGATAAAGACAGTCACACACATACATAATAAAAGAGTACAGGTGAAATCACTCCTGAAAATAACTGTTTTTAAGCCTCACATTTTCTGTTTTTAAGTCTCACATTGTCAGGAAGACTGTTCCAGATTTCTGATGCATGAATCTGAAATGAAGCCTGCCCATGTTTAGTCCAGTCTGGGCACCAGCAGGAGGCCAGTCCCTGTGCTCCTCAGAGTCCGAGAAAAGTAACACATTAGAATCACGCTCCGAACCCCATGGAAATTCCACCTCCAACAGACAGTTTACTCATATGCAAGACGCCACGTGAACACCTTCCATTTCCACGCTCCTCCAGGTGGGGATCCTGCAGTACGGCGAGGTGGCGCTGCACGAGTGGTCACTGAAGGATTACCAGACGACACAGGAGGTGGTAGAGGCGGCCAAGAACATCAGCCGCCAGGAGGGACGAGAGACGCGCACCGCATATGCCATCCACATGGCCTGGTGAGCCGTCCATCACTCTTACACCAATATTGTTCATGCCTGTCTGACCACCAAGTTCATTTAGAACTATTTGGACTTCATTGGAACAACAGTTATATTTTACTCACATGTCCCTTCTGTGTGTGATTAAATATTTCAAATTGAATCTCATGTTAGTTCAGACCATAACCCAAGGGCCATAAAGAGGATTATAGTGTAACCTTTTTTGTGGGAATCCAGTGCAGTTACCAGTAAATACCCTCATGATGTGAATCTAATGTGTACATTGCATTAAAACTATAACCTCAGCAATATCCCTTTTATAAATCTGGTCTTTGTCGCTACCCAAAATAAGTCCTGGTTTTTCTTTTCCCTGGTAATTTGAGTCTATACAAATGTCTTTAAAGAATTAAGTTGAGCTCTGTGTATTATAGTCTCAATTTCTTTCCAAACACATCTCCTGCTTTATTAAAGGCATACCCACACTGCGTCCCATGTAACCGGCCCCAGTCCTGCGTGCGGTGAAGTTACAAATGCTGCAGGTAATGGGATAGTTCCTGTTTTGTGGTGAATTTAAAAGCGAGCGAGAGTGTTAAAGGGGCAGTTGAAAAGCAGTCACTGGAAAATGCAGTAAAAAAAAAAAGTTTAAAGTGGTGTTAAACAATGAGACAGGAAATCCACATTTTTGTCAGCGTGTCCACTACAACTAATATTTCCTTTTGGATTGTGGCAAGATATCAACAACTCTTTCTAATGGATTCATTTTCTCAAAAAAAATAATCACATAACGCATTTCACCGGAGGCAGTTAAGTTTCAGATGTTGCTGTAGCACTGTGTGCCTCAAAGTCAAAAACACAGACTGGTGGATTAAATTGTCAGAACACAAAAGTTACCCAGACACACACTAATGAAAACTACATTGGACAAAAATATAAATGCAGCACTTATGGCTTTGCTTCCATTTGTTATGGCCTGTGGATAAGATTAGATTCGATGAAATGTATTGTCATCACATTTGTTCAGAACACTTCAATGAAATGGAGTTTAGCATCCAACCTGAAGTGCAATTAGATAATATTTTAAAAAGACATGAGATTTAGACCAGTATATCCATTAATATATAAAAGACTGTAAAGCTGCTATTATGCTATTATTTACATTCATTACAGTACATTATATTACTACATTTAAGTGATAGCTGCTGTATATTGGCAGGAACTGGAACACACTGTTCACTGTAATCAGAGAAAAAGAGTATCCCAAACACGCTCTTGATCCACTCTATGTGACAGAGAAGCGTTGCACACAACTACACGTTTTTCTTTAAGAAGAAGAACTATGGATGACAAAAGACAATTTTTTCCCCATAGTAAAAGTTCAAGACCACATCATAATGGAATCAAAATCCGTGTTGAGTATCAGACGTTTTCTTTATGAAATCTAATTTGAGAGTTTGCTACAGTTTTATATTAGAGAGCTGGTCTTGCAGAACTCTCAGATTGGACAGGGCAGAAGAATAACAGATCGGGTTGGGTATTGATGCTGAGTGCGCAGTGCTCCAGGTGTGGCATGGCCTGGTGCCGCTGGGTCAGCCAAGTCCTCCCGCTACAGCTGTGCAAACACCGCTCCTCTGTACAGTACATCCTCAAGTACCCACACCAATGTATATGCTACACGCAAACGCCCCATTTCTATTCTTAAAAGAGCTGACTAAATCAAACTGGAGCCGTGCTTTGACCCTGTGACCAATGCTTTGCGCAGCATGCGTGGCCTCTGAACCCAACCCCAACTAACCCCAGTCTTATTATATTCTACAGCAAAGGGTCTCACTCAATCACGTTAGACACACTGCTTTATGAGTTAAATGTTTTAGCTCAAGGTTAAGGGCAGACCTCTTTATGGCCTTCATAAAATGTGTACTCTGCATTTGACCCATTCACCAAACAGGATGAAGGGCAGTAATCAGTGTGTTGATGTGGGAAATCAGAACACCCAAAGGAAACCCACCCAGACGCAGAGAGAACATGCAAACTCCACCCATTATAGGAATCAAATATTAGACCTATATCAAAATAGCCACAGGATTTTAGTGCCTTAATTCCTGACCATCGTCTTGATGTAGAATTGGTTTGATTTTGTTCTACTCCAGGGTTAGAGGCGTGAGTGAATGCAATAGGAGTAGTTGACTAATAACATTAAAAGTATTTAGGACGATTTTACCTGAAGTCCTGTCTTTCTGAAAAATATGTGTTACTCTTTCACCTCTTCTGCCAGTCATGCCGACATCATCAGGAAGTACCATTTTAAAATGTGTTCGTTCAAATCTGTAACATAATGTAATCACCTGCATTTTAGTAGTTGAACCTGACATAATGCACTTTACTTGAGTTTTCCTACGCTCTGACATGAACCATGGACGCCCGTCTGATGCCCTGACACACACGCACACACACACACAGCTCCTGACCGCACTGTGTCATTCCCACATGGTGTGACTCCATAAAAGCCGGTTGTAACTACAGCCAGGCCTCCCAATTAGCTGCACTTACTTTCCCTTGTCTTTCATCTCCCCTTTTCTTCTTTCACAAACCATTTTATCTGTTTCCCTCTTTCCACCGTTATTCATTTAGGACTGACACGTACAATTGTTTTTCAAATTCTTTAGGTCTTAATTGGTTTAAGCCACCACTTGTTTAAGGACTTTCCAGGCAGCTTTACCTGATATCTCCACTAGGTTTAAAGTGTGACAAAAAATGCCAAAAGAAATACCAAAGAAACTTCTGATTAATATCAATTAATAATGTGAAGATCATAAAAATAGTTTTTATAACAACACACACAGTCTTTGTCAATACAAAGGCAATCAGAATAAGTATTGATGTGAAAAAAAAAATACGTACTAATTATTTATAGACAAACCAGAGAGCATGTTTAGTTTTTTTTACTTTGAGTTATTTAGCCATAAACCATTCAGGCATCAAAGCAGCACAAACGTGTCTCTGAGCTCATGGCTTGATTATTGATGCTAGGGTTCATTTTTCCCCCATAAATAATACAGTATATTATGTATTGTCCCAACAGAAAATCAAATATTCCACAATATGCTGTTATCATCTAGAAAACGCCTTATCTTTTGCACACTTCTTTTAGTCAAGGAGTCTCTATTTGACAATTAAACTGAGAAAGAGTGGTCCTCTTTTTTTTTTACATTTCTGTTTGAAAAAGCATGTGTCAAGATTTAAAAACTGTTGATAGAACCAAACTGTTTGAGAGCTAGGAACATGTTAAATGGATTTGATTGAGTTTTGTGGTTAAAAAAACAAAATAATCTCTTGGTCTATTTCCAATAAAAACAATTTCCTTTGAAAGCACATAAGGGTCAATATGTGATCAAAAACTGAAGTGCTGCAACTTTATTAGAAATGTCTTTACAAAATAATATACAGGTAATAACTATCAAACACTGCTACACCTACTTTTCTTTATATGCCCACTGATTCCGTTTTTCTTAATTTCTTCGTTGCTTTTTTCTCGCACCCTATGTAATTTGCAGACTGCACCGGCCGAGGGGAAACGGTTGTTTTTTAACTCTGGGTTTCTTGCGGTCTGACCACAATGTTATATTTAGGCAAAGGCTGGAGTTACGCCTGAAAATGACTGAGTTCACGAGCACTGACTGGCCCAGGCTGGAGCTGAGTGTGTATATGAGTGGGGTTTGAGGCTTACCAGTCCTGTTGAATGCCCGGAGCTGGTCCACACAGGGGCAGGTCTTTGGGTGCGGCCCGGGTATTGAGACGCATGCTTCAGGACCATGGGAATGCACAGATGCGGTGAATACGGAGGATGACACACTGTGAAAGAAGTGTGACCAAACGGAGGCAACTGGCAGCAAATGTGTGACTAACCTGTTGTTGATCGGCTAAAACACTTACAGCTCATTTGGAAGGAAGTCCAGTGTGATTTATAGACTCAGACGCGGTGCAAATACAACAATAAAGTCATTTTTGTTGTGCTTTCAAAAGGTGGTGTTGTACCTTTTTGTCCAATTTTATAAATTAGTGGAATCTGTTTCATATTTATCTTCTCTGTTATGGATATAAATAGTTATAAAACATAATAATTGTGGTGGTACAGATATAAATAAATCATCATATTGTGTCCTCTGGTGTGACCAGTCTTGCTCCACCCTGCGGCTGCACCACCTCTGCTGCTGTGACCCGAAGTGCTGTTGCTTATTATTACTATTGTTACTATTGTGTTGTCAATTTAATTAGTTTTGGTTTTATTTTTTTGCTGCTACTGGACACCTGAATTTCTCATACGAGGATCAATAAAGTATCTATCAATCGATCTATCTATCTTATAAGCATACATACAGATATATTCATTTTCAAAAAACATATGGGTTAATAATGAAATAAAATAAAAAATATACAATGGTAAATAAAAAATAAATACAAATTGTTTGATTTCAATACATGTACGTTATAATTCATTACCCCGCCAACAGGGGGGGTAATATAACCGTGTGTGACATTTTTTTGGTTTAGCTGTCCTGGGGCAGACCGAGGCTTTTCTAGTCATAGTTAAATGTTTGTGATATTATTTTAAAGGAATATGCTAATACTAATGGGGACTGTTAATCCTGGATGTTCCTACCTGTGGACTAATGAATTAAAACGTTTAATATATTGTCTTATAGCACAGAGGCGTTCAGTGCAGAGCGAGGAGCCAGAGACGGAGCCACTAAAGTCATGATTGTTGTGACCGACGGAGAGTCTCACGATGGGGAGGAGCTTCCGGAGGCTCTGGACGAGTGCAACAACCGTAACATCACCAGATACGCCATTGCTGTGAGTGTGGCCTTCAAAGTCATCCATATATTTACTCTAAAAAAGTTCAAGAGAGATGAGTTCTACACTAGCTGCTCATCGAGATCAGCAGTGACCAAAACACTGGAAACATTTAAGAAAGGAGAAAAATCCGGGGCAATCTTGACTCAAAAAATAGAAATGTTCATTAAAGTATTTTATTGTCAAGAATCCCTCGGATTTTTCTTCTTTCATATATATTTACTGTGTTTGCCTAAAATGTCAATTCAAGGAATATTCAGCTATTATTGGGGCGGCACGGTGGCTGAGTGGATAGCACTCTCGCCTCTCAGCAAGAAGGTCCTGGGTTCGAGTCCCGGTAGGACCAGGGCCTTTCTGAGTGGAGTTTGCATGTTCTCCCCGTGTCTGCGTAGGTTTCCTCCGGGTGCTCCGGTTTCCCCTACCACTAAAAATATGTACAATAGGTCTGGCATGTGCCTCCTGTACTGGCACCCCCACTCCCAAAAATAACAATTGTAAACCGCTTTGAGACTCCGATGTGCAGTGAAAAGGCGGTATATAAATAAAGATTACTTACTTACTTACTTATACTCATTGGATAGGTAACCATTCATTGTTTGGATGAACAAATCCAATCCATATTATTTCACAGCCAATACAATGTAGAAAGTGCTGCAAGAGCAACAATGAAATCTGTACAAAAACACAGTCAAATTAAATGACATTCAAATGATCATACCCCAGCTATTTGTATATTTTGCAGTAGTTGGCATCCATGTCTTTTCTCATACTTTGACCACACAGAACCCCCACCTCCACACCCCTAAAATAACCCATAATTGTACCGCTGAATCTAAAATAGCTCTCATCAAGAACAAAAACATCAGACACGCGGACCCTGTGTTTTACTGTGGGGTGTGTGGGATGGAGTAATGAACAAGTGGACAAAAAGTAACAACGAAAAAGCCAAGTTTGTATTTGTGTAACAAATCCTAACCTTCGTTTTTGGTATGAGGTACTCTATATGCAAATTCATATCCTTCAAGCTAAAGCTTGAGTTGAGTTGAAAAATATGATTATTTTTTTTCTCAGTGTGCGTCCAGTTTGTATGATAGTTCATGTTTTTTTTTTTTACTTTGTTTTGTGCTGGAACACTTCTCATATCCATTTGTAATAACTTTATTTCAAATAATGTCAAAGAAAAATGTTGCACAAATCACATGTGCACAAACACAGATGTCCTGTGCAACCAAGGTTCCAACCAGGTTTTAAGTAAAATCTTACAAATAACATCTTACATATATACATTTATATACATTTTTATGGAACTTTGTAGTCTAACCATTTGCTCTTTAATGTTAAACTTTGAAGGAAAGTTTGACCTTAAAGTGGATTAAAGTTTGACTATTCAGTGATATTGTTGATGAACACAACACAGAAAAGAAACAGCAACAATTCAATATTATTTTGTTACAGTACATACAGTTTCAGTCAAATTTCAATCCTATTTTCAGTGTTTTGCTCATGCAGCCTTTCTATAACGTGGCCAAATAAAGGAAAACCACAGAAAAGCATGATTTTGGAGAAAAAGTACAGGTGATGACAAGCAACTATGGCTTAGTAGTGCAAATGACTCACAAGAGAAAGAAAGAGAGAGAGTAAGGGATCTGAGCTGCCAAAGACATCCATACACTCACCACATGTGCACATAATACCATTTTCAAGGGACTTCAAACGATAGAGATAGCAAAACATGTCAGTGAGTAAACGCATGGTGCTTTTGGTCTTTTCTGGTTATGTAAATTATTGGAGGAGGAATTTCCCAGTGGCCACGACCTGTGGGTAGTGGGTACATATTAATATTCGCTCCCCTCCAGCCCCTACTCTTTGAAAACAGAGGATTTCCTTCTCACAGAGGGCGATCCGTGTGTTTGGCTTCTCTTATGGAATTTACCCATTTAACTGCAGGCGTTAAGCTATCGGCCACTGCGAGTCTTTTCTCTGATCCCGTAAACCTCGCTGTCCAAATCTCTGGTGGCTTTCATGTTTCCTTTCATGTTTTATGCTAAACTTAATGGCTGTATAATGTATGTGCGTGTTCCTCCTAACCCAAGAAATATCATCCGAAATCCATCACATTTATGTAGTAGCTGGTTTTAACACAGCGTTTTGGTCATTTCAGTTTTTGGCTGAATAGAGTTATGTTAATGTTAAAGTTAAAACCCCACTGTGTAACTTTTTAACCACTAAGAAAAGTATAAAAAGAGGCATCTGTTCAGTGAGCAGGCTTAAAGCGCCACAAACTTGTAGTTGATCTGAATGATGGCCTTCTCGTTCTTGTTGTCATTGAAATGTTGTCGACAATATAATCAATAGTTTTCATACTGAACAAAGTCATGCTTTGTGACCAAAACCCCTGTTGTGCTTTCCATTCACACTGACCATCCCTCGTCTTTTTGCTGAGCCATGTTAAATATTGGGGTAATTTAGACACAAAACTGAACTGTTTCATCATGAGGACCGCTGCCTGTTTAAAATGTATTGTTCTTTTTTAAAAGTGCTATAGGAAATAAGAGGAACGAAGCACTCCCAGCAAAACGTTATATATTCTCTCAAATTACTCAAAGATAGTATTCTGACTATGTATTGCCAGTACATGTTTACTTTATCTTGCGGTTTGTCCTGCAGGTTCTGGGACATTACATCCGCCGGCAGCAGGACCCTGAGACCTTCATCAACGAGATCAAATACATCGCTAGTGACCCAGACGAGAAATACTTTTTCAATGTGACAGACGAAGCCGCTCTCAACGACATTGTGGACGCACTGGGAGACCGCATCTTCACTCTAGAAGGTATATACCTAGAAAGGGTGAACCCACCAAGCGTCATCACAATCGTGTTTGACAAATGTGGAAGAAACCAAATTTAACATTGACGAGTTGGGGCCAAATTTGCTAATGTGATTTGCCAAACGCTCTGAGCTGTGACAGAATGAAAAATCACTATGAGGATTTTAAATAAGAAAGCCTTTATGGAACTAAAGTACTATGTTAAGCAGACCTGTGTGTTTTGATCTGTGTTGAAATGCAGTGTCACCCCAGAACAACTGCTGGAAAGGTTGGTATCTTGTTTGGGCCCACGTAATTTTATCCAAAAAAGAGAAACCGCAAAGGGTCATAACAAACCTTTGACTTTCAAAATAAGTCTAAAATCACATCCAGAACACCAGGGAAGAGAAGATTGTACATGATTTTTCTTTTTTAATTCATTGCTTTCTTTGTTTTGAAGGAACACTGGGCTACAACCAAAGCTCCTTCCACATGGAGATGTCTCAGATCGGCTTTTCCACACACATACTGGATGTAAGTAAGACTGCATCATTCGTTTCCTCATCACTCTTGATAGAACTTCAAATATTGTTCTGCTCAATCTCGACACAAATGTTTTTAAACGCATGGTATTCGTAGCATTTCGCATTTTGACATATTACACTAAAGTTTGTTTTGTATTTTAACTGTACAACATATACTCACTTTTCAAACAGGATGGTATTCTCTTTGGGATGGTGGGGGCCTACGACTGGGACGGAGGAGTGCTAAAGGAGGGTGTGAATGGACCCATCATGCCCCCCAGAGAAGCCTTCGAGAGCGAGTTTCCACTGGAGCTCAAAAACCATGCTGCTTATTTGGGTATGAACTACTGACATGCTGACTTCTTTTATTATTTATGAATTAGGGCTGAAGGCCTTCAGTCATTTCATTGGTTAATTGGTCTATATATGTAGTAGTTTATGTGTGTAGAAAGTGCAAAATCGCTATTTTAAAATGAATTCAATATAGTTTACACAAATCCAATAGGTCTTTTTTCTGATCGATTGACGTTTGAATATAGAGGGATAAGCATGTATAACAGAACAAGAAAGATCTCAGCATGTATTTTCCGACGTCTACCGCTAGAGGGAATTTTCTATTTTAAATGTTTACATTATGTACTCCAAAATACATCTCTTGCCAAGTTTAAGTATTGCCTCATGTTGTAGGCAATACTTAAACAGCTCTTCCTCATAGCGTACCAGGTTTGAGTTAGAAGAATTGAGACAGAAGGGATGGGGGAGACGTGTTTGTGCCAGAAGAAAAAATAGAAAAATAGCTCCTATATAAAATAACTCCATCCTGATTTTGCTCAGGAATCAATTCATTATTGTAACGTAATGTTGAAATCTTAAAAAAGGGGATTTTGCATAATATCCTGTAAGTAATGCCAACTTCCCTGGACTTGTTTTGTGAATGTGCGCAGGTTACACGGTCTCGTCTGTGGTGGTGGGCGACTGGAGGACGCTGTACATCGCTGGAGCCCCTCGGTTCAAACACAAAGGAAAAGTGATTCTGTTTGAACTCAGTGATGACGGAGATGTCAATATTGCACAAGCGCTAAACGGAGAGCAGGTACTTCATACATCAGTTTATCTGCTTCTGAGTGCAGTAAGGAATATACAGTACTTGCCGGACTACTAAGTGCACCTGTGTATAAACCGTACTAGCTCAATTTGAAGAGAAAGTACATTGTGTCCACATACAGGCCGCACTTGAGTATAAGCCACAGGTTTTCATGTTGTGATGAAGTACTTAAACTACAGCTGAGAGGCAAAACGAAGATGATAGACTTTTAACTGGGCGTAACGTGATTTAATGACCTGGTGTTTTAACATTCTGTTGACTTGTGGTGATCAGAGCATTCTGGTAAATCCAATTTATTTTGACAATAAATGTGCTTCCCATTCCCACTAAAATTGGTTGAAACGGGACAAAAATAATAGGTGCATAGACAAACAATAGTCCTAATCACAATGAAAAACAAGGAATGTGTATTTCCCTGCACCTCCTCTTATTATCTCTGCTGTTAAACATCTGGAAGCAGGAATGTGTGCGACATCATTAGCATTGGAGATCAACATCTGATCAACTGTGTCCACATCTTGTCCTAACAAAAAAATACATTGGCCGCATTGCTATACAGGCATGAATTGAAAAAAAAGGCTATAGTCTGCCTTTTATGGTAGACAATGGGAGTAATAAGCACTCAAAACAAGATGACCAGTATGTTGAAAAAGTTGAAAAAGAAAAGTGCTTTTTGATAGTGGTTAAATTCACGAACCCTTTTAAAATATTATCACCACATCCAGACATCTTTATGAGAAGATTATTATCCCATAATTGACAAACAAGATGTGGAACTTTTTTTGTTTTTTTGTTTAATGTGAACTGGCGCGATATTATTTGAAGTCTGACTTTTGACAGTTACTATAGGTACATCATTTTTCATCTGCCCCTCTCTTTGCAATGGTTGGATGTCACTTGAAAGCAACATATTTAATGATATAAACAAACCTTTTCATTAGATACTTTATTTCTGCATTGCACAGTTATGGTCAAAACCCATAGCTCTGTAAACTGACTGCTGCACTCCCCCTGGTGGCGGTCTCCTGAACTGCCTCTCTCTCTGCAGATCGGCTCTTACTTTGGCAGTGAGCTGTGTGGGATGGACATCGACCTGGACGGTATCACAGATGTTCTCCTGGTGGCCGCTCCCATGTTTCTGGGCTCTGGGAACAAAGAGGCTGGAAAAGTTTATATCTACACTCTTACTGCTGTAAGTCTGTTCTTTCTGACTTGCGTATGTTAGCTTTGTTGAAAAGGAATGGTCCTAGCAGGCTAGAGTTCACAAATAGAAATATATAAGTGAATCAATTGTAAAAAATTCTACAATCCAAAACACATAAGTATTAAACTCCCTCTTGAGTGTTCATTGCACAAGCTGACAAGTGTGTGTGTGTGTGGTGTGTGTGTGTGTGTGTGTGTGTGTGTGCGGGTCATGGCCTTGTGGGATTGTTTTTTACCTAACTGAATGTTCTGCATGAAAAAACTTAATTTGATATTTTGATTTAGATTTAGGATAGATAGATCCCCCGTAGGAGAAATTCAGGTGTCCAGTTGCAGCAGAAACACACTTGCTGCCGTTTCCAGAGCATTCAATTAAGGAGCGAACAGATGATGAAATGCAGAACTCCACAATGTGTTTTTGTTCCCAATTATTAAAGAGCAAATATGGTCAGCCCTGTGGAACTTGTTTAAACACATAAACTATACATTCATCATAAAGTGGATAGAAAACTAAAAGGCCGTTGTCTGTTGCACATGTCTCTAGGACGAGGTGTTTGTGCCCAATGGGACTCTGAATGCAGACCGCTCTCAGGATGCCAGGTTCGGTTACACTCTGGCTCCGGCTTCAGACCTGAACCACGACGGCTTCACCGACCTGCTGGTGGGGGCCCCTCTGGAGGACGATCACGCAGGAGCCATCTACGTGTTTCATGGACACCGCATTTACATAGAACACAATTACAAACAGGTACACATCCACACATCGAAGATATTCCTCCCACTGTGATGCGCCCCATATTACACAACAGGAGTAAAAGAGGTACACAAAACAAGAGGAATAGCTATAAATAATTAGAGAATAAATTGTAGAATATTAGCTGAATTGTTAGAGCTTGTAGTTTAGGACAAAAAAATTGAGCACAAGATATTTTGGTCCCAATATACATAGACTATTAAAGGCGCTCTACAAATATAGATCTAATGATTGATTGTTATTGTATACTTGATTGAGATGCCTTTCTGTTGATATTTTATATCAGCAATATCGTCATTGTAACGTCACAGCATGTGAATTTCCCAAAGATTAATCGATAAAACAACATACAGTTATTACAAATCCCAAGCATTTTTAGTGCAATCTGGTCAAACATTTGTCTGTGATTCATTATTTGATAAAGAGGAGATTAGTTCTGTGCTGAACAGACTTGTTACATAAACATAGTGGTGCCAGGAGACCATGCTGTGTGCTGGTGATTTTTTGAGCGCTTGTCCTGTAAAAGAACAGCTCTAACTTTTGTATTTATGTTATTTTTTGACACAACAAAATATAAATACATATTTGACACTCAATCTAAACACAAATTGCTTTTTCATCCCACGTTGAGGACCTTTCAGTGTGGCAGTTAAAAAATATTGGAAAACAGCATGCATTTGTTTGCGGCAATATTACATATTATACACCGTATATTACATGCAACTCAGCGTTTTAACGTGTAAATGTTCATCACTGAATTGATATCTGTCATATTTCAGCGTATTCCAGCTTCAGCGCTTTCTCCCTCTCTTCAATACTTCGGCCGCAGCATCAGTGCGCGTTTGGATTTGGACGGAGATGAGCTCATAGACTTGGCTGTGGGCGCACAGGGCAGCGCTGTTCTGCTGAGGTGAGGCTCATCCAGCCGTTTTATCAGAAAAATAAAATAACGGCAGCCTTAGATAGAATTGTTTAGCAATATATATTGATCCAGGGCATTTGCTGTGCCTTTATTCAGATTCAGATTCACATTCAAGACACATCTGAAATATTATGTATTTATTCTTATTTAAAGCAATCATGTAACTTGCCTGTTGCCATGCACATGATAATGCTTTGCTTTAATTGTACCTCAGTGTGGTGTAATTTTTGTATTTTATTTTAGCCTGTTACTGCTAGAAAACTGCAGTTTTACATTGACCACTCTCACAATATGACCTGGAAATTAACCTGGCAATAATGTTAATGTAAAACATTTTTGAATAGTCGAAGCAGACTGTTGTATTATGACCAGTATTACCTCATGTTTGTTCTCTCCTTCTGTCTCAGCTCTCGGAGAATTGTTCAGATCAATGTGAGCTTGTCCTTCCAGCCACATTCGATCAATGTCATCCAGAAGACGTGTCAGAGAGGAGGACGCGAGTCTGCCTGCCTCAATGCCCTGGCCTGTTTCACTGCGGTCTCACACTCGCCTGGACCACAGAGCAACAACTTTGGTACAACTTGGTAGAGTTTGTACTTTGAACATTATTATTCCACAAAATATATGGTTTCTAGCTGAGTCAGCACTTGCATTCATACACTGCTAACACTGGTGTATGGATGTGTGTGAAGGGGTCTTTGATCTAAAACGCTTTGAGTGCCTTGAAATATTGGAAAAGTGCTAACTTGGTGGAATATGACAGTTTACATAATAGCAGTGGCCTGTCATCTGTGGCCTCAAATGTTATCAAATTGATGATTCAGATGTATACTATGGACATTTCATTAAGTTAAGAATGTTTTTTTTTTGTTTCTTACTTACAAAATTTAGTTTTTCTATATCTTTGTAATCATTTAGATCGACAATTTATTCAGTAAATTTATTCAGTAAATTGACAATTTATTCAGTAAATTGACAATTTATTCAGTAAATTGACAATTTATTCAGTAAATTGTACCCTGCATGTTGGATGAGGGTTACAAAAACACTGCCACATGATCAAAACTTTCACTGCTCCACATGATTGTTCTTTTGCCTTTATGACTCTCCAGAGCTGTGGATCAGTGCGATGCTGGACGACCGGAAGGTGTCGGCTCGAGCTCTGTTTGACGACAGCTCCAACAGACAAACACAGCGCTCAGTCAGCGTCCAAACTGGAGAAACTCGCTGCTACACACTGCCTTTTCATGTCTATGTGAGTCTAAAACTTATCCTATAGCCCAGAGTAACCCCAGTGAGAAAAAAGCTGAGGCCGAGGGAGGTGACCCAGGGCAGGCGCAGGCTCAGGTTCAGCAGGACTCGGCCTGGAGCTCTTGAAAAGGTCTCACCTGCTACCTGAAATCCGCTGATGCTCTTTAGCTTTGGGAAATTATCCGTGCTTCTAGTGCTTTTGTAAGTTGATGAATGACATATTTTGGGGCTTTGGCTTCAATTTGTTTTATCCAATATTTTAGCTATCTGGCTTCTGGTTTCTTTCCTTTTGGTTTCCAGTCAAGTATGACTTTGAAGCTTCTTGCCCGAGAGCAGGTCTGTCATGTAGACATACCCCTGGAGTACTTCTGAAGCCAAAACCCCATTTGCCATCAAGTCCTTATCCGAGGGGTACGACTTGATGGCCATAGTGCATCACATGGAGGTGGGGGTTGGCTTTTGCACTACGATTACTGCTGTGCTAATGTTGTCATACTACTACCACTACTACTTCCACTGCCTGCCTGGCAAAATAAGAATGATAAAACAGAAGTGTGCACTTTAATTTGTGCACAGTAATTGACATACATTTACTATATCTGCTGTTCTGAACATGAAACAGTCAAAACTTCACACACTAAAATAATTGTCTTGTTTAGGACACTGCAGACTACATCCGTCCGATCAGCTTCACTCTGCGCTATAAGATCAATGACACGGAGAGTGGCCCTGTGATGGATGAAGGATGGCCCACTTCCCTCAAAAAACATGTGAGTAAAAGATCAATCGCTTTTTCTGGCTTTTTTCTCCATGTTTTTTTTTTTTCTAATTTATTTTTTCCTCAAGATTCCCTTCTTCAAAGACTGTGGAGAGGATGACGTTTGCACCACAGATCTGGTGCTGAATGCACAAATGGACATCTCTGGGTCAAGGTATCAGTACATTTTAAACAAATCTGCACCCAGTAATAGCCATTAGAATTGCCTTGTGTATGAATTGTGCTATATAAATAAATAAACTTGCCTAGAATTAATTATGATAGAAACCTACTTTTTTGGTCTTTTGGTTCCAAATTACAATATTTTTCATACTCCATAATCCAGGTGATCTTTGGGGCAATATTGGGGGGGGGGGGTGGTAAACTTCGTGCTGCACAGGCACTTTACTTTCTTTCTGATATAGTATTAGTATCATGAGAAGGAGGAACTGACATTATCCTTTAGACCACAGGTGTCAAAGTCAAGGCCCGCGGGCCAAATCCGGCCCGCGAATGAATTTTTCATGGCCCGTTGCCTGGCATTGACGCACTATTACGTTTTCCGACTATTTTCATGTTCCCAGATGTCTATTATATCTAATATGTTTGGGGATAAGCTTGAGAGCATATTGAATCGAGCCAGCAGGTGGCAGCAGACAGATTGACACACTACTAATAAAATAAATACTTCAAACAAAATGGTATCCTGCACATTGTGACCTGGGACTGTTATTATGTTCAGGCCTGCTTTGTCAACCACTTGCCTTTTGGGAAGTACCACTTATATCTTACTTGCCCAATGTCAAAAGTCACATGCCCAAATATTTCTCAATACAATGAGTAAGACTTTGGCAATAAAGTGGCACTATACTGTGTGGAAAAAAAATCCTCTCTCAGCCGAAAAAGTCAACTAATGACTCACTTAAGCATGCTAAATAAAAAACAAGACACTGTTCACAACATTTTACTTTTGTGCACAACCAACATGCATTTTTAATGCAGGAGCTTTCATTTCGTGAGTTTTGGTTGCGAATAGGTAGTAGACACGGGAGAGACCTGCACTTGCAACAAGCTGGGGATACTTCAACTATTTTAACAACTAGGAGATGGTGTCAGCCTTTTCTGCAGCATGAACATGGGAACTAGTCTAATGGCACTGACGTGTGTGCAAACCCCCATTTATAGCAATGGTTAAACTTCGGTGTCTTGTCCACAGACAGAAGCCGTACTTGATCCGCAGCCCTCGCAGACGTCTGTCTGTGGAGGTGCAGCTGCAGAACACGCTGGAAAACGCCTACAACACCAGTCTGACGCTGCACTATTCTCGCAACCTGCACTTCTCCAGCCTCAGCATCAGGGTACTGCGCACACAGAGACAGCCTCTACAGCCCTGCACATGTGCGAGGATGTAAACTGGGCTCTTGTCGGTTTCAGGAGGACGCTTTTCTCAAAATAGAATGTACGGCGCTTACATCCAACAGTCACTCCTGCAACGTCAGCTACCCAGTGTTCCGCTCCCAGTCCAAGGTAAAGTACTTTCACTGTTTAGATCAGACACACCAGGTCCATTATTCGTCCCACAATGGGGAAATTGATGGATACACATACACATCAAGGCAAGCAGCAAACATCACTTCCACGCTCCTTATAAGTGGGTTAAGTGTCTTGCCCAAGGGCCCAAAGCTCTACCAACTGAGCCACTGTCGCCCCAATATTGTGCAGTCAATAACATGCATAAAAATAACAACATAAATTACGTTAATTATTTTGTTACTTAGAATGTTAAGCTTTTTGCATTGAAGCCAGTTGAAATTGTTCATATTCATTAATTCATTTTTTTTTATTTATTGGTTTATCTATTTTCTTATTGTTTGATTTTCATAAATTTACAATGATGTGAAGTCATATTCTGTGATTTTGGGATGTACAAATTGCTTTGAGTGGTCTCACCAGTCCACTTTTATTATATTTAAAGGTGAATTTCATGTTGGAGTTTGAGTTCAGCTGCACGTCGCTCCACAGTCGAGTTCAGATGAAACTTTATGCCTCCAGGTAAATCACGTCTCTATAATTGTGCACTTTAATACATCTGTAAGTAAACAATAATTAGATAATATTTAAATGATAAATAATAAGACAACATGTTTATTCTCAGTGACAGTGTGGAAAAGGAAGAGACTTTGGGCGACAACAGTGTCCAGCTGGTGAGCTTTGTCCAGTACGAGCCGGATCTCTTCGTGAGCAGGTGAGTTTAGTTTAGCATTATTCTGTATTCTTTCAAGTTGTGTATCCTTGCATGTTTATATATGTTTTCAATTGCAGTGATTCTAATTTGAACCGATATGAGGTCCATCCCACGCGGTCTGTGTCTGAAGCCATCGGGCCAGAGTTCTACACACATCTCAGGGTAACGGGCCTGAGATGAAGACATACTGTGTTCTTTGTCTCATTGTTTGTTCAAGTATCTGTCTGAATGGCAATAGGTTGATTTTATTGAATATATCTCTGTATTCTACACAGACCAATGATCCAACATCAAGTCACTAATAGAAACTTGTGTTCCCTATGTGTGACCTTTTTTGCTCATCACTTAAGTCGAGTGATGTCTGCAAATTCAATTGTATTTCGTTTTGAAAAAAATACATATTTCTGACCATATGACCCTATAGAAGCATCTATATGAAGTATTTTTCATAATAAATATATTTAAAACAGTCCCTCCCTTTAGAACCAGTTAGATGGCAGACACATCGGGCCATGCTCAATTTGAATCCAATCTCATTTAAAATCTAAAATACAATTATTAAAATGTAATATGATAGATTATAAAACATACAAAATGTGTCCAGGTTCAAAATCTGGGCTGTTATTCTGTGAGTAACTTGGAGGTGAAGCTGCATCTCCCATCGGTGGCGGCGGAGGACAGAGTTTTCATGACAGTCACTGACGTCTCTTCTTTTAATGTAAGTAAACTGTATCTGAAGTCTGCCTGTTCTGCTGTTTATGTAATGTTCATGTGTGTCATAAACTGCCATGTGATTATAGGCCACTGGAGTTAACTGCAGTGTTGTCAGTAATCTGGCTCAGCTTAAAGCCCGGCAGAGAGACGTGCGGCCGCTTCACCCTGAAGACATGGTTCAGAATGACATACTGGTGAGTGTAGCGGTATTTGGATATTAGTACCACTGCAAAAAGAATAATAATGTTAGAAAAGCTTTTAAACATTCAACATTACATTATCCATTCATTCCACATTCACTTACTGTGGTAGACGGCTACAGTCGGCACCGCTGCCCTGTGGAAGACTGCCTGACTAACACACACGTACACGTACACACAAACACAGCAGATTCACACTGGACTGTGGGAGAGGACACAACAACAGTTTTGTGGCACCTGTTATTCCTATCTCCCATCCAAGAGCTTTGATAAGTGGGTTTGATAAATAGTTATGGCCACAAAGAGTAAATCTATTATTCAACAACAGAACTCAATATAAAATCTTCCCGAAGCCCCTGCATTGAATGTTTTTCTCCTAAAGCCTCCTCTGTGCTGTGTTCTTTCTGCTGCTGTGTGCAGAACTGCAGCAGGTCGTGGTGCACAGAGGTCAGATGTGAAGTGCAGCAGCTGCTGAGAGGAGAGGCTGCAGTGATCCGGGTCAGCCGCAGGGTCCACGAAGACTTCTTCAGAAGTGTAAGAAGCACACAGCATCCATCTGCTCACAGTTCAACATTCACAATAAGGATTAAGCATTATTGTAGATTTGATTTCCCTGGGAAAAGACTAAACAAAGGCTCTTGGATTGACATGTTGTGGTGTTTGTTTAAAGCTGGGGTAACATACTTTCAAACCACAACTGTTTGGTTCTATCATAGTTTTCACATGCTTGTATATTAATCAGATCAGCATTTTGTTTTTAAAAGACTCTTTTTGTTGGAGTAATCTATATTATTTATGGAACAAATAAGTTAGATATCCCAGCCTTAACCATATTCAAAAAAAAATGCTATTAAAAGATTGTGAAGTTTAAATTGTCTTAATAACATTTGTACATAAAGCAACTCAACATTAAAACACTTGCAGGACACTCCAATGCTGTGTATATTTACATGTAAGATTAAGAGATGCGTTATTCCTCCCACAGTGGGGAAATTTCAGTGTTGCCTCTGACCCTGTCCCCCGGGACTGCAGATGAAAATTAGCCTTTGGCTACTATTGGACATGTTGACATAAATGTTCAACCCTATATGCTAATTGACATGTACTGTCCCAGTCAAATGAATAAATACAATACAAAACACAAAATCACAAGTTACAGACAGTAAGAATCATCAGCACATAATACAAGATAAATGAACATTAACTCTGTGGTAAAATAAAAAAGAAGCAGTATAAAATCTCTTACTTTAGCAAATTAAGAAAAAAAATCTGAAATTTCTGACTTTAGAATAATAACTAAGTAAGTAAGAATAACATCTCCAACTTTGGCATAATACACAAGCAATATTAAAGTACTGCATATTCTAGTGCAAGTAATAAACAGTTGTATGTATACATCAGAATACACATGTTAGCATCATGAGGGTATGGGACCAAGTGACTCAGTAAAGTGACAGTAACACATGTGGTTCTATATTTTACATTCATTCTGACATTGAAGTTATTATTAAACAAAAGAGTAAAGTGACAGTGGACACATGTGGTTTGTATCCTTTGTATGTATTCTGTATATACTGTATTTGCATGTATTCTGTGCAGGCAAAGTACAAGTCGGCGAGGATCATAGGAGCCTACAACGTGGCTGCTCAAGAAACTAACCTCATTACACTGGGGACTGGGACCATCTGGAGAGAGGTGAGGCTGACGGCTATTCCAAGACAGAAGAGATAGATTTAGATTTGATATTTAAACGTCTGTGTTTGTAGACGGTTCTGGAGGTGCTGAAGGGGAGAGCCATTCCCATCTCGCTCTGGATACTGATCGGAAGCATCATCGGAGGCTTACTACTACTGGCACTGATCACATTTATACTATGGAAGGTAATTACACAATACACTGAAGCTTTTGGTTTCTGTATTTTTGCCAAGAGTCTACAAACATGGAAGCTCATGACGCTCCTGGGAATTTGAAAGCTTCAGAAAGAACTCAGCCATTTGTTTATAGTTTTATAGATTCAGCGCTGGAGAGAGGTGCATCCTTCAATATGTATTTGAGGGGAAGAATAACAATGTGGTGAACAGAACAAACAAGATCATTCATAAAGTCCTTTTTTAACTGCTTTTGTTTCATAAACATTCGTTCTGGTTAGCACTTTGATATTGGATAAAACATGAACACTGAAGCATGGGACTATAAACTAATAAAGATGCTATGCTAGCTTTGAAAATTATTTTATGTATATCTCTTGAAGCAAACAAACCACTCAACTTGAATACTGGACTCGTATTTTTGTAGTAGATTTTTCTATTCTGACAACTTATCTTGACTTGATGATCCTTGTCGCCTGATCTATACACATATCTGTTCTTTCTAATGGATAAGTTACTTAAAATTAATTTTGCAGGTGACAACAAAGTTTGTCCAACATGTTTGTAGTGGTTAGCCAATAGCCATGCTTCTAAGGTTTGAAGTTTAGTAGCATAACAACATGTATTCTAGCTATGTTTCCTTTGCTTTATTCTGTGTATGAAAGTTGCTTTTCAAAGGCAATGCTATATAGCTTTGGTCATATCATAAATTAAGGTAAGTAATCTTTCATAGACCAGATTCACAAATCTGTTGTTGTGGGCATTTGTTTCTCACTCCACACAGAGATGGGAGTGAGGTCGACGTACAGGAGGCATATGCCAGACCTACTGTACATGTTTGTAGGGGTAGGGGAAACCGGAGAACCTGGAGAAAACTGGTGCACCCAGAGGAAACCTACACAGAGTGGATGCATTATTGAGCAAAACTCTTGTCTGTTGACTTGTTTTTTATTTGAGTTTCCATGAATGTTAATACCTCTCAATGCTTCCCTGTGCTTTCCCTTCAGCTGGGATTCTTCACCCGGAAACAAAGAGAAGAGGATGAGAACCATGAGGACTGAATGTGGCTGTAGACTTTCTTTGTTGCACAAGATGAAGGAGTCCAGCGCTGCAGCAGGACGCCCACGCACAGGGCCAGACCAACGAGCAGCCGGAGACTCTACAACCTTTACAACCCCATTTTGGACGGGTTCGGGGCACTTATGTACATACACTTTTTGTAATTTTAAAGGAGAAATACATGTGTAATAAACTGCTACCTTTTATTTAATACACTTCTGTTGCAACTGTTGATTTACTCTGCTGCTCATTGGCTTTTTGAAAAGTCTGATTTCTCACATTGTGCCAAAGTAGTACACAATTTCTTCCTGCAAATTGTACACTGCTATTTACACTACATCCTTGATTTGACGCACAAAAACCTCTTCAATTTGACAGACGGTTACAGGGTCATATCAGTATTACTAGTCCATATTTTTAGTTAATTTAGAAAAAGCACACCAGACCAGGCTACATTATTGTTTCCATTTTATTCCAACTTAAATTCTTCAAAATTTTGAAACCATAACATATTTCTATTAGCAAATAATTTAGCATTTGTTTGACATTTTGCATTGTCCCTTCAGTTTGTTGTCATTGTGGTGAAAATGTAGGATTCCAGGAGAAAGATGGTTTCATCCACCTGGTTTTCTGCTGAATCCAACCTGGAAAAATAATTTGCTGGGTTAAGTTATAGGGACAGAAAAGAGAATGTTCCTTATTGCATCAATCGACCAAGACACAATTGATAATGATTGATAAGATGAGCTCAGCTATAAAACGTATAAATGACTATGGATATTCTATATTATGTCATGTCATGTAATTTTCATCCCCTTTATTAGTCACTGCCACCCAGTCCTCAAAGCACCAGCCCCTCGCTGATTCTCCTGCAGGTGGTGGGTCCACGGGAAGATGGCTTCTCTGTCATCTAAGACACGGCCTTGGTCTTTCAACAGGGGCTTCGGGCAAAGTGGGGTTAAGTGTCTTGCCCAGGGACACATCGAAAGCAGACTTCAGTGGGAACAGGTAACATGAGTCGGTGGGGGATCGAACCCACGACCATCAGGTTCAAAGACCAATGAACCACTGTCACCCCCATTGTCGATATTCTATATGCGTTCTTTATTTTATCGTCTGAAAGTTGGTGATGTGGTCCGCTGGTTTCAGGCAAACTTTCCTCAAAGTATTACAAAATATTAACCGGATAATAATTGGCAAATAAAATGGCAAAATAAATTAGAAAATGTTTTTTTATCCATAAACGTTCCTTTAAAGGGTTCAAGATTATTCAGAAAAGAGCAGAAATCCAGGGGTGTGCACAAGGCCTTCAGGTTATTGTTTCTTGACCCCTAGACTTGGCGGTAAAATGGCCAAAACACAGTAGTAGTACAAATAGTTGATAAAACACTTTTCTACTATTGTGCTGTACTATTGTTTCATGACCCGCAGAGACATGTTCTATACACCAGATTTTAAAGCACTACTTTTTGTCCCACAGTGGAGGAAAGTCAGTGTCAAAGCAAGTAAATCGATGTTAATATTATAAGACTGGACTGCCACCCCTGCTTTAGAGGCACAAACAAACTATGGACAAATGTTGAAAATAGAACGCGAGGTTGTGTATTTACTTGTTGACATGCAGTCGTAGAGCGTCGAGCTGTTGTTTTTCTGGTGCAGTGATCATCTCCTCCACCTCAGTGAGCTGCTCCGGCTCTGCTCCGCTGGCCTGAAGCGACGCCAGGATCGCTTCTATTCTCTGAGACTTCTCCAACAAACGTCTGTGGAAATGACATCCACACACTTTAGTCACAAACACATTCTGTACTGTACAAAACCGTGAAGAACAAGTTGGGACCTACTTGCTTTCTTTAGTTTCGAACAAGCGTCTTTCTATGAGGTTTCCCACTGACTGAAAGCACAATGACGATGTAACAAGTTTTAATAGAAGCACATATGAAGACAACATTTTATACATATTTCTGGCCAATTTACAGAAACAAATAAATGACCTTGTAGCAGTTCTGCAGGAGCATCCTCGCCGTGGGCAGCTGGTTCACGGTGTAAAGATAGAAAGTGCGGGAAGGAGCATAGTCTGGGGTCTTTGGGACTTCCTGAGAGAAATAATAACAGTGACAAATATGTATTTATAAAGAAGAAATTGATTAAATCTAATACTTTTTTAAAACTTACCTGGAGTTGAACAAGGTTTTCTGACAATAATGTGTAAAGCATTTCTTTTGCTTCTTTAGCAGGAATCATGGCAAAGTCTTCCACCTGCTTTTGCTCTAAGTGACGAGTTCTTAACAGCAAGCGAAAGATGCGAGCCGACCGGGATCCAAATCTAGATGAAAATATTTGGTTTTACTCACCGGTTTAGTTTGCCAAAGTTTTATAATGTACACTTACTTCTCTTGTACGACTGATTCAAGTGTGGCTCGAGCCAAATTAGCCAGAGCTCTGTGTAAATCTGAGAGTGTTGTCAAGAAATACTAACAGAAAACAGATGTATTAAACTGGATATAATAAAAGGTAATAAAGGTAAACTAAAAATCATTGTTGATGCTTTGCCTGGAAAGTTCCACAAGTAAAGAATAAGGAACAAACTCAAATAATTCCAAAAATCATGAACTTCTATTCCAAAAGGATACTGACGACAAACATGCCTCCTCCGCTCTCCCCGGCTTTTCCCACAAACTCCATCTGGAAAATAGATTTAAAACATTACTAAATGACCCCAATAATGAATAATCCTTAAACAAAGGTCTTGAAAGCATACTGGGTCGTCCACGAGGAGGCTGAGATACTGGTCTAATATCTGTCTCTGAATGTTGTAGCTCGATGGGAGAGACCGGAAGATTTCATTGGCCGAGAGCGGCTTCGTGCAGGGCGCCAGAGGAGAGGTGGTCACTTCACTCATCCTCAGCATTGTTCGGACAATCTCACTGCTGGTCTGGGAGAAACGAGGAGATACCACATTCACTTCATGCAATACATTATCCAAGGGGACTGAACATATATTTACCAAATGAACATTTTCTATATTGAATGTCTCTTTTAGCAACAAAGCCATATATTTACCTCTTAAAAGTCTTTAAAAACATTTACAACAAAAACACTTGCTTTGTACAAAGCTTCTCAAAGCCCCACATTGTCAAAGGTCATTCACTTCTGTTCATACTCAGTGGTGGCAACCACTACTACTCCTTCTGTAACCACAGCTGCCCTAATAGCAAATGTTTTTTTAATTACATTTACCCGTCAAATCCAACACTTGGTGGACATGTTGTAAGACTTTTACCTGGTCCAGTTTGTTGGCAACAGCACTGATGATGGTCTGGTCTCTAAAGTGGAGATGAAACCTCTCAAAATTCACCTGCCAGTAAATGGCCTCATCACCATGAGTCTAAACGACAAAAAAACATGTTACAAAACAGTAAGTATAGTTTTAATATATCAAGAGATTAAGGATGATATAAGACCTTCTTGATACAATTCTGCTATGAGGAGACGTCCCCAGAACACACATATCATACACATCTGCCGTCCTGACAGTAGAGGTCAGGACGGTCTGTGCTGTACTCTTGGCCTCAGCAAAGGCCAAGAGTACAGCACAGACCAAAAGTTTGGACACACCTTCTCATTCAAAGAGTTTTTAATTTTCATGATCCTGAAAATTGTAGATTCACACTGAAGGCATCAAAACTTTGAATTAACTCATGTGGAATTATGTACGTACTAAAAAAAAAAAGTATTAAACAACTGAAAATATGTCTTATATTCTGGGTTCTTCAAAGTAGCACCTCGTGCTCTGATTACTCTCCTTATTGGTCAAATAGCCCTTACACAGCCTGGGAGTGAATCTACTGTCAATAGTCATTTAAAAAAAGGAAACTCATTGAATGAGAAAGCGTGTCCAAACTTTTCGTCTGTACTGTACATCAATGAGGAGTAAAAATTTAGACTAAATGAGCAGGCAAAATTGGCAAGATCTCAACAGAAATATCAGAACAAATCTGGTAAATGTATTAATTTAATCATACAACTTGATGCAATTGGATTAGCAGTTTAAGCTACTCCATAAAAACGTAATCAAAAATTATATATTTTTGATGAAATACAACATTACATTAACATTTTAAAACTCAATGTGTGTTTGAAGATACCTGTGTGTCCAGCCGTGGCTTCTTAGCATTTCTCTGCTCCTCTCCTTCCTCTGTGACCAGAGGGCGTTTTCCTCGGCCGATCAGAGTCACATGAGGCACTTTATAACATTCGGAGAAGCTCTCTGCAGATGAAGGAGTGGTTTTCTCTGCAGATGATGGAGTGGGATTGTCTGAAGAAGAGGCTTTCTTCTCTACTCCTACTGGAGGACAGCGCTGAAGAAAATGAGTTTCCACCAGTTTGGAGAATGAAGATGACACTTCACTGTAATCCATACTCTGGCCCTCTGTAGAGACATGACAATCAATGCATCAGATGATGCCCCAGTGGTAGCACAGGGTAAATATCTAACATATTTGGCTCAGCTAAGATTATTTGAGATTTCATTTTATGATAGATAGGCACAGAGACTAGAGTAGGTTCATTCATATTCTTAAGGCTGGTGTACCAAACATATTTTTCTCATACCTAATCTGTGTTGTTTTCCCCACCAGGAAGAATCTTGTAAAAGTAAAATGTTGTGAACAACTCAGATTGCAAGTATCTTATGCACACTTGTAAGAAATATTGCTTTAGGTTGAGAGCTGATTGGCTGAGTGAGTGTGGTCCTCTCTTTCACACTTTTCTATCTGAAAAAGCTGATCTAAAAATGTGACAGAGGCCCAAAATACTTCTACATGTGAAAACTAGAGAGAACTACATTGTTTTAGAGAAATAAATGTTACTAGTGAAATACATTTTATGACATAGTTAATTTTTTTGTGGTTAGGTACCCCAACAATAAATAACAGATATGCATCTTGTGTGTTTGTTGTCATATAACCTTGTTTCTAGTGCTTTTTAAATGTCTACTGTCCTGTAATGCACGCAATGATAACACTAAAATTTCCCAACGGTGTTAATTAAAGTTATTACAATACCAAAAGTTCATGAATTGTTAGGACATGAAATGTCCTAAGAGAGGCTGGTTTCAAACTGCATCCCATTATGAACAGCTGCAAACCTCTGATAACTGCTTTAATACATCTTCTGACCTTCCATGTTCTGTGTGAGTCTATCGGCAACAGTCTTCACCGTCTCGCTCATGGGCAAGTGGCCTCGTTGGAGCAGTTCCTCTACGATCAGCTCGCCTGTGTCTCCGTACAGAGTTTTAGCAGTGTAGATGTAGCGAGGGTAGCGCAAGATTCTCAAGATGCGGTCCCTGTCAGCACAGTACTCGGCGGGGCTCCCGGGGCCTTTACGACCAGAGTAGAATGTACAGGCCCCTTGTTGCATCAGAACACACAAAGTCTTCTTCACCTGCAGACAGACAATCACCATGAGGGATTTGAACTCAACTTTCTCATTCCTACCCATTTGAATGTCGTCTATTTCTGCAAAGAATAGAATATTGTTATGCTTATGTTTTTACTATAAACCAGATAAATGTTCTTTAATGATGGTTGTCATTACATGCACTGGTCTCTAAATATTGTAGTAATTTATAACACTACTTCAGATGATAAACTACTCCCACAACATACACACAACAGTATATAACAAATATTAGTGACACAATCAGATGGCCGTACCTGGTCAAGTGGGAGGCCCGTAGCATTCACGATGGTTCTTAAATTCTGTGGTCCATTGCTAAGCAGGTGTGTGCCAACCTTCTCCACCACTTCTCCAAAATGCTCCCGTAGCAGGAGCCCGCAAAGCCGCACCTCACTCGCCGTCATCTCTTCATGAAGACCAAAAAACCTATGAATCAAAAATTCTATAGATCAGAAAACCTGGAAAAAATGTGTGCTTTCAAAATAATTGCACATTTTTAAAGCCATTGGTAAGGCATCCACTACCTGCAATGGGAAAGTTACATGTTACCTCAGATGGATTGAACCCAGGGTACTAGTAATTCACTGTACTCTCTGACAGGCCTTACTTTTGACTAAGAATACTTTAATACGCTTTTAAACTTTTAGACCAAGATGCCAAAACGTCGTTCAAGTTTTTTGTTCACTGACAATGCAAATAAAACTTTTTAGGGTAACTTTACATCACATTGCATATTATACATAGATAATGTCAACACAGCAGTATGCGCATAACAGCGTCACAACCAAGGCCCACTAAAGTCACACTTTTACGAGCATACTATATTCGGAATCCTTCACACATATTTGGAAGAATAATTTAACTTACAGACGGTGGAGTCAAACACATGTGACACCTGTGTTGTTGTTAGCTGCTGTGCTGTTAGCTGTTAGCCGTGTCGCGGTGCATGCTGGGGGCCAAGGGCGGTCCCAGAGTCTGGTCCTCACAGAGCTCCTCCTCCTCGGTCTCTCGGCTGGTCGTGCTGCTGCTGTTGGTGCTCGGGGCCTGGGGAAAGATGGCGGAGGCTGCGGCTGTTCCCCCGCATCGGTTTTTCTGTCACTGTTGTAAAGGAGAAGTGAATCCGAAGCTCCCGGTAAGACAATCGTGCTGTTTTCGTGGGGTGAACCGGTTCCGTCGTGGGTCGCGCTGTTGTCAGTCTGCATTTCTCTGGGAGAGCGTTTGTTTTGCTTGCCTGCTATTGGTGCCTTTGAACTAGAGAAACCATAACCAACATCCTCGTCCAGCTGCCATGTTGTGAATGTACATAGAATCTATATTTATAATTATTATGGGTTTTGCTACGAATAACTGTCCTCACTTAGTAAACAATACGGTATTATAATTTTTCGTATTGATTAAATTTAAATTAATTTAGATTAAATTTGTTGTATTAAGCTTATGAATTCATTAATTGTTTTAGATATTAATTGTTGTACTTACAATACCTATTCAACAATAATCAAAATTAAATAATATAATTTTCTCTTTAGTGCCATTATATTTTTTCTTGAAATTTAGCTGCTCTTACAATCTCAAGATGGCCGCCGCTATTGTCGCCACAACAGAATCCGTTTTACTTCTAGCGTTTATTCCATACCAATCGCAAGCTAGCCCTGTTTGCATGTAGCAGCGTTTGTTGTCAACTCTCTAAAAAAAGACATGACAAGTGTGAATGTTTTCGACACTGATGTACAAGACTATTCCAGGTGTTCTGAGGCTGCTGTGTGACTGACTGCCTCATACTCTTGACACTTTTCCATATTTAAGCTTTGACAGCATCACATATGAGGTCCACAACACAATCAACAGCTGATCTTAGCGATATGACAATACCATAAAAACATACGATATTAAGATTGTGAGCGGAGGATATTCAACTAGTAGTCAGATTAGAAGACTTCTTTCTTTCGTTTTTGTTATTCCTTTTCCTTTTGTTTTGTTTTGTTATTTGTAGTCACGATTTAAGAGAAGGTATTCAGGGGATTTTTGGGACTGAACTACTATTTCAGTTTCAGTTTGATGTTGGCATAACAAGACAATAATAATAAATACGGGTAACTTATTGATTGAACTGTAGACTTTTTCTACTTAAAACCATTAGAGCGTTATGGTTTGTTGCTCGGAGGTTCATTCAGATGATATATTTCAGATAAAATGTTGAATGAGGACACATGCGTGCTACAACATGCTGGGTCACGTAGTTATCATAAATCTATTCCTAAACTGCTCAGTGTAGGTGTGGTTGGCAGACCAGCTCTACCTCCCAAGTTACATTCACAACGCTGTATTTCAATTGTTACTAATATTAGTCTGTAATAAAATGAGTATGTATGCTAGGCCAAACAGGAACCAGCTGTGGCTCTTTCCCCTGGGTACCCTCAATTAACGACTGGCTTTTTCCTGTATTGTCAATTAACCATAATGCAATTTTTATAACACTTAAATTGAAACACTATAGCCGCTGTTTGGGAATTGTCTTTTTTTTTTGTGCGTTATAATGTTTTTTTATGGATGAATATGCTAATTAAAAACGTGGTATGTTGTCTTTGATATTTGGTAGTTATTTATATCATTGTTCGTTTGGTTCAATTCAATTCATTCTTGTATAGCCCTAAATCACAACAGTAGTCATCTCAGAGGACTTCATTATGGTTGTTCAATACAGTTATAGAGTTTGAAATGTACTTTTTTTTCGTTCTAGGAATTTATTTGTCCCAGATGTGATTCAGGTTTCATAGAGGAAGTAACGGAAGACTCCAGGTAAGAGCTGGTATTTCCATTTACAATTATTTTGCTAATCAATTAGTTGGCCTGTTATTCTTTCAATTAATGTTTAAATCCCTTAAGTTCAGTGAATTTACCAAAATAAGGCTTAAGTGATGCCCCTGGAAAACATTACACATTAGGTTGTTTGAAAAGCCAGCCCTTAAAGAATTATTATTTTTATGGGCGGCACGGTGGCTGAGTGGATAGCACTCTCGCCTTTCAGCAAGAAGGTCCTGGGTTCGAATCCCGGTTGGACCAGGGCCTTTCTGAGTGGAGTTTGCATGATCTCCCCGTGTCTGCGTAGGTTTCCTCCGGGTACTCCGGTTTCCCCTACCACTAAAAATATGTCCAATAGTTCTGGCATGTGCCTCCTGTACTGGCCCCGCTCCCATCTCTGTGTGGAGTGAGAGACAAATGCCCAAAATTAACAATTGTAAACCGCTTTGAGACTCAGATCTGCAGTGAAAAGGCGGTATATAAATAAAAGATTACTTACTTACTTACTTATTTGAGTCATAAAGTCTCATCTCAGCATGTTTAATTCTATATGAATGTAAAAAAATATATATATATATTTATTATATTAGTTGGCATGTGCAACTATGTAAATTTGGATTTAATTGGTTGTGATTAATTTGTCAGAGCCATGATTTCCATTGTTCTGTAATTATACAACATTGTTTTAATAATAATTTATCATCTTCACTAATTTTCCTCAGTCTCCTTGACAGTGGTGCGAATGGGGTGGATGACACAGCCTCACAGTTTGCAGAGGTATTGTCAATACATGTATAAAAAACAATACATTATTTCTTACCTTTTTGCCAAACTTAGCTCGTCTTCTCCGTGTTCTTGCAGCTCTGGCACCTCCTCTTGGTGGAGCGGCCCTTCACAACAGACGCCGACAGCCCGGACTCGGAGCCGCGGTTACCTGGGGGCCGTCTTGGTGCGCTGGGGGACCTGGGGGGCTTGGGGACAGGGCCGTTTGGAGGCTCGGTCCCTGCTGGGCTCGGAGGGCCCATGGGGGGTCTCCTGGGGTCCACAGATCACTGGAGCTCCGGTCGCCCTCCTCGTCTGCACAGTCAGAGGAGATACAGGTCCAGAGGGAGCAGCCGGCCTGACCGCTCACCGGCTGTAGAGGGGTGAGTCAGCCGATTATTTACACCAGAAATGTGTCAAATCTGAGTAAAGTCGCCTGTTCTAATGTGCGTTATGGGTCACAGTCTTACACCACGGTGGGACAGAACCTTGCTCAATATTTAAGGTCGTTTTAGTTACAGAGTATGTCAAAATGATGAAGAAAATGCAGTTTTAAAAAGGAAGCCCTCAACTTAAAAGATATATATATTTTATTTAATTCAAATGAAAATACAGTTTTAAAAAATAAATTATTGTCCAAAACAGTTATAATAATTGTAAGAATTGTTATGTATAATACAAATAAAGCTACTGAATTACTTTAGTGTTGTGTTTAGCTTTCATGTATGTGTATATCATATTCACAACTGTATACATGCTGATTTATTTCTGTATACGGTTGTAAATATTACATTCAGATTTCAGAAACAAATTTTCTACATTTTATGTGGCTTTATTTTGGTAATAGGCTGAAATTATAGTTACTTTCCCAACCCCAACGCTGTTGGCCCATTGTTGGATATAAAATGTATTTTTGTTATTAAACGAGATTATTGGTGCTGGCCCATATTTCCACTTCCGTAACTATTGTGTAAACAAGACGAGCTAGGGCCCTTGTTTACTGTGCAGTTCAGACACTTGTGCACTTTGAGCTGAATATGCTTTGTTTTTGAAAACACCCAAAATGTTCCATAGAACACTACAAAAAACATGTATAATATAGAGCATACAAACAAGCAAAATACAATATGCAAACCATTTATTCTTATTTCAATTCTGTTGTTTCCCACAGCATTGTTCAGCAGTTTCTGGCTGGTCTGTTTGCTAACTCCGGGGTTCCTGGTTCGTCTCCTCTGTCATGGTAAGGGAAGATATTGCTGATTTGGCATTAGCCATAGTTCTGCTTAAATGTCTTGTTCTTTCTTAAAGGACGGGGATGCTGCATTCTAATCCTGGGGACTACGCCTGGGGGCAAGGAGGGTTAGACGCGGTTATAACACAGGTACATTTTTTCACACTATGGCTCATTCATTAATGTTGCGAGAAGTTGGTTTAATACAAATACATTAAAAATACCTTCTCTTTTATCCTTCATTTTGATTGCCCTCAGTGACATTAAAATTATCTTAAAAGGGGTTGGATTTCAGTTGACCAAACCTGGAGCAACCCTGTCTCATTAAAGGGTCAATTTTAAAAGCACAGGGAAGGAGGTATTTTTGCTGAATGCGGATGCAGGGTATGCCTTTTGAAATCCTGAACTAATGAAAGTACATTGGGATTTTAACTCAAGCCAGTCCAAGACCAAGCTATGAATGACAAATGTGAACCGTTGATTTATTCTCTAAAAGGTTCCCATATATTATATAATTGTTCATGATTATCCTTTCCATGTGTACTACTAGTTACTAGGTCAGTTGGAAAACACTGGCCCTCCACCAGCAGAGAGGGAGAAGATCTCCACTCTTCCAACAGTCAACATAACTCAGGAACAAGCAGGTCAGCGTTTTACATGTCTAGTTTTATTGTTCAAGGATCCCGATAGTCTGTTACATGTTCTGTGTGTTTTTTACCTTAAATTATGTAAAGGTAGTTAAAGTGTTAAAACATTAGCTAATTGTCTCACTGATACATGTCTGACTACTCTTACTGTAGGCAAAGTGTGATAGCAGGGACCCAGCTTCTGTAGATGTTTGTCCTTCACACGTTGCTTCAGTGAGTGAAGGACTCCTTCAGTTGCGGTGTCTGCGTGGGCTGTGGATATATGCAATTGCAAGACATGCTTTCAACACGTTTCTTTTTTTAATCATTAACGCTACAGTACTCACTTTTCAAACCGCAAGAGGAGGAAGAATGTATTTCAATCTCTACAACTAGTTCCTAATTGTGACAAACCCTGTGTTGTGTTTGTAGAGTGCTGTATGGAGTGTCCTGTTTGCAAAGAGGACTTCACATTAGGAGAGCCCGTGAGACAGCTGCCCTGTAACCACTTTTTTCATTCAGACTGTATAGTACCATGGCTGGAAATGGTGAGTGGTGAAATAGCCGTTTTTTGTAGAATAGTTCTCAAAACACTTCTTCAATGTTCTGTTGTTCCCCACAGCACGACACGTGTCCCGTCTGTAGGAAGAGTTTGAACGGAGACGACAGCAGCCAGTCCCCCTCAGAGCCTCCCTCGCAGTCCATGGACCCCCGCACACAGGAGAGATGGTCCTTTTGAGACCACCCTCTCTCTGCCCATCCACACCTCCAGCATCAAACACAGAACATGCATCTCACCGTTCTTTCCACCTCCTACAGAGTCATCAAGGTCTTATCGTTATGTTTATATTTTTCGTACATCTTTTATCGCCCATTTGCAGATGCGCAGTGAGGCCAGCTACAGGATTTGCTCTATGCCTCTTTCATTGTAATAAACAGTCACTATAGAGGCTGTATTTTCAACTGGACTTCTCGAAGTTCCCCTTTGCCCACCTGAAATGCACTGCTTCAACACAAAGACTTGATTTGATCATGATTTGCTTTTTGTTCCCAAGATACAGTTCCACATACTGTACAAATTGGACAATATTATTTTGAAATAGAAATGATTACGTGTAGTCATTTCATAACATGTTTACACGGGATGTACAAATCAAAGCGGCCATTATTCCTCGTTTTACACTGGATTCCTTTTTCAGTAAACTTGTTTTTGATTTCTGAATATGAAACCGGAACAAATCAAAGACTTTTTACATTTGACTTCATGTTATGGCAAGAAGAATATATTCGTTTTCCACAAGCGCGTGGAGCGCGCTTGCGTCTGACCGCTGAAACAGGATCCTTGTGGTGTAAATATGACGCAGCCCTCTGTTGGTTCTATTCCTTTGTTTATCACTGTTTTGTTTAACATTTTTATCACTTTTTTAATATGAATACAATTAGGAAGACGACTCTGATTTGCAAAGAAAACCTAAGAATGGAAACGCAAATGTGAATTAACTATTGAACTGTATATTAAATATATATGTATATGATTTAATAAATTGCAAAAAAAATGTTGCAAGGCTGAATATAATAATATCAAAAGAAATGGCATAAGCAAAACATCATAGAAAATCATGTTTATTACAAATGTTGATATGAAAAGTGGACAATTAATGCATTGGATATTGTCATTTATGAAATATTGGTGCATTAATGCACACAAGTTACGAACTGCAGTCCAAAACGTGAGCGCAAGCGTTTGTTCTGAAATATGGATTCAAATTAGACCAGGTCATTTATGTCAAAGTGAGTAAAATGTGAATGTAGACTATAGGCACCACTTGCATCAATAATTAGTAAATCAATAATGTAAACGGCTATGCTGTAAAACAGTATGATTTTTGTCATTTCTCTCACCCCAAATTAAAGCTTCAAGTAAAAGGAAAAAAGGACATTCCTTCATTGTAAATTTCAGTGCGAGTTCCAAGTGAGCGTGAGTAAGGAGTGGGCTGGAGCAGTGGAGGTCAGACGTCCCACCTCAGGATCCCACACTTCAAACTTCATCTCTGCAGGCCATCTGCACAAGGAGACGAGGAGGTTAAAGTCCCCACTGGGTCTGGGGCCGTACCTGAGGCCTGGCTCCTGGACGGCACTTCTATCCTTAGCCCGATGCAGCCCTCAAAGAATGTTTGGTTTTTTAGGCCCAAATGAATAGATCCTTGTGTCCCACAGTGGTACATTTCAGTGTTTCATCATTAGATGCAGAAATAAAAATATAGCACAACTCTGTTAAAAAAATCGAGTTAATTTAAAAAAACATAAAAAATACATATACAAATATATTATTGTAAACTACAAAAAAAACTTTACCATAATCCATCCATCCATTTTCTTCCCCTTTATCAATTTCTGGGTCAGGGGGTGGCAGTCAGAGCTGCACCCAGTACACACAGCACCAGCCCCTCACTGATCCTCCTGCAGGTGATGAGTCCACAGGAGCCTTGATCTTTCAGCTGGGGCTTCAGGCAAAGTGGGGTTAAGTGTCTTGCCCAAGGACACAACGACAGCAGTCATTAGTGGGAATCATTAAGTAGGCCTCATGGGCTCAAACCGTCGCCCTTCAGGCCCTAAGGCCAAAGCTCTACCATTTGAGCCACTGTCACCCCTTTACCAACTTTACCAACATCGTAGAGAAAATTTGAGTGGGCCAAAATTGGCTGTACATCTCCATCTCAAGGCCACCAACCATACCGCAAACAACACAGAGGTTAAAATTCTGGCTTGAGACAAAAACACAAACCATTCTTAAACAGAGCAGGCGGTTTAAGATTGGTTTTGCCTCACATCTATGACGACGTCCTAAAAACAACGCCCAAACAATAGATAAGGTTAGTGACGTGCTACTGAGGTAAGATCGTTAGACCTGCTCCCAACCACATTTTAGTAGACCTTAGATGTGTTAATGAGTTAGCCTCAAGATCATGGGGTGTCCAACCACACCCACAGGTTACACATCTCCAACTCGTGGCTGAGCTTTCATTCCCTTGAGAAAGTTCGTTGGATTAAGAACGAAACATTGAGAAAACCTGCTAACTGAGGTACAGCTGATGGGTGAGCAACTTCCTGTGTTTTTTTATACTTGTAAATACATCTCTTCCATCATGATGACTTTGAGGACAGAAACGTTGTAAGCATGAATGATGTCTAGAGTCTGAAATGATGGTCTCTTCAGACATTATCCACACAGATACTCTGCTATTGATAACTTGATGCTCAAAAGTATTCACAACCCTAATTGGTATCTACTGAATTTATGGAAAGCAAAATGAATGATGATTTTGAACAACCTGCTTAGAACAGTGAACTTACCTGTTTAATATAATCAGTACCACTGCTCCATCTGGTCTGAGAAAGGCTGCGTATTCAAACTTTGTTTTGAGATTGGTGGACACGCCCACTCTCTGAGAGCCCTCCCACAGGAACGAGCTGTTTCAGATGAACATAAGTTAAACATGGGCCCAATCCCAATCCCCACACTGCACCCTACACACCTCTGCGAAGTGTGCATTAGTTCGAAGTGCACACAAGGGTTGGAGTGCGCAGGTTACAAGTGTGCAAAAAAGGTGGAATTGGGACAGTGCACACTGAGTGCAGGTTACGTCATCGACTCGTCAAGAGATGGTCATTTTCAGACCTAAACTTTATAAACATTAAAGGTCATTTTGTCCGACGCTGTGGGAAACGAAATGAGTTGCTTCACACACGTTAAAATACATGTATATTGGTTATTTGTAATCTGAGATAGCTGTTTAATTTTAAGTTAAATGTGGGTAACTAACTATCTGGTCAGTTTTTATACATTCTTAGATTATTGCACTAAGTGTAAAGTTTAAATTGAATGTTATATGAACGCTTGCTTTAAAAAGTTATTCAATTATTAAAATACAATGTCCGTAATTCTTCATCAGACGTTTATGCTTCTTTCCAAGTAACATAGCAAAACTTATTTACACACATACTGCATATATATTTCAAAACTTATATTTGGATGCATTTTCCTGACGTTTTGGTTTGTACCGCAAAGATTTATGGGCAATATCCTTCGCCAGAGTGCGCATAGATGCAGGCTACGGCGAAGTGTGGATCAGGGGCGCAAAGGGGGCGGGCCCAAAGACCTCCCTAGAGGATTGGGACACCCTACGCACTCGCACCCATCATCGGGAACGCGCAAATGAGGGGCGCGAGGGTGGAAGTGCGAGTATTGGGACTGGGCCTTGGTCTGACTGAGATCTAGGAGTAGAATAAAAGAATGACCGTACCTGAAGTGGGCCATGGCGTAAAAGCTCGGCTGCTTGTAGAAAATGTCATTTTGTGCGTCCACTATAATCGGACTGTCAACAAAGTTTTTAACCCAGTTTGGACCACCAGTGTTGTCTAAAGCCAGGTTCCAGTCGGTCCAACCCACGACATAATGATTTAAATCCTGTAACAAACATAATCCACTCTTATTTGTGTCCATTATAATATTTAAATCATTTATTATTTTGAAAACGTGCAATACTCCAAATCCTTATGGGCGCTTGGTTTAGTCACATTCTAGTTCAAGTTTATCACCGGGAAGATTTAGGGACTATAAATCCAATTTTGAAATTCAAATATCTATCTGAATTACTCTTAAAGAAGTATTAGAAAAGAGCATGGTTTATTAATGCCTTTTTACATATTGAATGAATGATGACTTGACATGCAAATCTTACGTATTGCTACTTTAATTGTTGTTAAACTGAAACAATATCTGCGTAATGGAATACAGATCAAATCTTTGTGATAGTCTAATACTGTAGAATTTAGTCTGGTTCATTTTCTTTCTTTGAAGCATAAACCAAGTTTAATGCAAAATGTTAAAATGCATTTGAGTGTCTGCAGCTCACCTCCAGGATGTCGTGTGCATATTGTTCAGCTCTGCTCCAGCTCCCCAGCTTCACCCCTCGGTCCAGTGGGCTCCAGCCACTGCAGGCCTCTGTCCCAAACAGGTAATACTCCGGGTACAGGTGGTGGGTGGTCCCCAGGCTGAGCTCGGCTGGGACCAGACCGTCCAGGTACCAGTGAACTGCCACTCCGTGAATGTACCGGCTGGCATGTATATCGCTCAGCACCTACAAAGAACAGCATTCACAAGATTAAATGTATTTGAATGTAGCGGTTCTATAAGTTGAATGAAAGTGAAGCCATCCCAAGTACCATCCAGTCAAAGCCAAGTCAAAAACAGGATAAACTGCACTACAATAGCATTTCTGTATGCTCTCACAAATTCTTGGCACTTATCACTAGTATTAACATGATTTTTTTCCCCTTCACAGCCAGGAACATAGCCTGATTTCCATACTAATCTCCTAGTGTCATACTTTCTGCTAAATTTAGAAAAGGGTGTTTGAGAAGGCCCAGGCTTCCAGCGACCTTCAAGAGTATAGTTCTATTTTCAAAAACATTGAATTACTTAAATTCAGTCTATTTTTGCCTGAGGGGATTCTAATGTGTTCTATGTCTTTAGAGTCTAATAGCAAATAATTCAATAAATCCATCTTTGACTCACCACTTTTGCCCAGTGAGGCAGCAGCAGTCGATTATCATCCAGAATGAGGACGTGTGTGTGTTTGAATGGAGAGTTCTGAAGTGCAGGGCCCAAGTCCAGAGCCACCCAGTCCCTCTGCTCCTCCGGCGTGAAGCCAAGAGCCTGGAAACTGTATCAAATATACATCAAACCTAATAATGAACTATTTGGATTTCTTAGAACGGATACAGATTTTTTGGAGATTCTGCTTGGCTTCCAATCGCCTGCTGCTTTAAACTGCAGATATATTTTAAATATATATATGTTCTGCTTCTGATGATATTTTCATATTAGTAAAACGACGTAATACACCGGCCACGACCCAGCAAACATAGACTGACCATTTTTATTTTTTCCCCTGCACCAACACTCATTCACATGGCTGAACATTTGTATTTAACGCTTAACAGAATGACAGAAATAATACATATGAAATAACGCACAATTTGACTGGTGACTTTTATTGAAACACCACTGTTATTAATAAATCATAAATACTAAATAATATAATACCTGTAGTTTGTCATTTTTCCTGCACTGGGCTCGTTTCCTGTGGTCAAAGCCCAAAAGGTCAAGTTGTATTTTGCATACTCCTCAAAAAACCTATAATAGAAAAAAGGACAATCATCTTCACTTTCAGGTACTTAAATTCACCCAGGCTCACCGGATGTAATACTGTGCCCAGGATTTATGCTCTTTGCCCCCAGGATTCCCCTTCAGAGAACCCTTTCCAATAAGTGCACCATTGGTTTTCATCCAGGCGGGGGCGCTCCATGCACTGGCCAGCAGCGACAGGGGCACTGGGGACATGCTCTGGGCTCGTTGTAAAAGAGGGATCTGTCAAGAGAAGATTATTACATGCTTACAACTTTCCCTCACCGATTTTGCTCTGAATTATTTGTATTATATGGGATGAATGGGCTTTTAAACACACACACACACATTACAATATGATTAAAAATTAGTATAATGACTAGGATTATGTCATAGTGGGTCAATCTGTGCAGTCCACACTAAAATCTTCAGCACTTGTTCACACCAGATACTTTTTTGGCATTTATACAATGTTGGTATTCACTTTGACTTTCACATTGCCGACGACAGCCCTCCCAGAACCAATAAAATTATGACACTTTCAAGTTTTTGAGGACAACTTATGAATATGTAAGTTGTGACCTTATGTTGAATGTCCTCTGGGGCCAGAGTGAAGTGCTCAAGGTTATAGTCCTCCGGCGAGTCCGCATAAGTGTACAACCGCGTGGAGAAGTCACAACTGGCCATGGGAACACGGACCACGCTGTAACCAATACCTGAAGGACAGAGGGACAGAGCATGAATCTCAGAACATGTTTGCGTAACTTATACAAGAATGTGCAAAGCTGATGAAAGTAGCATTACAACTTTTATGATGAACATGGCGGCTCACTAGCTCCCTGGTAACTACCATCCACAGCGCAGAGGTTTCAGCCAAAAGGAGCAACAATTCTGGTCATTTCCCCAAACAAGCTTTGAAACCTTTTATAATAATTATTTTCCTATATCCCTGTAGGGAATTTCACTTCTAGAAACTGTAAGCTTGGCCCACTTCACAACTCCATTGCTTGATCTGAGAAGTAGCAACTATTACCAAATGTTTACACTTATTTAGTCCACAATGAAACAAACAGGCTTTATATTAGGGGTGTAATTTTGGTTGGGGGCCACATATAAAAAACACAAAAGCTGTTCAGGGCTTGACGAATAAAAATGTTTACATATTTTTGTCTCATGTCAACTGTATTTGACTTGAGTTTGGATTTTATTTTCTAGTAGGTTTGGATTCAACCACAACTGAGCCAAATATTAATCAGAGATGCATTGGAAGACTGAAATAATAATAATGAAGTAACTAAAACGTGTTACTTTTTAGTTAACATGTCAGTACATACACAATTATACGGTTGTTTTCCTGACACAATAGGCTTTAAATTGCCATAGCAGCCCTTTACTGTCAATGCTGAAAGGGGCCACTAAATATTGTCTTGGGCATGATTTTGACATGCCTGCTTTATATTATATAGGATTTTAAGGTGTGGTATCTTTGGAAAAGCCCTGGTTGTACGGTCCATGTGTGTGTTGCATAGACTGACAGCATTGACAACATTTACAAACCTTCTGAGGAGAAATACTGCCTCAGGAGCTGGTCCTGAGTAGCAGAGGAGAGAGACATAATGTTGATGGCTGCAGCATCTGTCATAGCTCCTCCAAAGCCCCTCATCTTCTGATACTTTTGGTTGCGGTTTAATGTCATTCTGATGCCTAAGAGACACAACACATCCACTGAAGGAGGGTATGGCGTGGCTTGGTTATAGAAACATTAAAATGATTACCTTCCCCTGTGCTGTTCCTCCCAAACTGCCCTTGTCCCAGCTCCAACCTGCTGCCTGCCATGTCACTCAGGTAGGACACGTACGTTCCCACTGGCGGCAGGGCCATGGGCTTCACACTGTCACAGTAAGTGGCGTTGCACACACACACCACCGAGCCATGGCCAAAGTTCTTGGGAACACATTTGGTTGTTTCTAGAAGATGAATATAAAGAGTTATAAGTAGAGCTAACAGTATTCTATTGATTTTTACCAGTCAATTGTTGGCATTTATACGATGTTGGTATCAACTATGACATTCAAGACCGACCATTTGACCATTCTGTATCAACGCTTTGAGTCAGATTCATAACACGTAGTTTTGAGAGCCATTGCTATGCCCAGTTTATAGTCGCCTAATTGATTGACCGAGTGTAAGTCAGTATGTAATCTTTATTTACTGTATATAGAACCTTTCACAGACTAGAAACAAGTGCTTTACAATTGTTATTATCTTTGAGAAATCTACCTGAACATTGTGAACTGCATGTTTAGAATTTTATTTTTGGAAACATATAGTTCACATTACTAGTAGTAGTTTATTTTTTTGTGTCATTATGAACATTAGATCTTAGGTCACATGTTTTCAAATATTTCAAACATTTTAAAATAAGAATAAAACTAAAAGATGCATATTAAGAATATTAGTACTAAAGATTAATATTATTAAACTGCCTAACCCTTTTACAACTGGGACACTATGCTCATACTAACAATGGTAACATGCAGTACAGAACTTAAACTTCAACAATCAAAATGATGATATGCATTTTCAAATTCAAGCGTTCTGTACTTCTACATAAGGTTTAACTTATACTAAAAAAAAGCTTTAATAGTCCTTTCAGAGCCCTTAAGCTGTATAGGTGGACCTGCTCTTAGTATTAAACCTTTTGTTTTTGTTGCAGATCAGTTCTTCTGAGGTTTTATGTAAATCCTCTAGTTTGAAAAATCTCTTGTAAAAAGTAATACAATTTTAAGACATTTAGTCGAATAAAAAGGGAATTTGTTGAAGCTTAAATGCTGAATTCAGAGCCGATTTGATACAACGCAGAAACATTTTTGTTTGAAACAAGAGCTGAAAAAAGTTGTATTGTTCACTGATGAATTGAGGCAACAAAATTTTAATTCTCTTGAACTTTCACTATACCAAGAGGTTCATAGAGATAAGAATATATTTTAATGGAGAGCAGAAAGAACCAGTTTTTGTTTGATAACAATTTACATTTACAGTGGAAAAATAAGAAAATACAATATTTTAAAATAGTCAATTTAATTAAATAATTTCAGCCCAAGTAATTAATGCCATATTTAGATTAATAAAGAGTTTATAAATAAATCTAGTACATAAACAGGAATGTAATGAATTAGATAATGACAATACAGAACAGTAACATAATCTGTAACAGAGGTGCAGTGTGGTATTACCCATATCACCCAAGGCCAGTACCTGTTGCCACTTGTGTAGTGAGGAAGTAGAGAGCTACAACAGCAGGTGAAAATGACACCATTTTACCTGTGCAAAGAGAAGAAGGCAAATGTGGAATGTATGAATAATCACGATGAAAGCAGATCCACTCTGACAGAGTCCTCACAGTGAGCTAACTGACCCAGACAACAGAGCACAAGTTTAGCTGACACCATCATATTTTATTGTTATATCAGGAAATGCAATGTATTCATCGTATTCGGATTTTTACCGGAGGGGTGTCGTGAAGAGATTCGGACATGTCCCAAATATAATCCTAACGGAAGTACCTTAGAGCTTTTTACTATTGTACTCCTCTGTTTAAGTGAATGTGTTGACAAATGAAAGACGGGCTGTCACGTGATCTAGTTGTCACATGAACAAATCTGCAGTGACCCACACTCTCCGCTAGATGGTGCAACGTTCTGCCCGTCTATGTTTAGGCTCATAGAGCAATATTTCTGATGTGTCTGCCATGTGCTCGTTTCCATGGAGATGTAATGCTTTGCTTATAACGGCATGAAACCATGGATCCACCATAATAACATGAAACTTAATAGTAAGTAGAAAACGCTTCCAAAGCCATTGGGGGACTTGCCCCTCTGGAGATATGACATGATCCACTTCCCCCAAAGTAGATAAGTTCAATACCGTTATAAAGTTTATTGCTAAACCATAGACTTACTATACAGGAGATTATTCCTAAAAAAAAAAAAAAAATGACAACAATTTATTAAAAAAAAAAAAAAAAAAAGGAAGTCGTTCAGGGCACAAATGCCAAATTTGAAAAGGTGAAGTTAGTTGATGTTCAGATATAAAACTTTTTTTTTACTTTTTCAAATCAAGAAACAAACAAAAAAGTTTTGCTATGAAAGATTTATTTACAAATATGTTGACAGTTTTTCCAATGATATACACTTACAGGACATGGACGTTAGCACGTTGTAAGTTTCTTGTAACGTATACTTTGTTGATCACTTCTGACAACTCAAAAGATAAAATCATCCGGGGTTATTTATTTATTTTTCAAAACCGTGAAAGTATTGTTATAAAAAGGCACAGATTTTCTCCAACATCCAAGGATTTCTGTTGCTTAAAAATACAAGCTCTTTTTTCCCTTCCTCTGTATGACCTGTTGAACACACACACAAAATTATGAAGTAACTAGGGTTTCTTTATGAAAAGGTGAAATATGATCCAAAACCTGAGTTACTTTGTGGATGTTGCAACCAATGGCGGTCCATATAATAGAGGTAACAGCTCTCAAATTCTTTCTCACTGTAGTTGGACACTGACACGGGGATGAAGGGATCCATGCAGTCAAATCCTCTCTGATGGCACAAAGTACAAATGAGGAAGAAACAAGAGAGACCTGGACAATATACAATATACTCAATGTTCATGTGGTGAAAGAGAAGGATGTGGGAGGGTGACAAGTTACACGAGAAGGGGGCTTTGGAGATATAAAATCAAGTATGTGATTTTAAAGAGTGCAATGTAAAGCAACTGCAGATCAAGTTAGCGATTGATTGGCAGATTTTGTTGTCCTTCGAGCTCCAATTATTGAGCAAGGGTGGCGAATCCTCCATGCACTAGATTTAGAAATGAAAATTGGCAAACAATGTAGGTAACAACAAAGGCTGTGGTGAGATGAGCCAGGTGCAGGTAATTTCACGCTTGTCTCATTATTTTTGATTAATTTGTTTTGCCCAGAGTTACTCAGATGAATAGATGAGGAGGGCAAAACCAACTTTGGTCAGCAACAGCCATAAAAAATACAAACATTTTAAACTTAATTTACCTCTCCGAGCAGTTCTTGAGGCCTGTATGACAATTTTGGGGTATAGAGAGAACCAGTCTGGGCCAAAGTAGTGATGATCGCTCCTCCATTCTGTAAATAATAAAACCATCCATCCATTTTCTACCCTTTAATCCATTTCTGGGTCAGGGGGGTGGCAGTCAGAGATGCCACCCAAGTCTCATAGCACCAGCCCTAATAAAACCATATTATTGATAATTGTTAAAAGATACCAGTAAAAGCATTAGGGATGCAGTGATACAGCTGTTTCTCTCAGAAATTAAAGAACAACATTTAAAACTGTATGACATTCTAGGTTAATCAGCCAGTTAATGGTTTTAATCAATTCAAAGGCCCAGTTTATCAGTTTAACAGATATAGAGTCCCATCCAACAGCATCAGCAGCAGTGCATTTCTAAAAACATTGTAGGCGTCACTAACCCAGTCATTCTGCATCAGTTTTCTAGCATTATGGATCAATGTGAGCTCTTCCGGTTCCACCTGAGAGACATGTACACTTTAGACTTGCAGAAAGAAGAATTGTGCCAACATAAAGCTCACAAAACTCACAGGGGTTTTGTCTTCTTTTTTAATGGTAGACTTTCCCCAGAGGGCGTTGACGCCGTCCACAGCCACCACCAGACGGAAGGCTGCTTCTGCCTGTCCGCTCTGCAGCCTCAGCTCCTTCATGACAGCGCCAACAACATCACTACTGCTCTTCACACGAGATATGCCCTGGACAAAAACAAGTAACCCAAATTATTTATTGTGTACATTATGAGAACTGAAAATTACACTTTTTGTTTCCTTGGATCAGAAAAAGTGTGTCACATCAAAAGTCCTGAAATGTTTTTTTCCCATTGAGCAAAATTGACTAGTCAAAACTGAGACTCTGTGTATAATGCATTCAGAATTGGTGAAAGACGTTTGATGTAACAATGACAACTTTGAGTGTGTAGAAGACAAGGGGATGACTAATAAATATTTGTTAATGTTTATTCTCCCAAAATTATGAGGCAAACAACATATAAGATGAATCAAATCATATTTCAAAGATTAAAAAGACACCTGGTCTACGAGTTCTCCAAGTGAACTTCCTTCTTCTGTGAACTCTCTCTTTGTCCACACGTAGCGATGTTTTGTCTTTATCTGAAAGAATACAAAATTGTTAAAACGCGTCCAGCTCGCTCAACCACATTTGTGTCGCTTCATTTTATGTAATGGTAAAACTGGGAGTCAATCTCAAGAATTATGTGCATGTGCATTTTGTGTACAAACAGTAGTGGTTATTATTCCACACTATTATCACACTGCAGACCCAGTAATTGAGTAGAAATTACTTTCAACAGCCATAATGTTAAGGATCAGCGCCTCACCCAAATAATGTACAAAGGTCTGTAGGTTCAGATACACTGTGCTTTTATAATGGCATGTGTAGTCTTGATTATAATGTACACATGCAGGTGCACATTTTTTATCATTATCTTTGTCATCATACAGGACACAGCAAAAATCACCTTTGTCAGGAAGGGTTCGTTCGTCAGTTTGAAGCTGCGTAACCAGTCGGTGGCTTGCAGAGGCTGATCAAACCGTGCAGAATTAAATGAAGACTGGTGAAGCTCCTTACAGTTTTTAACCCAGCGGTGTGCTAGAAAAGAATACACATGAGTTCATGCACGATGACCTAAACAAATAAGAACTTTGCAAAGAAACAAGTCTTACCATCGGGAATATGCAGAACGAGCCAACCCTGCATGTAACAGAAATGAATTGTGTGACAAAGGGATAGGGTCTTTCCACTGCCATTTGTCCCGTCTGAGCATATTGTTAAGATAAATGCAGGTTTGGAGTGGGGCAGCACACATTTGAACAGAGAAAAGGATACAAAATACATAACGCTGTGCAGGTCTGTTGAAGTTTGTTTGTTTAAGGTAGGAGATGACCTCAAGGGCTGGCCGTCTAATCATCAAACAGGCTTCATTAAACGTCTTTATCTGAAAATATACACATAAATATATGCAGGAATAGAAACAGGAGGAAAATAAGGATCATTGAGGATCATTATTGGAAGTGCCTGTGTTTTGTAGCACCAGAAAAATGTTGGTGTCATATTCATCAGACATTATATATTATTTTATTTGTAGAAAAAATGAATCTGTCCATGGAAGAAACCACTAATGTCTCACATATAAAAACATTCAGGAGAACTTACCTGCTGCTGGTATCGGAGAGGAAGTCCGTGGGGAAATAGAGTACGAATGTGTGACGCTGGCACTGTGTAAAATTGTCCAATTTGGTTTTCAGTCTGACACGCCTAGGCAACATAGAGAAAGTTCAAATAGGAGTACTAGCCACTCACCTCATAATCATTTGACTGAGAAAAAGTTACAACAAAAATATAAAAGCCATGATACCATTAAATGATAGTTAGCTTTTTCAGTGATTTAGCTGTTCCAAACACAGCTTGTGGTAAACAAATGGATGTTGGGTGGTCATGTATGGAACAGGCTCAGGTCAATTTCAGTCGCTATAGCTTGTCTGTGGTCTAGTTGAGAGTCAAAAACAAATATACACTACAAAAGCCAACCAACTGGTACTAAACAAACTTCTGTTATTGTCAAGCATCGAATATGACAGTCCCAATAACTACTGTATCAGTGCTATAAAACAATATACTTTAGGTCTCAATAATATTTACCTGTACATTCATTTATTTTTTACCACAGACAATTAAGTTTTAGGTGTAGATTAGAAGGTTGAATATGACTATTACTTATTTTCTCCCGTTTGGTGGGCTGATGCATTTAAATATTTGATTAGATTTAGGTTGTTGTTGCCATGTACGAAAACTCCATCCCTAAATTGAAAAGGTAGTCCAAACGTACTCATGCAAGGCAAATAATACAATATTCAAAAAGGTGCTGTCAGTGTAGAGTTATCGCTTACTGGATCATGTTCTGGGCTTCTGAAAATGGAGAACTGATCTGGATACGAGTGATCCGCCAAAGCCTCCTGCTGCTGACAGAACGCAGTGGAGTGGACGGAACGAGCTTGGTTAATCTGAAAATGTTTGGAGACAATACCAGAGTTCAGAAACGAGACACATCTTACTAGATTGTACAAACTACTTACAGTCTGCCGTATACGTAATGACAACCTTTGAAGTGCCATTCTGAAAGCATAAACATAACAGTATAGGTTGATTCATGTCACTATCACGTAGGGAAAATAACAGCCATAATCACTGTACATATAATCAGTGTCCCTCTGTAACCTTGTAAACTTGGCTCACTGCTAGCTAGCATGCGTCAAATGCGTTGCGATTATTGTTTGACGATGATTACCTGTTATCCCTCATAAACAAGACCACACGGGCGATAGGTGTCTTCCCTCGAACTATTGATAACGAGGTGAGATATTAGATACGTGAGTAAAATACTGTTGGAGCTTCAGAAACAGTGCAGACACATGCAGCACTGAGGCGGAAGTGACAACAGGGAAGCGTAAACTCACCAACCAATCACGTGCAGCGTATGTTTATTATTAAAATGGTCTATTCAATGTATCGGTACTTTTATACTCAGTGTTTTAAAAATCCCAGGACCGACAACCCAGTTATTAATTAATTATAGTATAGTAGTAGAGTAAAGGTAACATTTTAACAAATTCATAATTAGTTGCATTGCTAATTAAAACTAAACAAAGCGAATGAGTTAGCGGACCTATAATAGATTGACATCGGTTGGGTTTTGGATCTTGCTTTAATGGTGCATACAATATTAATGTTTCGGCCTTAAGGCTGAGTCACATGCGCCACCTTGTGCCGCTTATGGGGATTTTTGAGAAGCCGGACCATAGAGAATATAGTCTTTAGAAGACGGGTGCATTTCATATTATGACTCTTGGAGTTTTGCCAGCCTCTCCTGAACTTTCATCAACCAAAGTCGTGGCCATTTTACTGTGAGCCTGAAAATGCTGTCACCCTACTGTTCGCGTCCCTCAATCTGGCCCTGTAAACGTACACAGATGACGTTCTAACAACCTGTGTGGACACATGTGTCACCACTGCACACATGGTGCTCTGATGTTCACAACTATAAACTATGAGCCTAACTGACGGGAGCAATGTTAACTTTGCACGGTAGAAGTGAACAGAAGCAGAGCCGAAAGTCCGCCACCTAGCTGTGGACATAGATATCTTTGAACTACGTGATTATGAAAACACCCGCGCCAATGTTGTTCCACTGTGTGCGCTGCGCTCAGATGCGTCTCAAAGTCGCTTTTGGGGGTGTTTTCACCTTCGCTGGTCACATTATGTAATGAAAGCCACATCTAATGCACCACAAGCGGTGGGATCGTTGCTGCGAGCGGGAGAGCAAAGCAGTAACACCTCCACCTCATCCTAAACGCTGTTGGCTCTCGGACGCGCTTTCGGGTAAGTAGCCTACGTAGCCTGATTACACATTACCATGGCAGTGCGTCTTCATGTGTGCAGGCCTGTCATCATCTGTGTGCTCCGATCTCTGAAGCTTACTGACAACTGTGTGCATCCGCTTTGGCGCTAATTTTATCCCTTGTTGCCGAGTGTTTTTCTCCTTTTGATTTTCACTCACATTCGGATGTTTCTGATGTCAGTGTTGCTGACTCCAGCAAAGGGGCTGGCAGAGGGCAGATAGGAGAGAAATGTGGACTCGGAGTTATCTCCACAGACAAACACATGAGAGCCACATTTGATGCTTCGCGTGTACGCACTTCCATGTCGAGTTGAACATTCTGGAGTAGCTTGGGACCGCTCCTTGAGCGGGATTTTAGATCCATGGAAAAGGGAGTGACGACAACAACAACACGTGCATGTGTGTATGATTTGTAAATGCGTCAGCGTCCATGAATTATGTTTTTCTAAGGTGCGCAAAGTCACGGCTCCCGTGGCGGTCCTTAAAGAGTGCGCAAACACCCACACTGTCCATAGTGCCAGAGTACTGTACATACAGTCTGGACATGCAGCAGCAATGACATGGAACACAGTGTACACCCAATACACATGACAGGAGTGTGAGAGGCTGAGTGCGCAGGGAGAAAGTTCCTGACGTGAGGAGAGGAGAGGTGCTCTGGCCCCTTCTCAGTCCTGTGTGGATATACCATCTCCATACCATCACAGCAGCGGGGGAGCAGTGCCCTGCTGTTGTCAGGCAGATGATAATGGGGCTGTAGTTATTGATGATAACACCGTCATGGGATGGTGATGATAGCAGTAAAATTGAAGGACCATTATCATGATTTAATCGCACCCTTGCTCTGGTGAGAAACCACACTGACTACAGTGTCAAGTCCACACATCACTCATTTGGCATTGCTCTAGTCTATGCACTGCTGTAATAATACTAGAATAATTTGGAAATATCTTGACTAATCTCAAATAGACTGTGTATTGTAAATTTATACCATCCATCTGAGCTAGAAACAATCAATATATTCATAGACATTAGCTTGACTAGTCTCATAAAAGTCTCACTACTAAGTTATTGCCATTTTAATATGCCTGGTTTGAATGATATTTGAACTTGTTTCACCCATTGTTCTAAGGAGTTTTTGGTTTCAAAAAGCTTTCCAAAGCAGTTACATAACAGCAGTTACTGGAACAGATGTTGATTTAAGCACTGTATGATTCAAGCAAGTGGGTTTGGGTGTGTAGGGACCAGGGCACACAAGAGTGCTCTTAAATGAAAACATAATTTTAGTTTCTCTTAAAAGTGCAAGGAATATTGACTGTGGAGGAGATAAGCTGCTCCAGAAGTGGTACTATAGAGAGACCCCGAGGCATGTGTTAGTCTGTATAAGAGATTTGATGAGTATCTTGTTAATTATTGGTGGATTTAATGAGGAAAGTATGACAGCAGTTATAGTAGTGGTTTTGCTCATAACTCAAGTTGAGTGAAGATTTGCTGCAAGGCAGGATTAATTTTAGGGCGTGTTACTTGTTCTAATGTCACATTAAAAGTCCATTTACAATGGGGTCAATGAAAAGCTTTCTTGACTTAGAGGAAGCGATGGGAGGAGGAATTTGCACTCCTTTCCAAAAATAAGTTTTACCCTTTCCTACGGATTTGTGTTACCACCACTGAAAGGGAGGAGGGGACTGGTTAGACTGTGAATGGAGGGATTTAGTTTGGAGAAGAGAAAAAAGAACCAAGCAGAGGAGGAAATATGGTTCTGATTAACATGGATACAGAGCATGAGTTGACCACTTTACTGTGTGGTCTACAGAGAGTGAAGCCGTGCTAGGGGGAGACTGCATGGGACTAATAGAGAATGCATGCAAGAGCTTACTGCCAAACATGAAAAGGGGAGTTTCAGAGAGAAAAGAAAGTACAGCAGAGGGAAGGGTGGGCGGAGAAGTGCTTGTGGGAGTAGCTGAGAACAGAAGGCGCAAAGAAGGAGGAGACACTATCAGGAGTGTGTATCAGTGGCCAGTTCAGTCATTGATACGCAGAATCGCAGATTCATTAAAATGTGGATAAATAATGGCACTGCTTTAAATTTTTATTTGAATCGTATAGATGTCACAGGATTGGAAGCATGTTTGATCGTCTGAGCTGTAGGAAAAGTGCAGTGTTGATTGGTCTTTTAAGCTAATGTGTGCGATGAGATCATCTCTGTGGACACAGGCTTTAGCACCTCTTCACAGCTGCCTACAGGAAGGGGACTTTCCCTTCAATTTTCTATCGCTGCTACTCAACGTCTGAGCTCATCGAAATGACTAATCACTTGACTCTGTCTTTCCCTCTTCTCTCTCCCTGTCTCAAACTCCCTCCCTTTCAGCTAAAGCATTAAAGACAAGATACAACCAAAGAAGGATCCTATTTTCTCTCGGACTTGTACATATTTTTGGTTGTAAATCTCCGGACCGTTTACACCTGCAGCATACTTTTTGTGGGTGACGTCACCTAATTCAAGGAGGCACTCTGAAAGTGAATGCAAAAACAATTTTAGTTCCCCCTGTCTTCTCTGATGGACCAGAGAGTGAAGGGGGGCAGTCCTCCAAAAGCAAAGCTGGATGGCTCATCTGAAACAAAAAGCTCGGAGAAGGACCATGTGCCGGAGAAGAAGCGTAAATCTGGAGCGGAGGACGGGGGAGTGTTGGAGCTGCTTATCGAGGGGCGCTGTGGGACTAAGGGAGACCAGCAGCTTCAGATCTCTGGCAAAGACACAAACTGCCCTGAGGGGAATGTGAGACTCCGAATCGGACTCCAGGCCAAACGCACCAAGAAGCCGCCCAAGATCTTAGAGAGTTATGTGTGCAAGCCCACTATTAGGACCTATCAGAGGCAGGGCAGGGGATCACTGAGGGGGGAGGCCGAGGGGGGAATGGGTCACCAGAGCAAATCCAACTCTAGTCCAGATGAGGCAATCAGTCGAGAGCAACACTCAGGATTGGATGGTGTCCAGAGCACCACTAAACAAACTGCACCTGCTCCACCATCATCAACACCATCAGCTCCCGCCACTGCCTCTGTCACAGCTGTTTCAGTCAAGAGGAACAGGTCCTCCAGTCAGGTGAGCATACTGCACTTTTTGTTTATATTGTATTTTTCAGATATAGTTTGTACTTAATATTAATTGTTTATACATTATGTTGCATTCCAATTAATGAGCAAGCAAGTGCATGAATCATGAAGTTTGTCAACCTTGTTTACCGACAATAAAATATTTTCTGAATCTGATAGCTACGATTGAGAAAAAGATAAACATTTGTGGTTGAGAATCTGTGCTGAAGTTTGTGTCTGCACCATAACATGACAAGTGCATAAAGTGCAAAGTGGTTTGTCTTTTTTAAACTCCTTTGCAATAAGGTCACAGCTCGTCTCATTGAAACCTCAGCAGCATGTTTAAACAAACAGACCTATAAATAGGACAACGGCACAGCAACCATTTGGAGCTTTTACACACATTGGTCTATCAGTCCTTATGACAATCACCCGAGGGAAAGCGCATTACTGGGGCAGTGCAAACGCCACTCGCACCACAGCAAAGCAAAATTACAGGACAAGTACAAAATGTCAAGCCTTCTCATCTGTATTACTGACAATTTATAGCTACCAATAGCAAAGCTTACTGTGCTTCTCCATCTCAGCCCAGCTCTCTATATCTGTCCCTGTCTTCTATTTTTACATCCCGTCTTTTATACCTGTTCTCATTTATCTTTCACTCCCCCTCTCCTCGTTCCACTCTCTTCCGCTGCCTTTGTATTTCTCCTTTCTGTGTCAACCCCATTTTTAGTACCCTCCTCCTGCTATGCCCTCTTTCTCCCGTCCGATGAAGTATTTCTTCACCTGCTATATTATTTTATTGTGCAAAACCTTTATTTGTCAGTTGTTCCTTCACATTGTATTTTATTAATGTCACTGCAGACTTATTGTGGTTAATGAATGAGTTTTCTCTGCTTGTGTTCCCAGGTCCCAATCAAACTGGCTGAAAAAGCTGAAGTCATTTCAAAAGGTGCATCGTCGAAAGCGAAAAAAAGTTCATTAGTGAATGGTCTGTCAGAGGCACAAAAAAACTCTTCTTCCAAAACTGATTGTAAATCTCAAAATCCACCCTCAAAACTATCCCCGAACGATGACATAAAGACTGAAACTGCCTCCAAACAGAAAGAACTATCAAATGAGAAAGAAAGTGCCAACATCAGCAATGCATCTTCAGAGAAAAACAAATTTGGTACTTCTCCATCTATCTCTTCAGCAAAAAAATTGACAGTAGACAGCTCTCAGAAAGAACTGTCAAATAATACTGAATCTCTATCCATCTCCACTCTCTCCTCCTCGTCTCCAACACTCTCCAAACCTCAAGATGATCCTTTAATGCAGCCAACAGTTGGAAAGAGGAAAGACAAAAAGAAGAAATCTAAGAAAGAGAAACGAAAGGATAGGAAGTCGAAGCGTGACAGATTAGAGGGAGAGAGGGCAAAGAGTCACAGTCAGAAGAAGCAGGAGAGAGGGAGAGAGGAAAATAACAGACATGGCCACGACCAGGAGGAACGGCAGAAATCTAATGAGTTTAAGAAAGAACAAACCTCGAATAAGAATGATAAAACGCCTAGTCTGGAGTGCCCCTTTGAAAACAGTAATGCAGAAACGAATGCAGACGTTATTAGTTATACGGTAGAAGAGGTTGTATGTGAAACCAGGCAAGACGAACAAAACTCTCCAGACATAAAAGGCAGGGAAGTTGATCCAGTAGAAACAACAGCTGATAACAATAAATCAAAAGATCAGGACAGTTTGAGAAATTCGCCCCCACGGCAACCCATCTCTACAGCTCCCACCTCTGTGCCCACTCTCTCTCTCTCTGCCCCTTGCTCCCTTCCCGAGCAAGACAGCCGCCCACTAAAGAAACGTAAAGCCCGGAGGCCCAGCTGGACAAAGTTGGTGCATCGAGCCCAGAAAGCGGAAAATCATGAAGCCACTTCGGATTCCCAGCGTAATCCTTCTCTTAGTTTTCCCCAGAACCCAAAGTCGTCCCTTAATCCCAGGACTGCAGATGAGTCACATGCAGCTACTTCCAGCACTGTGCCCAAAGGCTCCTCCCCTCAGTCCACTCTAAGTAGGTCTCCATCCCCAAAACAGGCAAGTTCAGAGCCTGCTTCAAGTCCACTAACGCCAACCAGAAAAAGAGGACGGCCTACTAAATCTCAAACTCTAAGCTCCAATGAACCTCTTCCAAAACTTGTCGCCAATGTTACCCCCACAGAAGTGCCTAATACAGAGCAGGACAGCATACTTAGTCCAGTACAGCTATGTCCCGCAGCGTCTAGGCCCTGCCCCAAAAAGCGTGGCCGACCACCCAAACGCCCTCTCCCAGATGACTACAACGATCACGCTGAAAAGGGAAACAGGCAGCTAAACATCAGGAGGTATATTAATGAGATGAAGAAGAGGAAGAAGAAAAGATTTCATAAGGTTATGTCATCTGCATTTGTGGGAAAAGCAGCAGATGTCAAATCAATAGAGGCTACGACAGTACAAACGCTCTCATCTCTGTCCAGATCCTTTGGGGGTAAGCTTGGACCTCAAATTAATGTCAGTAAGAGAGGGACTATCTACATGGGCAAGAGGCGGGGACGAAAACCCAAAGTGCAAAGCGCCATCTCCCACAGCTTGTCTCAGCCGTCTCTGTTCACCAGTGCTCCAGAAACATCACTCTTTTCCCAGCCTCTCGCATCTCACCCATTCCCCTCCCCGTCGCTCACACACTCCAGCGGTGCCCAGAGTCCGTTCAGCGAGCACAGCTTCACCGACCCCTCTCCGTGCCTACTGTTCTCACAGCCCTTCTCCCTGCCCTCCCCCTCCTCCTCTTGCACGTCCCCACGCCCCCCCTCCTCATCCTCGTTCTCTTCGTTTGTGAGGAAGAGTTGTCCTTGCCAGGGACGCCCACACTTTCCCTTCCACCAGTCGACATGTAAGCTCTCCACTCCCATTTCTTCCCTGCAGCATGCACCTGGTTCTCCTCCGGGCCACCTGAAAGAGGCCACCACGTCCCCACGGAGTGAGTCCCACAGCGAGGAGACTTTGCCTAGTGACAGTGGAATAGGGACCGATAACAACAGCATCTCAGAGCGCGGGGAGATTAGAGGCTCTAGAGGCATTCTAAGAGTAGGTCACTCCTCTGGACTCATCATCGGCAGTCAAAAACATCCTGCTACCATTCGGGACCATCCCACTCCTGTCTCCCCAGCACTTTTGTCCCGGCAACCCAACCCGAATGCACACAGGGACCGGCATAGGCACAGACGTCGAGATTTTGACTGCTCCTCTTCTTGTGCGTGCCTATGTGCATGTCCGGGGCAAAGTAAATGCGTTCAGCCAGACTTTTACAGCTGTCACAATGCACTGAAGCGTCAGAAAAGCAAGCATAAGAAAAAGCACCAACAACATATGCACCTGCAGGACCCAGAGTTCCTGTCAGAGTTGGAAGAGCTGATTGCTTTGTTCAGTGAGATGCACATTGGGCGCAGGAGCTGGGCACGGGCTGGACTTGTGCACAACTTCGACGGGGGAAGCCCTGGTGGAAGACGGCACCACCCATCTCACTCCATGCGTTCCAATATATTTTGCATAAATCTTAATGGATTCTACTCCCCTCACCCCTCTGCCTATTCACATAATCCCTCCATCCCAACACAACCTTTCTACTCCTGCCATCCGGTGCACTGTGGCCGTAAGGTGGATAGAAGACAGTGCGGCTGTTCTGCAAAGTTTCAGGATTCAATGGACAACATGTACAGAAGCTACCCTGGTCTTTACAACCACCTCCCGAGCTCTTACCCTCTGCCTTCTCCCCATTTCACTCTCCATCAGTCTCCGCACTTCTTCATGAACCCGGCCCGCTTCCACAGGCGCAGAAATAGAACGATGAGAGACGCAGAGGAAGACAGCGCTAGGGGGAGCGGCCATCTCGGCTCAGGGCTCACATCAAACTTCCCTTGTGCTTGTGGGAGAACTGAACACAAGCATAAACATAAGCATCGCCACCGACACTGCGACGAGGAGGACGACGTGCGTGAAGACGAAGTAGAGAGAGAGAGGTTTGTTTCGAAGCCAAGATCAGGGTTTCTACAGAGGCAAGAAGACGTCGCAAGGAAGGCATCTAGGGGGTTAGGTAGCGTGCTGTCCAAAGACTCATTGTGGTTACGTCAAAATGGATCGGACAGTTTCTCTTCGGTTGCAGCTGCTTCTTCATCAACTGAAAGATTTAAACAGACCCCATTAACACCAATCGGTTTGGGGTCTACACATTTGTCATCTTTCGGGGGAGGATGGGGTGCCTTGGGAAACAGCTGGACGAAATACGGTGGCCTTGGAGCGACAACGTTTGGGAAGCCAAGTTGGACTAGCTTCAGTAGTTGTAGTGAAAAGCAACATAGCAACAAAACAACAGGTGTAGAGGAAGATGAGGATGATGATGATGAGGATGATGATGCTGAAGAGGAGAATTCCATGTATAGGACATCGCCGGTGCACACAAACCTGTTCACATCAGCGGCTGTGGAGAGCGGCGCGAGGGGGCTGCGGTGGGGAGGGGACCGGCCCTGGAGGAGAGACGAACCAGCCTGGATGGAGAGGAGAGAAACAGGTAAGACTTATGTTTTGGTTCTGTAACATCTGCTTGTTCTGCTGCAAAACATAATGCTATTAGAAAAGTATAATTGTAAAACGCTGGCTTCATAAAAAGCCAAGGAATGCATGGTTTAGAGAGAACTGTTGGATGATTGGAATCACAGGTTATGCTTTACATTTTAGATTAGAGTTGGACTGCTCGATGAGGTGAAAGTTGGAACATTAGAATATCGTTCAGATGTTTGTTCATTTCTGAAATTCAGATGCCTGTCAGATATTAGTTACTTTTTGGTTTTCACTACCTGCTGGTTGCCATGGAGATGTTATCTTTCTGCTTTAAATACCATAGAATGTTATAACACTTGCACTTTATTTAATATGTAGCTCAAAACCCTGACACATTGGGTTGGCTCCCCTCTCAGCAGATATGATTTTATAACGTAGCCTGGTGAGTCATTTGCTGAGTGTAAATGGAAAATTGAATTCGGTACTTCCAAACAATATAAGCAACATCATAAAGTGAAAACTCCACCAAAAGAGTTGCATATTATGTTGCATATTATGTCTTTAGATCCACAGCAAGACTACACATGCACTTTACGTAGTGTCATATTACATGAATCTATAAACTTATTATAACTAATATTATCTTTTTTACCCATTTGGTTTTTACAAAGACACATTTAATATTTTTACAGAGACATATAATATATGATGTCATAATACTGTTACAAAGTACAACTATTTGGCTTGTCTGTACTCCAGGTTTGATGGGCTGAGGAGAACAAATGCAAATACAGGTTTAACTCACATTTCACTTTTTCACTATTGGGTTTTTCTTTATTTGTTCCTTTCTGAACATTTATGAACATTTATAGACAGTGGTCATCCCGCTCGCTATGGACCAATGGCTCTTATGTGTTTGTTCTTATTGCATTTCCAGTGTTAAACATTTGTGAATCTCTGATCTGTTCTTGGTGGACCGACAGCTTTGTTAAGTCCTCAGAGACGACTGCTGCTGTGTTTTAGGGCTATACAAAAAATATACTGTATATACATATAAAATATATTTATAAATATTGTAAAAAAATACAGCTATTCCTGTAGTTCAACTTACAATGTGAAACTAAAATGATAGACTCATTACACACAAAGTTTAATCGAGCCTTTATTTGTTAAAACATCTCAAAGGAAGAACATGGTTGTAAGTCATACTCATCAGAATTATAATAAACATAATCTTGGCGCATGTCACTTTTGCACATTTAAACATTTGTGGCTATGCTAAAAAAGAGTCTACATCCTGTTTCACATTTTAAGTTGAATTACAGAAATAAATGAACTTTTGACTAATGGGCTGAGTTTACCCTGCTTCATTGATAATAGAAAACATTTCAGTGCTGCAACACATAGTTTAAGAAGTTAAGTTAATGAAAATAGAAAATAAACTCAAAACCATAGATACAGATCTCACAGTATACACACACATTAATATTTAGATTGAAATTCGAACTGCTAAAGACACATTTGCAGACTTAGCAAGTTTTAGACATAATATGACACCAGGGAGATATATTTTTTCCTGTGCATTTTGCTATTTGGTAATTGAGATCATTTGAATTGCACATCTTGCTATTTCTGTAAAACAGAAAAAAGAACTGGAGCTGCCGTGTTAAAAAGTAAAGAGCAAGTCTGTGGTGCAATATAATAGATGCAACCGGATCATTCAGCGGGCTCACAGAATGGATTTTGTGCCAGAGCTGTTCTTACAATGGATCAGAATGACAGTTTTTTATATTTGCACAATGTGGGCAAAGCAAATGTGGCAACCTCATCTCAGTAACTGAAAGATTTTTCTCAGGTAATTCAAAAAGGTTCAGATTGAACCACAAAATGGTTTTGTGGTTCTTTTGAAAGACAAGTTAGATGTATTACCTTGTTAATGTGTGCGAGCCATCTTCAGAACTGCCACCCGCCTTGGTGACGTGTCATTTATCAGCTGATGTTACTTCCTGAGTAGGCGTGGCCAGCCTGATTGACCTGACAGGTCTGTTTGATTGACCACGCCCCCTTCTTGCCCGGTGGTCACATAGTGTCTTATGTGTGGGACAGGAGGAAGGTTCCCTCATCTCGATTGATGCTGTTGTTGCCCCACAATCACATTATGGATTGGGACAGGGCACAAATACAAACGCCTACTCAGGAAGTGACATCAGCTGATAAATGACACATCACCAACACGAATGGCAGTTCTGAAGATGGCTCGCAGCTCTGCAGCCGAAACACGTTAACAAGTAATACATCTAACTTGTCTTTCAAAAGAAACACAAAAACAAGACTTTTTCAGGGGTTGCGTCAAAATCATCAAGGAAATAGCGGCAAAGGAAATTTCATAAATAGGCTCTTTATTGTTGGAGATTTTAAAGCCAACGTTCCCTCCAAACCCAACATTGTTCTTCCTAGAATGTGACCAAAAGAGAATAGAATCTGGGTTTTCGGTTAAGAAACTACAGTTCTGTAGTGAAGCACAAACAGTTTTTCCCCTTGGGTATGCATGGAATACAGTCATTAGGTAACCACCGTATTGGCTATTTAAAGCTTACCCTGCTGACCCACAGTGCCTATTTCACATGGAAAATTCAATAAGAAGTAAGTGGTCATCCGTGTGTAGGCCTAGAAAAAGGGACAAAGATATAAACTTCATCGTGATGAATGAGGAGGAACTGTGGGTTCATTCATGGGGCAGATTATGCTTGTGAGGGGAACTGTCTTTTTTAAGAGGTGGAATACAATTGACATGAGTCCACAGTCTAAGTGAGTGCACATGTGGTGCAGCATGCTAACAAAGGGCCTCTCTCTCCATCACCCGTTCAGATTTATGTCCCCACTTACTGAATTTGCAAAACAAATTGTGTGAGTATGTTTTGTGCACGATAAGAGAGCACTGCGCTGTTTGTCAATTCTTGTGGTTTCTTGGCGTGTGCGTGTGTGCACATAAATCATTGTTAATGCATTTCCCAGAAGTGATCTGGTCAGAGGAAATGTTGTGACTCACCTAATCTGTGGGCCATCCGTGTGACTCAGCCCCAAGCAGCTCACCCCGCGCCTCCTGTCGGTGCACACACTGATCCACATCTGTCTCTCGCACTCACAAACACATAACCCTCCATGTCTTTTTCTATGACTGCAGGTACACACAATGATTCAAGAACCTGGGGGCAACACAAAACTCTACAGCCTATAGACCATGGGTCAGTTCATAAAAGACGACCAGGGAGGCCCAGGAAGCACCATCTATCGTCTTCCACCGCTCCCCCAGCGCACTCCACCTCCTCTGGCTTCATGTCAGTGTGTGAAGTGCAGGCTGGCACCGAGGTAGCGAGGAGTGAACCAGCTCTGCTCATGACAGAGGCCGAGCTCCAGGCCAAGAGTAAAAAGGGCCGCCAGAGGAGACACAGCCCTTCCCCTCTCCATCAGAGGTAACCTGCATCACTCTGCCCTCAGACAGTTACAGTTAGTGCTGCTGTATTAACACATCCATTTCAGCACTGTGTGCTAAACCAGTGCCTCTTCTTTCTCTCTCTGCTCTCTCTGTCATTCTCTTTCTTTCATGAATCTCTTCTTTTAGTGTCACTGAGGATAGAGTAGACTCTGATTCGCCCACTGAAAGTTCAGAGCAGTCGGATGTGGAGGAGACTCCATCACAGCCAGTGTCCGTCCCAACAGAGGAGCACACAGACAGTGCCCCGATAAAGAACTTCTTACAGGCAGGCCTTTATTCTGATGACTACAAAACCACAGAGTGAGTCAAATAGACAAAACATGTTTTAAAACAATAAAGCACTGAAAGTAATGTCTTGCTCTTGTATTTTTGTCACAGCCCCCCTTCCCCGAGCACACACTTTGGGACACAGAGTACAGAGTATTCTCCAGAGGAGCAGGACTACAGCCTTCTGCCTGCTCCCATCCATGTCGGTCAGAATGAAAATCAGCACTTTTTTTCTGTGCATGCATGTGAGTTTGTCTGACTTTCCTCTTATGCCCAGGTAAATATCTAAGGATGAAACGCTTGCACTTCCAGCTCCCTTATGAAGTTATGTGGCAGTGGCAACATGATCAGGTAAAGACCACTGCGGAATACAATTGTTTAAGTTATGGTACACATGCATCCGTGCTAACTGTGCTTTTGCAGCTCTGCAGGCCGCCTGTAGTTCCACTGAAAAGAAAGAGGCGTACCTGTAAGTATCAGCATTAGAATGATCAGTCTGGACTTTCTCTAAGTGTTGTTGGTCTTTTCAGGTCGACCTAAAGAGAAGACTTCATCGTCACATAACAATGAGGTGAGTTTTTATGAGTACGGTTTGTAATTAAAGCTGAGCGTACCTGACTTTTTGTTGCTGTTTTGTTTTTTTTGTTTTTCTGTTTTGACTCTTTTTGTGACAAATCAGACCACAACATGCGAAAAAACATTGCATCGCATTCATATTTTTCATGTTTGTAAGATAGAACCCTGTGAGTCAATACTTGACTCGTCGGGCTGAGTGCTGATTGGCTGATTGTGTTGCATCACAAGTTACAGACAGTAAGCACACAGCACAAGATAAATGAATAACAACTCTATATAAAATTGAATAAAAATAAGCAGTATAAAATCTTAACATAATGTGGAAATATGTGCAAAAACTCCTGAATTTAACATAATACATAGTTCATTTGTTGTGGTTTGAAAGTTAAGTATCCCAGCTTTAATTATGATTCTTATCTGACGAGGATATTTTGTTTTCCACAAGGATCAGAGTGGGGACATCACCAGCCTCTTCCCTCACCTTGACATGGATCCTTTAAGCAGCTGTGAGAGGTACAGCACAAAGCCTTGTGTAATTCAAACTGTTTCCAAACTAAAGTCTAGTGTTACTCTGTGTCGGCCAGGAGCTTCGTGGTGGAGCACCATGTGTTTCTGCTGAGGAACTGGGAGCTGGTGAGAGAGCGCCAGATCCGGCTGAGGATCCAGCGCGAGAGGCTGAGAGACAGCGAGGAAGAGGAGGAAGAAGAGGAGCACAACCACAACATGTCAGGTCCATGAAGAAAGTGTGTGTGTTTGTTTTGTTTCTGTGCACTGCAAAAAATTCAAAAATAAATAAGCCAAAAATTGCTTTAATTAGGGAAAAAGTCTTGATTTGAGTAGAATTGTCTGATTGAAGTTCTCAAGTGAGAAGGTACATATCTTTAGCATGTTTCCTAAGTCATATGATTTTTATTATAAAGCTGAAGTAACCAATTTATTTTCTTCTATTTGTCAATAACAACATGCTGTCTTTTATATTTTGCTTACTTGATAGAAGGATCCCTGTGAGTCCCTTTTTGATGCTTTGGGCTGAGAGCTGATTGGCTGAGTGAGGGTGGTTCTTTTTTACTTTTCTGTTTGACCAAAAAATGCATTGGTTCGAGACCAAACTCAAACCCAGTTACATGGTTCATGGTTCAAATAGTGGTTCCTAGATAGTTTTGTTTCCATAGTTCCACTAGTTGTGGTTTGAAAGTTGGTACCTCAGCTTAAAGAACGTGAAAAATGTACTCAAATCAAGATGAGAACAACTTGATTCAAGCATTTATTAACTTATATTTGATAATTTTTTGCAGTGTAGGGCTTCGTCTCCTTAGTGAATGTGGTTTCATCAGGCTGCAGTTATTTCTGTGTGTGTGTGTGTGTGTGTCTCTGTGAAATGTACATGTGTGTTGTGCTATACCAGACTCAGCAGTTCAGACTAAGTGGTTTTCCAACCTCAGAATTTAAGCCTCCAGAAATGTTTCTCATTTTCAGTCGCCCACTGCTGGTGTCCCAGAGCCAGCAGGAATCAACTTTTTTCATTTAACCCTGAAACCACATTTTCCATCAAAGTCCCAATGAAAGATTAGATATTATCAGAGCTCACATTAGTATGCCTGTATTCCGAACAAATTATGTGGCATTTGGCTGCATGTACTAACAATGTGCGTATTGTGTGGCTTCTCAACTCAGATCAGCCGACTGGGAAGGAGCGCGTTCTCAGTGATTCATCTAAAACCCCGTCTGACTTCCTCGCTGCCAGCCCCAGTGTACGTAACACAACACCATTACCAGTAAAAGACAAAACAACTTTGCAAATTCCTTAACAATTACACATCTGACCATTTCACAGCCCGCAAAAGCTCAGAGCGGACCAGACGAGAGAGAAGCAGACAAACGAGGGGAAAAGGAGGTATGCCGAATAGAGCAGCAGAGGAAACGCCTTAGTGATTTACTTCTGACCCTCCAGCACTCATAAGCTAATACAGGCGGGTGAGTGGAAGATCAGTAATAGCAGTATCACGCATATGTTTGGTGGAGCTGACTGTTTCTTGGCTGCAGTGTAGGTGGACGCAGTCTGCGGATAAGGCCTGGCGCGAACAGATGGACAGGAGTTGATGTCATTACGCAGCTACTATTAATGAACACAAACAACGGGAGAAAGAAGAAGGATCGGGGTGACTGAATATATGTCAGCGACTTGGAACAGACATCGGAACCAAGGCTGAAACCATGGCAACTTTTCTTTTTATCCCCCCCCTCCCCATCCCTCCCTAATATTGAGATGGCGATAACTGACCAGCAGATATGAATTTGCACTAGTGCTCGATTGACAAGCACACAAGACTGCGCTAATGCAGAGTGGACAGACTGTTAAAAAGCCTGGACTTTTACGATTGCATATGTACTTTGGCACCTTATAAGGAGAGACTGACAGCGACTGAAGAAAAGCAATAGGTTTTGTTGTGTTAGATGGATGGCAGGGGTCTATGTTACTGGGATTCCACATATGGTGAACCAAATTTGCCATAATGGCCTTTGTCACTGGTAATGCCTTGCCGTGACACTATCAAGAACAAAATGCATTGCAATGCGTGCATTTATTTGTGCTTGCGAGAGCAGGGAGTTTTTGTGAGAGTTTTTCATGTGTTTCGGGCCAGAAATAATAGTAGTAAAAACACAAAATACTAAGCATAAACATGTCAAAGCATCAAATATGACAAAAAACCTGCCCTCCACTTGCACATAATCCAACTCATAGTACTTTTCATTTCAGCTCTTAAGTTTCAAAGAGACAAAGAGCTCACAAATGCTGCCCCCTCTGGATGAAAGTTAAGGGGAAAATTGGTTTATATAGGTCACATCTGAACAGTGTTTTTCTTGTTAATCTTTCAAAGTCACATTGCACCTTTTAGGACATGACACGCGGAGGAAGACGTAAGCAGAGGTGGGTTGAGCCGACAAAAAAAAAGCTAAAGTACATTTGTTTAATGCTTGACTTGGTATTTATACTCCCTAAAATTTCAGATTATCCTCACTTTGGATATTTTTATGGCAATGATGAATGTACAACAAACATGCGTGCTTACTCTGACTGGGCATTTCCACAAACCTGATACATAAGCTTTCTGTTTCCATGGAAATGCACTTCCTTTCGCATTAATCTTCCACATTTTGCCATAAACCGTTTTTTATCTCCATTTAGAATGTCTAAGTTGCGTTATAACTTTCTATTTCTATGATGTTGCTTAAAAAATATAAATGATTAAAGTCAGTAGTGTGGGCAGTGATCCAGGTTATTACTCAGGTAGAACTAAAACTTGTACATTAGAAAGCCTATAATTTATCATTTGCAGCTAAAAGAATGCATATCAAATATGTACATGCAAATTCATGTCACTAGTATTGTTGAATAGTGAAATTATAGCATGGTGACAAAATCAATGAGAAGTGTTTTTATACATTTCTTTATTTGAAGTATGTTTAAGCGTCTCTACCCACCTCTGGACATGAGCCAGTTAAAAGCTGTTGAAACAGTGTTACTTCACCAAGACAGTGTGTGCTGTGTACCAGTGAAAGGACAGGGGAGAGGGGCGGGCTTAGAGATAGGAATTTTGGCATAGCTGCAAGAGAATTTGTAATGAGGCTTTAAGAAAAGAAAAGACGTTATTTTTTTGAGACAGGCCAGAACTTAGCGGCCCATCTGCTTTAAGACAGATCATTATAAATAAAGACATGAATGTTTATTGAGGACTATTTTTCAGTATTGCACAGTTCCCAGCAAAGGGTAATAATGTTATAAAGTGTTTTGTTTACTTCCGGTTGCCTGAGAATGTGCCCCTCCCGAAAAGAGACAATCAGAATGTCCGTGAGGTTAACGAAATATGGGATACTGGGGTTTGAAAAAAAGTGTATTTGACTGCAAAGAATTATCTGCATATGTTAAATACTTAGAAACAGAATTCAGCAGAGCTTTTGTGTTATGTTAAAGGAGACGTATTATGCAACTTTTTTGAGCTTTCATCCATGTTACAATGTTTTCCCCCCAACAGTCCCAGACCTGGAGTGGTTTTTAGATCCATCCACGCTAATATCAGGAACTTCTGATACAAGCATGTAACTCCGTCCCAGTCCTGTAATAGTATGATGTCATTCTATCACTATGACATCACGCTTCCTGCAGTTTTGCCTTTTAAAATAATAGTATTTCCCTATAAATTAGCGTTGGCAATTTCTCAAGTGGAAATACGTTCCTTACAATCTCTCAACAGTGTAATTTATTTAATTTGGAGGAAAAAAACAATGTCTGGTGGGAGCACAGTGAGCGGATAGGCCACATTGTTTACCCTTGATACTTGTTTCACCATACAAAAGTAATGCATAATATTTCTTCTTTAATTATTTGACTTGTTCCATAACATTTCTCTTTTTTTCAATAGTATTTTACTCAAGGTTAGAAATTTGCACTTACCATGTACCTACCTAGCAAATTATAAGATGGAAAAATACAATTGTGCACGACTTAACTGCTCAAATGAATATTGGGAATGTCGGTCTTTTCTACGGAGGCTGGATATTTGACTTTGCAGTGTTTGCGTAATATGCTCTAAGAAAGTGCCATGTTGTGTCGTGTATAAGCAGGCTAATGCAGTCTTTACAGCAATATTTCCTGAAATAAGGACTAAACGACTTCCTTTGTAAGGTTTTTGTTAGTGAAATAAGATAATTTACATATATGTACAGCTGCATATTATTTGTTGTAGGAATTTGGTACATTTTTAGTGAAAAAAATGTCTAGTTTCATGTGAATGTACATAGAAACTGTTTTTATTCTGTCCGCAGTAGCCTGTACAATTATGAATATACCTATCAAAACTTAACTACATAAGCTTTCTTTAGATTTTTTTAAAACTCAGCTGACCAGTATGGGACAGTTCTCTTTAAATACTGACTATGATTGTATGGATTTTTTTTGTAAAATACATAATTTGTCTCATTTTAGTCCTGTTTGGGTTGTTGGTTGGACAATCAGTGCTGACTTTATCTGTCCAGTGTCTGTCTGCTCTTCTCTGTAGTGTGGCTTCTGATACTAAGCCAAAAAGTGCAATTTCTTTGACTGTTTACACGATGTATATTTTTATTCTTTCCTTTTTTAACTAAGAGCACTATGTAAAAATGCCAGTGGATGATTAACTTTATAGCAAAGGAACACTAAAGAGTTATTTATCTAGTTTGCATGACATGTAACCTTTGCCTGTCGCTTCCGATAATCCGCATCTGAAAAAAAAAACTTTTTCAAAACATAGTTGCAAAGTGTAAGTGTTGTATGGGAGGGTCTGCCACTTTCCAACGCCTCTGTGGTTTTGATTGCTTTGAATGGAGCTTTCTACAATATCACCGAGCATCTATTGTCAATTAGAATTAAAATGGGCTACTATTCATGGGGCACATATTATTATATACATATATTTTTGTTATCATTTTAAATTGTAAAACAGAAATAGCATTATAAAAGTACATTTTTGGGAGGGAAAATCCAGACAGGAACCTGCTGTCTACATTTGAATACTATATAACTATTGCAATCATATGCAAAAGAGCCCTGTGAGTCACTGGTTGACATTTTGGCTGACAGCTGAATGGATGAGGGGATGGGGGATTATTACTACTGTACTGCACTTGTATGTATGAAAATGCTGATCTAAAGCAGTGATAAAACTAGTGAATTACCAAATAGTTTGCAAGGATCTAGTTATAGATAGTTGGAAAATCAGGCACCCAGTTTTATTCATGATAATATTTCTAACCGAGATTTGTTTATTTTACTTAGCCCATTGAAAGTAATAACCTCTTTTTCAAGGGAGTCCTGGACAGATACTCATTTCTCACTGAATTCAACATACTCATAAGTAATGACAACAAAAACATAGTTTCAATCAGCGGTGGGTATTAGTAGTTAAATAGAAGGCTTATTATACACTGCTATTCAGTTTAGTTTAGTTTTTTTTGCTCGTCACATTGGTGATAAGGTGTAATAGGATCTGGCTTTTACACTTCCGTACATTGTTGCTGAATCATGCGTGAAACATTTCACAGTTAAGATTCAAGTCAAGCAGAAAGTCACTGTAAAACTAACGAACAATTAGAAAAACTATACATGCATGTTTTTTTTTATCTGATCTTGTGGAGTCTTGTGTGGTTTTTTTTCAAATGCCTTTTGACACAAACTATTATCAAATGCTCAATATATCTCACATCCATCCATCCATTTTCTACCCTTTAATCCATTTCTGGGTCAGGGGGGTGGCAGTCATATCTCACATCTTTACTTTTAATGTGTAAATTATTCATATCATTCAAATACAATCCATAAGCTTTTTAACAATAAGCTGTGTTAATTGTACTAATCATCCTAACACATTTCAGTTTTGTCCCATGCCGACGATAAAGCCAGCAATGCACATCACTAATCTATTTTTTCTGTGCAGTAAAAACATCTATAGATTCCATTTTGAGGAACATTCCAATGGAAAACCATTACACAAGAAAAGTGGCAGGCCCTCTGACGAAAAAGTTACATAGTGCAGCTTCATGAGCAGAGAATGTCAGCCTCTAAATCATCAACATAATAAAAAAAGCATTTTATGTCGGCTGGCCTCTTGTGTTTTCTATGCTGCAGTGAGTTCCGTCTGGTTGAATAAACAGTGCTATCTAGTGGCCTCACATTGCACACTTCACACTGCACTGTCCTTTATGAGTCACAAAGCAAGATGGGGGAGCTGCAGGCCAACCTGATTGTCCTTCACACAGTACAAATCTGCACAAGACACTTTTGTCCTCAAGCCAACGTGTGCAAGGTTTTGTGAGAGGTGGATATAGTTGACTATATATATAATTCTGCTTTATACCATGCAGACTCACCAAAATCAATTCAATGTGTTCTTGAATGGCCCTAAATCACAACAGTAGTTATCTTGGAGGACTTCACAAAACCGTTGAAATCGCCAACACAGATCAGAGAATCAAACACAAGAAATAAAACAGGAAACACATTGGTATTGGTCCAAAAGGGGCAGATGACCAATGTCCATAAGTGTTGATAAATGTCCGTGATTGTTGTTGATTGTAGTTATAGTTATGATAGATTGGATTTTTAGGATTGAGCACAGAGATTGGCAACTATCAGGGATATCTATGGGACACTTAGGTGCAGTATGTAGCTTTATGAAGTTGTATGCAATCGCTCGGAGATGTTATTGCTTTGGTATCTTATTTATCAAGACAATTTTTGAATTGTGGTATTTTTTTTGTGTAACCAAATGAATAAGAAATAGCCTACTAGATGAGGAGAAGAAGGATCAAGAAATTGTTTGTATCCGAAATCCTAAAAAAGATTCCTCCTTCCTCATCCTTCATTGATCTTCCTTACATTGCGTCTGACCAAATCTGGAGCTGTCTTGTCTCATTAAAGTGTTTTGATTTTTTTAAGTACATGAAAGGATGTACCCTTCAGTGAATTTGGAGGCAGTTGTCATTATTCAGGAACCCATGGATACTTGAATCTGAAATTCATTAAAATTTTTGTTACCCCGTTCAATTTCAGCTGAATAGTGGGACTAATGTTGCGTTTCCATTTTAGTTTTTTACCATTCAAAACACATCAACATGTTTGGTTTTCTTTTGGTTTTATTGGGTGTATTTACAAACAAGCACATGCAGGCAGAGGACGGTGACTGACACTGGGGGAACAACCAATATCTTTTGGGCTGTAGAACTGGGACAGCGCGAACAGGGAGCACAATACCAAAGAGCAGGAGCGAGGGATAAGTTATTTTTACATTTTCGCATTCACTCCCACCCACAGCGAAAGTGCAGGATGTGCAGACTGCTTCGCTCCCGGGCCCCATCGCTGCTTTTCACCCTCACAGAACATGACAAATAAAATTATCTTCCATTCGAGATCAATAAATATCACATCCAATAAATTAACAATTGTATTTCATATCGCACATTTGGAATATACACAAAAATAACTCCCATGTTTTCATCTATATGTAAATCTAATATTTTGTCTGTGAATGGAGATGAGTCACTCTTTGAGTATTATTACACTCAGGGTTTGGATGCTACTTGACTGACTCTCATGCTACATCCACATACACATGAGGAATCTTTGAATTTTTCCCTGATTTTTAGATAAACATACATTATTGTTAACCTGATAACAAAGAGGTCCTTCTGTCTGTTACGTCTTTTAAAAGTCTGCATTGGCTGAGAAGGTTTGTAGGTGAACATGCACGCAAATGATACATGAGTAAACACAAGGCTTGTCACATTATGCATAGTCATTTTTTTATGTGATATGATCAAATAATACATGTTAAAGTCATATTGTGGAACATTTCAACATTTCAAAAATCCCTGTTTTCATCAGTTCTACCTGATCCTACTCGGATCTAAAGTACATGGCTGGTGGAAACAGGGCATTAGTCAGGGTTTTAGCATAGGGCCACTAATTGAGAGATATACAGTAGGTAGCAGGAAACCAGAGGACAGTAAATTGTTAAAATTGTTGTTGGTTTGACTGTGACACGACAGATTTAATATTGCTTGAAATGTGAAGTCTGTTTTATCTCAAAAGTTCATTATTCACATTCATTCACTCTTTAAAATCGATACTAAAGCTATTATCAAAACTAGATTCTCGTTTAACAAATTCCACATACAGGACAGAATTTGATTTAGTTTTGGGGAGGTATCAATCTATATCAAAATTAGCATTTATTGAACTATCGATTTACTATTTATTCAGTCTATTCATCAGTGATGGAATCGACGTTGCCAGGTTTGCATTGTGACACTATGCTGCTGTAAAAAATAGAAAAATAGTAGCCAACAAAAATAGATCGGAGGGCTATAGATATTCAATTCAAACTATTAATAAAAAGCTGAATAACTGATACAAACGGCGGACTAGACCTGCCGCCCAATGGAGGCAAGCAGTCACCTTGTGGAGAGGCGATCCCGCTGACAGAACCTACAACATTGCGCATTTATTGTGTGAATTGTTCCACAGTAGGACTTTAAAGTGAGATTTGTATGGTTGACAGGTCACACTGCATTACTGTACGTCCACTAACAGCGCAATCCCTGATAATGAAGCAAAGATGGAGGGGGAATGAGGGTATACTGTGGTCAGCCAACGACATTACAGACTTCGCACTAGCACGAGGGCCGTCTTACTCTGTTTATACAGTGTTTAACAAGAGCAGGCACAGTTTTACAGGGCATAAATTCAACCCACACTGCACATGAGGGTATAGTACCATTGGCTACGGATTGTTGTTAGCTCCTATGTGGGAGTGATGGATCTCTCTCTTTTTTCTTTATTTTTTTTTTAAAGTACATTTGACATTCATTCAAAGGACTCGGGCACATTACAAAGCATATGGATGAAGTTATGAGGGAACATGTAATAATATGGCTTTATGGCATACAAGATGGCTGATATATGTTTCCATACGTCAATATAATTCACTTGTAAAGTCGCAGATAATAAAACAACTCCCTTAACTCGGTCGCGGTTTCAATCTGTTTAAATAAAGTTTTTCAGTTATACTTTATATCTATGTTCTATTATATTATGTATATTTCTTTTTACAGTCAAATACAGGTCAAACACACATGGAGTCAAGAGGTCACAAAAGGCTGCGTTCACACTTACGAAATTAGAACCAAAGCTGGACTATTGGACCATGACTAAACCAGGACTTGGTGTAAAATGTTGAACCAATTCTATCAAGGACCAAACCGGGGCAAGTGTGGATGCAGCCTGTAATTTGGGAGGTCCAGATAACATTAATCAACACACTAACAATAACCTAGTTTTAGAAATAGTTTACAAGGGAAATGCCACGTTATTCCAGGCTCATGTTATTTGAATTATTACTTTTTGACTCCCAGTTGGCTGTGATCTGAGGGAGCCTGCTGAGACTGAAGAAGGATTATGTCTTCCACTGCGATATGGAAGGAATTCAACCCGAGTGATCATTTCACACCATCTGCTGCATCCGTGCTGCTGAAAAACCCATTAAATAAATAGGACCAAACTGGATGGATCGTGCTAGAAAAACCCCCCATATGTTTGTAACAGGAGAGTGGGGATGCAGCCTGTTCTCGCCGCGAATAAAACTCGGGCAGATGGCGTGATGCACTCGGCTCAAACTCCAACCAAGCTGCTGTTTCCACATCTCTTCCATTACACACAGTGGGTCTCAAGGGAACCGCTCCATCTTAATAATCCTAAAATAATGTCTTTTATCTTTGCTATTGACGAAGTGCAGCAATGGCTGTTAGAGTCACATGATCAGAGAGGTATAGCCGATGGGCACCAGTCCCTCAGTGTTTCCGCGGCGACAGCGAATCCAGTCTTGGTCCACGGAGCCCAAAATCTGTAGCTTCTCGTCTTTGCTGAAGCTGAGCTCTGAACCGGAACCTCTGTGATCGCACAATGTCCGCACTGACCTGAGGGAAACACAGAAGACATTACCAGTATAGGCTGCGTTCATGTAAAAAATCACTAAAGTAACTGTCAAAACGTCCACCACCAATCCACGACAAACAAAAACTGTAAATATCAAAAACAATCTAATTATTTTCTCATAGTGGTGTTTAGAGATGACAATATTCAAAAACATATGCAGGATGTTGAGCAGTAGCGAGAGTTTTTAGACGTAAGAATAATTTGGCAAGTTTGTGAATCCAATCATAATCAAATAAGGATTTGGGAGAATGTTTTTCAACATTTCTTTCCCATAGTTGCATTGACACCTGCCTTTAAACTGGAATAGAATGCCATGAAAAGAAGCCTACCCATTAATGAGATAGATATTTCATGATAGTGCCATGAAACACAGAAACAATAACAGCTAATTTCAAGTCTGACTTGGGAAAATAATCAAATTGCAGTTTCTTTTTTTTTACAAGAAATGATTGTTTTCTGCACCTTCTCCACTGACTCCCACTGATGACTGCTGTCGTTGTGTCCTTGGGCAAGACACTTAACCCCACTTTGCCCAAAGTCCCCACTGAAAGATCAAGGCTATGCTCACACTCAGAGAGCAGCCGTCCTCCTGTGGACTCACCACCTGCAGAGGGTCAGTGAGGGGCTGGTGCTATGAGACTTGGGTGGCATCTCTGATTGCCACCCCCCTGACCCAGAAATGGATTAAAGGGTAGAAAATGGATGGATGGATGGATTGTTTTCGTAATTCTTTTCTCAATCAAAGCTGAGTTCAAATGGTATTTGTATTATGCAACAAACTTGTTGCATAATGAAGTTTGTTGTATTATGCAACAAACTTCATCAGAGCTTTGTTGTTTTTCCAAAAACAATTGTTGCTCATAGTTTTTTGAGTAAAGGCCCTGTGCCTGATTCCGCTCACTTCAGTGGTATGTGTATGTACCTGAGTGGCCTGGGTTGGTCCATCACCTCCACTGCTTCAGCCTCCTCGGATGGATGCTCTGTTGGAGTTTTCTCTTGGGGTTCAGTCACTTTCTTTAACAGAGGAACCGTGCTGCTGGTCACCATCCTGGTCAACACTGTCACACCGGGGGCCAACCACTGAGAGGGGCGCCTATACAACCACAGGGAAGTTATACAAAGAAATTAGAGCTATCAATTGAACATTTTAATTGGTTGAACAGCTATTGGTCGAATTGATCATTATCAAATTGATCATCACAATGACCAATTTGTATCTGTTGGGTCTGTACCAAAGTCGAAAGGTTGAAAGCACTACCATAGCACCTGCGTATTATCAATCCTAAGACACTTCACCCACAATTCCAGTATGGCTGATGGCTAAGATTTATTGCCTTGTTTCTATGAGTCTACAGCTGTAGTTTGAATGATAATGCCATACGAAGTGTTGGGTCACTCAAAGCATAATAATTATCATTGATACCATTATAGATTGGTTTAATCAAAAGATAGGTCGTATACAAAACAAAACATAAGCTACCAACAAGAACTGAGCGGTTAGGAAGATTCAACATTGCTGTGACTATGCCTCAAAGCAACACTAAGTATGACTTTGAAGAGGGAACAAAGTTAAATAAAAGCTTGAATAAAGATTTTTCATAGCTGTGAACGACTTTAGACATGATTATAACCTTGAAAACAGGACATTAGCTTTATACTTCCTCTAATCCTGACAAAGCAGTGTGATGAAATGCATGAATAAATCCTTTATAACTATGCATAATTGCACAAACCTGGTGGGAGCTGGGAGAGCACCAGGACTGGTCAAGGATTTAGGGGCCCCAAAGAGACGGTCCATACCCCAGGGCCTCTGTGCCGCATCACGGGGGCTGCTCACAGGCACAAAGTCACTGTGAGTCTGCAGGTGCTGTGAGCTTAGCTCCTCCTTCTTCACTGCTCCTGAACTTAACTCTGTCAAGTTCTGGCTGAGACGTCCTCCCCAGCGAACCATCACCTCCCAGCCCTGCTGGATCACCTGCACATAGACCACCAGAGCCACCATTCAAACCACATCATATAGGACAGACTTAATTGCTTATGTGGCCGAAAATATGTATTTGTTTTGATGACATTTCCGACTAGTTACAAGAAACAGAGGAAAAAGCTTTTATCTTATCATGTTGGAAAAAATGTAATTTCTGAGAATAAAAAATGTGTTGAAAACGGTCAGAAACATCTTGGAACTCGTCCGAAAACACAGAAATAAGGACATTTTTTGGATCGCCACGGTCCCCTGATATGAGCTCGGAATGTATTTTTATCTTCATCAAAGAAACGAGTCCACGCACATTTGTATTCCGCAGCTGTTCTGCTTTTGCTTTGCACATTTGCACAATGTCAGTAGGCCATCAAAGGCCCCACATGCTCCTCTTGAGGTTCGCAATCAGCTCATTTTTTATCTTTCGAGCAAGAATCCTGGTGAATCATAACATATCAGAGATTCAGAAAAGAAAATTGGGTATAAAAGTGGCCTTCTAACCTGGTCAAACGCTGTTGCATGTTCTGTCTTCAAAGTGTGGTGTATTTACCTGTCCTGCCTGTTGTGTCAGACTGTCCTCATCCATGTTTGGAGGAGGCAAAGAGCTGATCTCCTTCTCTTTCACCCATCGTAGCTGAGGACTGGTCTCCAACAAATCCTCCTCCTCATTTGTGCTGCTTCTGTCTGATGGCGTGGTCTCCGAGTTTGATCGGGACATAGAAGCGTTGCCGCTTTCCCCGCTTGTAATGTCCTCCTCAGACAGAGACTCCATGTACTTCTGTTCGCACTTCTCTGTCTGGTTGGTGTTTGTGTCGTGGGCTGCAGTGCTCTGGATCTTTGGGCTGTGGATGTGGTGGTGTTGGAAGAGGAGATCCAGGTTGAATGTTAACAAACTCAGCGGCTGAAGCACCAGCAGCAGCTCCTCAAACTGTGGGTGACATGCGCCCAAAGACAGACGCATGAAGGACGAGGGCTGGTAGTATGTCTCCAGAACATCTGCAGGGAAAAAAACAGCAGGATAATATAATGTGAATAAATTGATTATGTTGTTAGGGGCATCAACATTCAAATTGATCATCATAATTAAGGTCACTCTATGAATAAGACAAAAGATCATCTTTCGTCGTCTGACAATGGAGACATACTGTTTTTTACATCTAGAGTGTAATGTAGGCATAGCTGAATATGTGCATATACTTCATGAGAGAATTTTACACTAAATGTGTACAGAGCTGTTTCAGAGACGCAAGACTCATCACTGTGTACAAAACATACATGGTGTTTACATAAAGTATGGTATAAAACAGATCAATCATTGACCAGAGGAAAGATATGAGCAGAAGGAGGGGAGGGATATCTGACCAGACAGAAGAATCCCACACGTAGCTGCAACACTCCATAGTCACTACGGCTTTATCACCAAGGTGCATGTTCAAGATTATGCAAAGGGTTACCAGAGGAACAATATAGAAGCAAACGAGGGCACCAGGGATAAAAGGTAGACGTTCCCACGCTGGGACACACGGATAGGAGAGCATCCACACACTGCACTGCTCAAACACACATCATTCAAACCAAACACCAAACTGTTTTTGCTCACACGTGAGTCAAGCGAAGAAGGAAGAAGGGACAATACTTTGCACAATAGCAGCGTAACAAAGCTGCAGATCTGAAGTGTGAAGTGTAAGGGCTTCTGCAAATGCTGCTTTTCCTTTTATGAAGTTGTCCTTGTGACAAACGATGTTTAAAAGTAAATATATTGCTCCATTTGACGATAAACTTGCTGTAGTCCGTCATGGTACAATTCCCTGAGCTGCATCTGTTTTTATATTTGAATAATTGAATAACCTGTTACAGCCCTTGTTCTGGATTAATGACAACTACTTTTCATCAGAAATATTATTTGTACTGTACATCATGAATTCATCCACATCGTCCCTTTAAGATATTTCTATATTTGCACAAATTGCTTGGTCTTGTCCCATCTGTTTTGTTATATTGTATAAGTATAACGTACCATGGCTTGTGTGAAGGTGAGACAGCCAAACGTCCAGATGCTTGATGCTGCGACACAGGAGAATGTTAGAGATATGGAGGCAGGTATTTTTACATAGTGTGAAGCAGCAGATGCATCAGACTTACTTAAGTAGGCCAAGGACGTACGCGTTGAAGCGGTGTTTGCTCTGCCTGAGCTGAGGCAGATCCCCTACTCGGGCTTGGAGGTTGAAAAGAGCTTGTGTTTTAGAGCCTGGATGAAAGCGGAGAGAAAAGATTAGCATGACGTCGGCAGCAAGCAGGAAATCATTTCTACAATACGGGCCATGCCAAGTCAATCAATATCTGTTTACTTTATTCAGCATTTTAGGCACTGCTTTGACTCAAGTGAAAGAAAACGTCTTTACTGCAAGACTAGGAAACTGTAGTCACGCTTGAAATGACTTGAAGGATTATGATAGATTATATTTTTGATTAGGACAGATTTATTTGTTTATGTGACCTACAATATTTCACTGATTTGTGGATTATTAACAAGAAACTTCTTGCTTGAGGTAATATATTTTTCTATCACCACTTTGGAACACACTGTAATTTAAACATTTTGTTCAAATTAATTCAGATTGTAGAAAGCCATGTTTTCTGTGCGAATGTGTGAGTGTGTGAGTTATATAAAATACTTGTTTTCATCATTGCATTTGGAAATGAGAGGAATGTATCTTGTTATTGAGCATTCAAAGAGTTTGATGGTTCTATTATGACCACCAAACTTATGTAGAAAGACATTTCTCTAACAATTTGTGTCATCTGAAAAATTGCAAATAAATCACAAATCTAATCATGGTATTTAAAGTTAGAGCAGAATTTTATATTGCACTATTGCTAATAATTTAATAGTAATAAATTCATATGATTTAGGATTTGAATCATCAGTCCTTAACACAGGAAACATCTGCAACTTCAAGTATACTTCATTTTTATAGGAATAGATATTTTTCACCAAACGACCCTGTACTATAATTCAAAATTAAGTTTTGTTCATAAATTTTATAAATAAACCAGTTCCACCCCTTGGCAGAATCACCACCAATATTATCAGCTGGAGGAGAATTGTTGGACCAATGGTGAGGGACTTCTGCTGTCTATCAAGGATTTGAATTCAGCTCCGTCCAATCAGGACCTTGTGGGGGCGGGTCTAACTGGCACTTGCATTGGTAAAAAAAAAATCTCTCCATCTTCAAAATTTTAAAAGTAACTGGCCTCGTCTTATTTAGCAATGCATACGACAAATTTAAACAATTTATCTTTTAATTGTTTCAAATGTTATCCTTTTTACTGGATTTTAATATATCATGATGTATGTGTATTTGCACTGTTTTTATGTTTTATTATCTGTTTTAATTGCTTGTGACTCATTTTAGGTTACACTGTATGAATTGTGCTTTATAAATACATTTGATTGATTGACTGATTGACCTTCACTGTAAGGTTAATTATTGCTGCATCTGTACCTGGCCTGGTGGAGGCTTGGACCAGGCTCCAGGCGGTGTTAGGCCTCCTGCCCGCGATCAGGTCAGTGTGGTGGGGTTTGAGGCCGTCCGTCAGCAGGCCGTGGAGGGCGGGGCACAGGCACTGCAGCACCAGGCGACCCAGCGATGGATTTACGGCGCTGTCTCCAGATAAGGCCTGAGCAGAGAGGAAAACGCCCAAGGAAGGAGAAATGGTGATTAGGTTGGCTTAATATAATGGAAGCAAAATGACAGAGCTATTCATTAACGGTGGCGGAGGAAATACTCAATTTTGTTAATTAAAGCTGGGGTAAGTTTTGTTTTTCCATCCAGAAACTGTAAGTAAACCCGGAACTTTTAATTAAAAATTTCACAGCCGCACAGATGAGAAAACATTAGACCTCTACTTAAGTTAACAAAGAGTCAAGTGAGAGTGCTGATTGGATGTATTCAGTGAAAATGCACCTTTTTGTGTTACTTTAATGTGTCATCTTCATTAGTTCACACTTTTTTCCCATAATAAATACAGCATAACGAGACACATCTTTTTATCCTTTTTCCCCACTATGCTCCCTTGTGTCAAAACAGTCAAATAAAACAAAGCAAAAATACAAAATATAAAGACACAAGCAAATAAATGAATACAAAAATGAAATAATATATAGAAAAATATGAAATTATATAGCTATATAATATTCCCCAGTGTGACAATTATTCAATAAAGTGAAAGTGAAAGTGTAGTGTGCATATTTAGTAAAAAGTTCACACATTTGGCATATTTGTCTATATTCATATCGTCTGCATGTATTCCTTGTTTGTTCCTTCAGGACGACTGAAGTAAAGCACGTTTCTTCTGAAGAACAGAACCTTCGCCTTTGTTAAAGCTGGGGAATCTAACTTTCAAATCACAAAAAACTAAACTATGTAACTAAACTACTATAATAAAATCCATCCAACTTCTTAAAACTCCAACACTCTAAAAGCAGTTGTATAAATGTATTATAATATAGATGTATCTTTGTCATGTCTTTAGATCAGATTTTTCAGATCTCAAAGAGAAAAAGGGTGGACCAGCCTCACTCAGCCAATCAGCTGTAAGACACAAGGGTCTTTCATACAAGTCAGCAAAACATGTTTTCAAATAACAGCATATTGTCGTCTGATTTGTTCACAACTTTACTTCTGCATGACTCTTTCTCTTAGAACAAAAAAATCTATTATTTATGAAAAAAATAGGTACCCCAGATTTAAAGGTCCTATATTGCGCTCTTCTTCATGTTTCACAGTCCATCCTATGCACGTGTCTGATAATAATTTGAGTGAAACATCCAACAACTTGTGAGATTATAGCCTCAGTTGTCACCATCTGGATTTTATTGTTCATATTATTATTATCATCATTATTATTGTTTTGGACAGCAGACAGCATATTTATTGCCTATTGTTTTCACTGTTTTGACGACATTATTAAAGAACCAAAAAAACGGGCTTGTGCGTCATATTTGTCATCAATGTTGAAATCGTCACAGATGTGGACCCGGGCGTTTCGGTGCCTCTTGCAAATGAAAGAGAAAGATCGTTCTCTAACTAAAGCTTGAAGGAATACATTAAAAAAAACTTTTGACATGTGTACGAAGGCCAAATAGCACCGTAATGATGTTTAAAGCAAAGACAAGTCAAAAGCGTAATATGGGACCTTTAATTATCAGCGGCACATGCCGTCTCACCTTCTGCACTACGGTCCGAGAACTGCTAAACTGTGCAAGGATGGCCTCCACTGCCACGCTGACCGCGCTGACCAAAGCTAAAGAGTAAAAAACAACAGTTCAGGTTTTAGTCCAGCCTGCGAGGCAATAAGATGCTCAGTATGTGGAAAGCTGACGAGACCAGGCTGTACCTCTCTTCTCCTGCAGACTCTCATGGGACAAGCCCAGGCCTCTCATCGGGGGTCCCACATCCCGGGCCATCCACGGCTCTGCTCTGTGCACGGAGCCGGCGAAGGACACACTGCGCACAGCTGACCCAGACAAAACAGTGTGAGAATTATACAAGATGGAAAAAAGTTGTTTATTGGTGAAGCTCATAAAGCAATGGAGCGCTATACTCAGCAGATATATAACATGACATTTACATCACAGCTGTGGTTAGCTGGAGACATCTGGAAACTGGATTATTGTCTGTGAGCGACGACAAACTTAAAAACACAACATGGGTTCGTTTGAGTTAAACAAAAGGTTTTATGTAATAGTTTCATAAGCAGAGTATTCATCTTAGGTTTGATGAATACTGACACACACATACATTACGAATACAGACTACTGGTGCATGGAGAGATGACGAAATTAAAAAGTGCAATAATGTGGGACCAACAAATGACGGACACAAGGAGACACAAAGAAAAGGATGACCGACAAAATGGAAGACAAAAAATGTTGCATGTTTTTTTTTAATCAATGTTTTTTGCAGAGTTGAAAGAACAGAATTGGGATATTTGCGTTGGTCTCTAGGGCAAAAAGAAAAAAATCTTGAACAATTAATATGTATTTTTCGATCTTTTATTTTTTACCTAATTTAAAATAAATAATCCGTATAGAGCTACGTATCTGAAAACTCTAGAGCAGTGTTCTTCAACCAGTTAATGAGCCCGAGATATAAATATAGAAAATAAAAATTTGCTTCACAAAATAACGTGAGGGGCAAAAACAGAAAAGAAAAAATAATATAATACATGTTTTAGATTGTTATTAAAGTTCAGTTTCAGCTGGTGGTGTGCGGTGTAAAAAAGGTTTGCCACGGTTTAAAAAGGTTGGGGAACACTGCCATAATGATTAGGTTAGCTTAGCTTCAAAAATACTAAAACTAGTACCATAACTAGATACCCATTTCAACAATAGTCAAAATAATAAGAATATTTAACAATAAAAATAACAAAATTCAATCAATTTTGAAGTACATCAGACAAAACCTTGTGGTAGCATAAGTACTATTGGAATTATTCCTGATTTTTCTTCATATTCAGAAAAACATGTAATAATCATCATGGTATTTGTTCATTAGTATCAAAATTGAGATTTTTAGGACAGGACCACATTCAAGGACATCGTTTTCAAACTAAAAACGACTCTCTGTCTTTCAAAGCTGCAAACTCCTTGGATTAAACAGCGGCAGACATTACCTAACATTATCAACAGGAGACATCAAGGACAGACAAAGACACACACATGCACAAACAAGATGTCTGACCAAGAAAGCTCCAGATCTAGAGAATCAAAAGAGAGAGAAGTCTTACTCGCCACATGGGACGGCTCCTGGTAGAGTTTGGGGGGCAGAGGGGGTGCCCTGGGCGGGACGGGAGGGTACAGATTGGGGTAGTACAGGGGGGCAGCCAGGGCAGGGAGGGTGTGGGATCGGGGGAAGAGCGGGGAGTTAAGGCCTGACTGCGGTGCTCCCGGAGGGGGGAGGCCAGAGCGCTGAGGTGGGGACAGTGCGCCTATGGGTGACAGGCGAGGAGGGGCGCCGCGGTGCATGGGGCAGTTTTTGGGGTGATACAGGTAGAAGGCAGGAAGTGGAGGAAGCTCTTTAGAAGCCTTATCTCTGTTCGAAAGCTGATGTTTTTGGCTCGAGGTGTTGTATCTCATGATGACGTCAAAATTCTTATACGGGGTTGGGCAATTGTGTGCTGTGGGTGTGCTCTGCTTGAGTGAATTATAATCAGAATTACACAGGGATTTTGGATCGCGTTCGTGTTTGTATGCAAACTGAGTATTCTCCTGCTCGTAATCCCTGTAATCGCAAATTGAATCTACGCCAAAGTCTTCCAGGGATTCAGAAACGTCAGAAGCGTCGGTAGCAAAATCGCCTGTGTAAACGAACGGGCTGCCATCATAGCGGCTCCTGCGCGCATTTTCTCCGACCGCATTGGGAGGTCTGGCGTCTAAAAAGGGGTTACCGGAGTTTGGATAGAGAGGTTGGTCAGCAGAGTGAAGGAAATAGGGAAGGGAAGAGCAGGCCAAGGGCGGATTGGGTGAAGAGGCTGCAAATTTGAATAAAGCAAATTTGTTCAAAAGCGGGGAGCGAGGGCGCAGGAGGCAAGCGCGCACAGGCAGAATGGGAGAAGCAAACAGACAGAGTCGTATGGAGAGAAAACACACGTTGAATCAGGATGAGGTGAGAGAAATAAGGATTTGTCACATGAATGGAAAAAAGGGGGAGAAAAAAGATGCAAAGATGTTAGTATGAATGTTTTCATACAAGCAGTGTTAAACTTCAGGGCTGTGCAATTAATAACATCGATAATCAGGATTTTAATTATCGCTCTAAGGCAGCGTCTCGCAATGTTTGGAGTGCCACAGTCCAACTTACCCAATGCACACTTTATTTTGTTGAATATACTGTATAATGGTTATTCTTAATTTAAACAAAATAGATGAATATAAATTACTTAAGTTGTAAGACCAGTGAAGTATACTGTATATGTTGTTTGGGAATTGATTACACACATTGTATAAATGAAAATACAATGAATTACCTTGTGTTCAATATACAATATGTTACCTGCAACTTCTAAATTAAAATCACGTCTAATCTACACAATATTTTAAAGCTATAAAAAGTCCATAAAAATAAAAACAAAACTACCACTGTTCTTACAGGTTCATTTGGACAGCACAGAAGAAATTGTCTGAAATAATGTTGCCCTTATTATTGTTATGAAGCCCTACTTTAAAACACCATTCAAAAACAATTCTACATAGACAGTGTTGGGATTGGCAGCTGCAATATTGATAAAGGAAGAAATGAATTATACATATATTTTCTGTTTTTCTTTGGCCAAAAACTCCTCTACCTTCATTCTTCCCTTTCCTTTATACAGCAGCACAGCTCACAGTTCAAGGTAACGCTGAGTCAGCCGCACACAGTCCATTTTTGCCCAATCATTGCTTCTGTCTGATAACACAAGCCAAGAGCCATTAGCTGGACAAAAGGCAGCTGGACTCTCTCCGTAACTGTTTGCATTTACAGGTTATTTAGCTGATCCAAAAGAAGTCCATACCTGAGTTAGTTTTGGAGATGTGCCTGGAGCCCTATCGTTATTATTATAGATCCATGAGCCCTACACATGCTACTTCCTGTTGTTATTACGTCGGCTTTGAGCAGCTGGTCTGACACAAAGATCCACCCCTTTGGTTTTTAAAGCTACACACATGCAAGTGCTCAGGTGACTGGGTCTGTCATTATTTACTATACAGTTGCAGTGTAGTATATAGTATAGTAAACAAACAGCTGATAGAAAGAAAGATGCTTGTGGCTATATTGCCTTCCACCTATTCTACAGTTGAATTACTTTAATAATTTAGCAGCGGAACCCCATTTGAGTTACAGTGTGGTAGGAGCATAGACTGTATATAAATGGACAATGCTAACATGCAAGCTCAATGAAGCCCATTAAGGAAGTCCTCATGAACAGGGTTTTGCTCAGTAATAGTTTGTGCGACACTCACCATTATGGACCAAAACAATCTGTGGTTTAGCGCTGATCCTGGTGTTTTTATTTCTTATAAAACACATCAGTCGGAGGCCATTTTTTGCAAGGTTAACTCCTGCTTGCATTGACAACCATCTTAGCAACACGTCGGCCTCTGTTACGTCACAAAGCTAACGTCGGAACAAAGGGCCATATAAGGAAACTGACACCAGATAGCTTATGTTCAACTTGGCTTCTTCTGCTCTTTTGGCAAACACTATGGGTGACATCGGTGAGTCCACTCCTAATATTTGGATATATATGAGTAGGAGATGAGTGTTTTATTAGAATATTAAAATTAGTCCTGAGTTAGAGATTTGTATCATTGTCATTTATGTTTATATAATTTGACATTATATTTAGCAGATCAAATAATAAAGTGTTAAAGTGAATGACAGCTACTTTTTGACCAACCCTGCTTTCTCCGTGGATGAAAAAAACTATTGATAGTTAAGCTTGAAGATATTTCTGGCCTTTTAAATACTGATGATACTGAGAAATGAGTAGAATCTGTTTTATTTTTTTATCTATTTTATTTTAAAATGACCATGGCTTCAAACACTTGTTTTCTTCAATTCACGCTCAGATTTTTTTTTTTTGCTGGTACACTGACATACCATACAGGAACTGAGACAGGAGTGTTTCGAGTTTTAGGGTTTTAGAGACAGGGGCGGAGTTACATGAATGTCCTAATTTTTGTGTGGATAGATTTGACTGCTGATGGTAGTTATGCCACTATATTGTATTCAAAATATAGATCTTTCTTTACATGATATAGGGCCAGGGGATCAATAATGTGAAATGTTTTAAACTTCTAATACATTTTAAGTTACTGGAATGACCTTACATGAGACAGACTTGGTTGCATTTAATACATATGTATTTGTTTTCTGAAATATTGACTGAGCTGTAATAAATGGTAAATATTCAGTGAACAGACTGCCGCATGTTTCCATATGCAGATGGAGGGTTACTGCAGCAGTGAGACCAGAGTAACCTGATCTCTCCGCTCTTAGAGCAAGGGCGGGTGGAGGAGAGCCGATCAACTGCAAAAGGGCAAACACCCACTTTACAAACTAACCACTAGACAAGGAGAAGATAATGTTTTGGATGGTTTTTTCTTCTTTGATATGACTAGAAATCACTTTTGATGTTGTGAGGAGTAGTGTAAATTATTTATTGTTTATTGACTTATACTAGAGAGCTGGCACTGCATAATTCATAATAGTAATACATGAGAAATACTATCATTCATTTTATTAATAATTTATGTTTTATACAATAATCCTGATATTGATCATCTAATCCTATTTTTGCAGCTAAACGTCTTAAAGTATTGATCCAAAATGTAATAATTATACATTTTTAACGAGACATACTGTATTATGCTAAATCCACTTTTTTGATAATTTAACCAAGTTGACCAGTTGTTTTTAGATCTATCCAAGCAAGCAATAGGAACTTCTGGCACAAACAGAAACTGTAACTCCGCCCTCTAAAAGCTCCTGTCCCAGTCCTGTGTAATATCACCATATATTTTCTACTGAAGATTTTGTTTCACATTCTAAAGCCTTGAATAACATCATAATCATTATTAATGGCCAAAAATAATGCATAATTTTCCTTCTTTAAAACACAGAACTTAATGCATGTATTTGAATTGTAATATTAAAATCAACTACTACTGTACACCTCCCACATCTATAGCAATAATGACTGACTGGCTGCTTCCCAAACTGTGCTCTCGGATTACACTCTGTCTCTCCAGCGATCGTTTTCCTTTCCTCGCCAACACAGTAGCTGCTTTTCTTTTCTTTTTTCCCCTGAAAATGTGCTTTATCTTTTGTTCGTCATCGGTGAGCCATCATAGTGCATCATCTCTGACTCACAACGGCCCACAGCTCTGTTTCTCCCTTGTCCAATAAAAATGCATTTCCCAAAGCAAAACTGAGTAACACTTTAAAACATGCTTAATGGAAACCATCAATATTTTTTTATGTCTTTGCCCAAGTGAGTCTTCTAACCAGCCATCTGAGGGGTTTGTGTTATACCAAACAGTGAGTGGGAAATGGAAAAAGAATCAATCTACAACTATTTCTTATTTATTTCTAGGGCTTTGCAGATGTGAATCTTGATTACTATTATTGTGCCTACTAATTACAAATAACTTTCAGCTACATGCACTTTTAGTGCCTGTCAAAACCACTCCCTAATCTATCCATTTTCTTCCACTTAATCAGTTTCAGGGAGGCAGGGGCAGCAGTCCTCACCCTATCTCTAAGGGAGTGAAAGGCAAGCAACCTAAAACTCAACTGTCTCTATCTGTATTACAATACAACCAACTAACTCTAGGTGAATTCATATTATTCAAGTAATTTGAATACAAATATTATAAGCATACTTGTTTGACGATAAAACAGATGGTATTAATTGAGTTCAAAATATATTCAGGTTAAGGCAGAATTTACTGTGTCCAGGGAAGGATTTGTCTTGTCAATATTCAGAATACTATGTTTGTAATTCTAGAAATTTTAATCAGGAAATGTTAAGTATTTTTTAAGAATAAATATCAAAAGGCGTGTGACTGTGGAAGCGCTGCAGGGTACTATATTGTGAAACCAACACATTGCACTGCCAGATATGTCATTTTTTTAAACCCATTTCAAAATAAATTTCTTAATGAAAAAATGGTTACAGCCTGAGTAGTCTATTCTGTTATGATCTAGCCCTAGTGACAGGCTAAAATGTAGTCATTTATAGATTCAAATAATTCTGTTAATTTAAAAAAGTTGTACATTAATTAAACTGTGCACTGTATCACTCACCTGCCGTTCTGAATTCAGCTGTTCTTTCCCCGTCGGCTTGGCCTCTCACCTCCACCTCACTTTCTTCATTCTTTCCTTCCATCTTGCCGTCTTCATGCTCCCACTTAATGCCTAGGTTCCACAAGCTGCTGTCACTGACTGAGCACCCCAGCGTATTCTGAGGCGAACACAATTTGGATATGGACTTCTTTGCGTTCTCCTCTTCGGCTCTTTGAAGCATTTCTTGAAGGGCGGCCATAGAAGTAAGGGCGGGTGGGGGCTGCATGAACAAGGCCTGCGCTTGGGACGTGTACTCCCACTGGGTGCCATCTCCCGCCTTGTCTCTCCTCCACTTCAGGTTGTAAAGCAAGTCCGGGTCCGGCGTGATAATATTGGGGTCCGGTTCAGCCGCGTTGATGAACTTAATTGGCGGTGAGCTGGATTTACGATTCCGAAGCTCCTTAAAAGTTGTGGTTTTTGGGCCAGACCCTGTTGACGAAGACTTGACTGAAGACGAAGCGCATTTCTTTGACGTTACCAATGCTCGCTTTCTCATCTCATCTGAATCGGGCGTAAATGCGATCAGCCAGTCGAAACGCTCGGGCTGCGCAGAGTTAGCTTGAAGGGTGCTGCTTTTTGGATTAGCGCATGAGGGTATGGGAGGTAAGGGTCGTGGCGGGGGAGGAGGAGGTGGTGAACTTGGTCTCTGGGAATCGTAATGTAACATCTCATAGTTGTCTTTTGAATTGCTCGGGCCAGTGCTGTAATAAGGCGCAGACGTGTAAGCGGTGTTCTTTTTGCGCCTTCTCGCCATTTCACCAAAGGATGTTGTTTTTTGGACATCTTTCCTCTCCTCATTATTATCTTTTCCTTCTAATACACCTCTGTAACATAAACTATCCACTAACCCATTGCCAGATTGTGTGTCTTCTTCTAGATCTTCCACTGTGAAGTCACAACTAGACATAACATTGTCCACATCGTCTTCATCCTCATAGCCTCCGACGCAATTACCAAGCTCCGGACTAATTTTGAGGAGCTCTGCTTGGGTCAACCCAGCAAGCATCAGTAACTTTCGGATTTCTACATCGAGCGCATGGAAGGAGGGGGGAGGAGGTAGAGCTGGAGGGGGCGGTATAGCAGGGGGAGACGTAGACGTTACAGAAATTACAGGAGGTGGAGGTAGGGGCGGAGGGCGCGTGGTTGGCGGTGGCAGAGAATCCGGGGACTTTTCTTGTTCCGCCAGAAGAGCAGCGCGTCTCTGAGCTTCTTTGCGGGCCAGGTGACGGGTGCGGGGAGGCGGGATAGGGGGAGTCGGGGTGGGGATGGTTGGAGAGGGGGCCGTATACAGGGTGAGGTATGGGAGTTGCTTGGAGGCAGGTAATGGCGGAATGGATGGAGGTGTGACTGGAGAGGATTTCTCACATCGGAAGGTTGTAAAAGTTGGCGATGTGGTGTGGAGAGAGAAAGTTGACAGTGGGGTAGGAGAAGTAGCGACAGAGGTGCTGGGCTCCCTGCTTATATTTATGTAGGTGTGGAGGTCAGACGTCACACTGGCATGGCGGGCTGGCGGCTTGGGCGGGGCTTCAATTGGGGAAGGAGTAAGAGAATCCGGCGCCAGGGGGTCTTCACAGTCCGATGGAGCAGTGAGGTCCACCCCAGCGTCAGAAAATTCCTGCGAGTCTTGCATTTTTCCTTTGGGATTTTTATACAACTTCCAAGGAATATCTATATTTCCCATTTCATCCATAATATCTGACAAATCCTGCTCCACCAAGTCACTCAAATCATACCCTTTCTCATGCAATTTGGCGATGTATGCTAGTTTCACCTCCCTGTTTACCTTCTCCAAGCGATCTAAGTGATCAATGCGATCTCTAAGCACATCCCAGTGTTGTTCTCCTTCCAGATCCCAGCGTGCTACTTGGATGACCTGACTGAATCGTTCCATTTTCCCAAACTCGCCCACAGACTCTAGGAAGTCCAGTAAGCTAAGTTTGCTCATCTCGCAATCCTCTTTTATTCCTAAATAGTCAGGAGAGTCAAGGGCAGAGGGGTAACCTTCATCGGGGGAGGCGGGAGATGACAAGTAGAAGGGGTTCCGAGAACGGGGGAGCGACGGAAGCGAACGCGCTGGTGGTTTGGATTCAGGGCAGCAGACTTTTGGAGACAACATGAAGGACAAGTTCTCCTGGTCATTGGATGAGCTCATGGAGTAGGTTTGATCAGCGCTGTCTGAATCAAGATCAGAGCAAGAGCTGATGGAAGTGGATGACGAGGATGTGGAAGACGAAAGCGAGAAGTCGAGAAGTGAAGGGGGACAGTCGCAGCAAGACGGAACCAGCGTGTCATCGTCGTCGTCATCTTCGTCATCACCGTAGTGATCTGGCTCCTCTTCCTCGTCAATGTCAATGTCCCCACTGCTATCGTCATCATCGTCATCCTCATCTACTTTAACACCGTTGTTCGAAATGTCCAGTTTGTGATCACTTTTGTTATCGTTCTCCAAACTAGCAGCCATAGAAGCGGCGTTGTCTTTCTGTGGCTCGTCCAAAGCTGGTTTAGGCTGCTCTTCCTTTACTCTCATCTCTTCTTGCTTTTGAAATAAAGGGCCGGGTGGTGCTGGGAGTTGCATCTGCTGTCGTAGAGAGATTGTGTTGTTGTTATTGTGGTTGTGGTTGAACATGCTGTTGCTGTCCTGAGGGGAGCGGCCATCACAGCAGAGGCACGGCAAACTAGGCTCATTGCAATTTGGGTCAAGAGGAAGAAGCGATGGCGGGGCAGGTGAAGCAGAGAGCTGGTTTGCTGCAGACGTACGTGTAGTTTTTGCCTTTGGTTTAGCAGCTTTGAAGTTAGCAGCCGCTGGTTTTTGCGCAATTGATTTTGGTTGGTAGAGAGGAGGTCGTGGCTGTGCTCCCAGTCTCGTCCTGGGTGAAGCCACTGGTGCTTTGGTGACCCGGCGCGCTGCAGGGTTGGGGATCGTGTTCATGTTTTTATCCTCCTTGGGAAGGGCAGACGTGCGCGGCTTTGGGACAGTCCGTTTGGTGGCGTCAAAGCGGCGAGGTTTCGAGGGCTGAGAGGAGGACTGCATTGTGAGGGAATTTTCAGGATTCTAGGATAGTTGCTATAGAAACAGTGATTGCACAAGCTGGAGGGACCCAAACTATGACCAGCCGTGACGGTCACATCTTGGCTTCATTCCCGAGTTCCTGCAACATCAAAAAGAACCCACAGAGAATAAAGACTGTGTTATTGATTTGACATTAAGATTCAGATTCAGATTCATTTATTTGCCATTTGCAGTAAAACCACATTGGAAAAACTGTGCCAGACTACCCCGGTGTGCACCAGACAGAGAAGACGACACACACCAGAGTGTGTAAAGCAGATTCATTTAAGGTTAACAACTTGTACTCACTCACTTCAACTTTAAGCAGGGATGAGCAATATTGACTAAAATGAATATCTCAGTTTATTTTTCAAAGTTTTTCAAGAGCACTATTCAATATTATTTTACAATATGCTATATAGAGGGTGAGGTAATTTCAGCAGGTACAATAGAAAAAAATCACATGATATTTCACTTTTCTGTTAGAATAAATAGTCAGAATGCATTGATTTCATTATTTTGTGCACCAATGCAAGCAAGAGTATTTTTGATAAATGTCTCTAGAATTATGTTGCCAGGAAAGAGTACTTCTGTCTCATTAGGAAGTTACGTTTGGTGCATTTAAACAATAGCAGCAGATGACAATCTATTCTCAATAAGATTTGATTGAGCCTATGAACCAAAGAGCCAAAAGAGCAGATTTTACATGACCCCAGTAGAAAGATGGATTTAAAAACCAGCTGGCACTGGCTCGTTTAAAACAATCAAGTTTGTGCACAAAAAGTGAGGCTCTAAAATATCATTTTCTTTCCATGCATCCTTCTTCTTTTCACTGTCCTCAATGCAATGTGGGGGTCACTGGATTTAAACCCAAGTTGGCAAGATGACATTTTCGAAATGTTTAACAATTACATCAAATTTGTTTTGTTTAAATCAAACCCTAACTAACCCTAACCCAAGGGCTATATATTAGAAAAACTTTCAATTCTGTTGTGTGGGGGTCACGAGCCAGGTTTGGGCTGCTGTTGGGGGTCCCAGTCTGACAGGTTTAGAAGCCATATGGAACTTTAATCGCCATTGATGTAAATAAAGATAATTGTATATTGTGAATTTCATTCATCTGTGACTAAGTAAATTCTTAAATCATGTGCAATGTGCAATACTGCAACTTCAGAATGTCACAGAACAATGTCACTTTACCTCATGTCACTTTACTTATATACTTTTTATCCTGCACTATTTAACTGTACAGTATATAACTGCACTACTACATATATATATTTTTGACTGGTATTGAAGCATTTTCAGCATCTACAGCTAGTTATGTTAGTTAAGAAACATAGCTACTACTTTTGTTTATAGTGTATATGTTGTGTGTGCTCCCTGTGTGCTCTTACTACTGTCCTATATGTGCGATGCAACATCGAAATTTCCCCACTGTGGGACGAATAAAGGAATTTTTATCTTATCTTATCTAAAACATGAGCATAGTAGATTATGGTCAAATAGATGGATACATCTATAATGGTATAGTCTGTCAATGTCTCATCTGCTCTGTCCTGCATCACTAGGCATTAGATATGCATGAGTTTTCTGGAGTCCCTCTGCCTCCTGTGTATACTGTATATGCAAATCCTGTGAAAATGACAAGCAATAGCCAATTACCACACCATTTCTTACACATGTACAAAACTACAGCTAGTGTCCAGTCAGCGCACGCTTTCAACTAGAGCATGAAATTATCGCACTGTGCTTTCTTGCCTTTTTAACATCCCATCCACTGAAGGTTAGCGCTCGCAGGCAGCCACCGCTTACCATTACTGGAATATATGAACGCTGCTATGCGCGAATTCACGGCCTTCAAACGGAATAACGCGCTCGTTTGCTCTCAAAATTAAGCACAGCGGTAGCATGTTTACATCTCTGCGTGTAGCCTGGATAGTGGGGTTATTGATCATAGATGGAGACAGGGAGGATGCAAGAGCGCGGAAGAGATGGAGGAGGAGGTGGAGGAGGCGGAGGAGGAGGGGGGATCTGCCTGCATCGGTCTGTACCAGGCCCTTTCTTTCACGAAATTACTCAGGAAACCAACCAGTATAGAGATATATTTCAAGACAAATCTAATATGAATACGAAAGAATTTTGATATGCAAACGCAGAACACCTCAATGTTACAAGCTTTACCCAAACAATAGACCACCATCAAAGGGGACCAGGCAAATGATCCGATATGCTTTAGATTCCTCGCCTAAACATTGGTAGTAACACACTTGTCCACGCCATGCTGTAAAATATCTGAGAAGGCAAAATACTCACTAAAAGGTTAAGGTGAGGGAAGATGCAGCAGCTCTCCATCTCGTCGGACGCACGAACATCCCCAGCCTGAATCTCCTGAATAGCAAAGCTCTCGTGTATTCTCGCGAGCTCTCCCGCCCCATCACACAGAGCACTGATACAGTTTATCATGTCCAGTATCAACCGCACCTCTGATGGAGCGGGCCGTCTGAAGCGCTGGTCATTATGCTGCAGTCCATCACACTCACAGACCTGCATTAAAGCGGCCAGACATTGATTCTTCATGTTCAGCCTGCCATGTTAGTTTTATGGGCCACACACTGTAAAATAGAAAAAAATTGAAAAATGTCATGCTTAAAGGTGGGGTACATAATTTTCAAAACGACAAAAATGTGATAATTGTATAGAGTGCTGATTCATAATAGTATCATACCATGTGTAATAGTACGTAATTGTGGGACCCATGATAATTTACATGTATAACAATAACGCTGTAATAACACCCACCTCCTATTTTTTTGTTTAATTTTCATGTGTAAGTACAAGGACATTAGCATATTTTTAGACAGGAGAAACTCAGGTGACCCACGCAGGCAGGTTGAGGCAGCTCTCATTTATCTGACCACAAGTGCTACATAATAAAATGTATATCCACACCTTTTTTTATTATCAGATTCTAATTCATTTCATTTGCCATTTGCAGTAAAACCACATTGGAATACTACGTAGATCAGCTATTTAGAGAAATATGAATAAAGATGATCCCTAGCTCTTGCCAATCAACGTTGTCACTTTGAATGCAAAATAGATTTTCTGTGGGATTTTTCTGCCTATTACACTTTGTCTGTGGGACAGACGAAGTGTGTGGTGCACCAACTTTAAAAGTACTTTATTCTAAATTCTGGTCTTTTTTTTCCAAGAATAGATTTAGTTCCTGCAATATTTCAAGATATAGTTTTTAATGGTTAGAGCTGTATTTATGTACTCTGGTGCACACTGGGGACTTTTGCACATATATTCCAATGTGGTTTTACTGCAAATGGCAAATAAAATTAATCTGAACTGGATCTTTTCATGTGGCAAATTTAAGAAATATAATATGTTGAAAATGTAAATGTAGAATTAACTGCATTCAAGTCATTTCAAATCATCTGTTATATTTATGATGCAGTTTACTGTATTTTTAACCAAGATTTTAAAGACAGCAATGACAAGGGAGAACTTATAAAAGTATTGTACGCTTAACCAAATGAAATAATGAAATGCACAGTATTCCAGTAATATAACAATAATATAAAATATGCAAAGGGTGAACAAAGGAAACCTTTAACTGTATGTATCATGTATTATATGTAAATACTGTAAATTATGTTAATAATCTAGAAATAAGAAAATACAACAAAATCTAAGGGTGTAAAGAGAGCTTAACTTTTATTCTAAATTTTCAACATACAGCAATATAAAAATATTTCCATACAATAACTTAACATGCTATTATAACCCATCTGATAAAACGAAAGACAGCATTAACGCATCCATTCAAGAACAGTTGATAGATTGATTATAGCGCAAATGGCATGAAAGCAAGCTAAGATCATTCAGTTATTACATTAGACCCAATATTCTTCATATAAAATGTAGAAAATGAACTGTGAGTGTTGCTTGTGCGATGGGAATGGCCTCAATAACAATTATTGTAACCTTTCTTAGGGGGAAATACATGTTCATTTGTTTCTCTTGTAGATCTTTTTGGCAAAGTTGAGGAAAACAGCATGGGGAAGATTTTCAGCGTGACGTGCGATGAGTTTCTGCAGCCGCTGGTAACTCTCGTCTTCATATTTGTGATACAGTTCTGGCATTTGTAGAGTGTTGTACAGCGTCTTGACCTTTTCCACACTGGCTTCATCATGACGACCGTAACACGACTGAACAGCAGCAGAAATGTAAAACAATATTACTATGTAACCAGGGATATGATTCTCAGAAACAAAGTATAAAGAGTTGCATTGGTGTTTCACATTGTGGAATTAATGAGAAAATGTAAACATTGATGAATAAAAAGGATCGTAAGTTGTGAAACATCTTCATCTGCTGCTGGTAGAAGCGTGACATTTTTAAGTGAATGACACTTCTCAAAATGTGAAAGGAGTGAAACCTTTTGAAGACAAGCACTAGTTACTTCTGCCCATACTCACCTCCACAGCTTCCTGATTGGTCGAAATTAATTTAAAATTTAAAGGCTCCTCGACATTGGTTTAACTGTTCTCATCCAGCAAATCTTACTGGTTGTAGTTACATATGTTTTTGTTGGATAATACTTATTGTACATAATATTAGTGTCTCATGGTCAGATATATCCATTATTTTCTTTTAAAAATCAAATACATTTTAAGTTGCTAACATCCGCTTTAATAAACATCAAAAATAGCATTCACTACTTTTGCAATACCATAATGCTTTGCACTCTGGGGCAGCTACAGTGAGCGAGTTGTAAATGATAATAAAATTGAGGACATGCAATTTTAAAGAAATTCTGAAAATAAATTGTGGCAAAAGAAATGGTTTTGTAATTTTTTTTGAAGAATTGATACGAATTGATTGCCACTTGAGCTTTCTTAGCCTTTTTTTATTAAGAAGTATGCCCTTAGTGAGTAAGTAATATTTATTTGTATAGCACCTTTCACAGACAGAGTCACAAAGCGCCTTACAAATGTTGTGGGCATTTTCCCTCTCACTCCTTGATGGGCCAGTGGGGTCGCCATACAGGAGGCGCATGCCAGACCTATTTGTGATGTATAATGAGAACTATGGACACATCTGTTACATAATGGATATCTCATACTGTGTGTGTGTGGGCGCGTGTATGTGTGTGTGTGTGTGTGATCAAAACAAAAGTACCACCTCCAGCTCTGCCCTCTGCTCCGGGGCCATGACCTCCATCGCCGTCACCACGAGCCAGCTGCATTTATTGTCTTGTATGTCGGTGCCGATCTTTCCAGTAACAGCAGGGTTTCCATAGCAGTCGAGGTAGTCGTCCTTTAATGAACGGGCATTACACACAGCACATGGCGAAAAGACCAAAATAATGAGGATAGAAATGTACCTGTATCTGAAAGAACTCCCCCATCTCGAGTAAGATGTGTTTGGCATTATTGTGCTCCTCATCACTTGTGATTCCAGCCTGAAAAGGATTTTGTATTAGCTACATTTACAGGCACGCCAGAAAAACAGTTTACTAGTCAAACTTTCTGGTATAAAAACCCTCACCATGTACATAGATGCAGCCACTGGCAGGTAAAATGAATAAAATGCAGTTTTGTATTTTACAATTGCCTTATATCTGAAAGGGAAAACAAATGGATGAATGACTTCAGATGGAACTTTTTTTCCAATGTACCAGATGTACATGAGATGTATCAATGTACCTTTCAATAGTGAATCTGTTGAGGTCAATGTGACCCGGAGGAGCGGTCATGAGGTCCAGAGCTTGACCGAGCTCAGTCTGAAAGGACGTCTGTAACACAGACAGACACAGGGTTGGTATAAATCGGTGAAGGTCTGCGGTTGTTTTATTGGAAAGGAATAAATCTAACAAACACATCATCACCTCTGTAAACAGCTCAAGGAGGTTCACATAATAAGGCTGGTCTCTGCAGTGTATTCTGAGCAGTCTGTAGATTGATGCCTCCAAAAGAAATCCATCATTGATGGCATCAAGACCAATTCCATCCTTTGTGAGTTAAAAACATGTATGTGACAACATCCAAAGGAAGAGTCATTACTTGGCAACTGCATTAATAAAAGCAGACCTTCTTATACCAGCAGGGCTGTCCTCTTCGAGTGACGGATCCATCCATAATATCATCAGCCACAAGGAAAAAGGCCTGAAGCTAAAACATAAAGAACAAGAATTGTTTTAAAGAGGTACTACATGGTATAAATGTGCTGTTCAGGCTGATTTGAAATGCACTTGGACCAAAGACCGTACAATAGGACTCTCACTAGTTCAATGCACCATCCAACCACCAGGGCTCGCTGCACGAGGTCCTGTGTGAGCTCAGGGGGCGGGACAAGCTCTCGCAACGAGCCAATCACCGACAGTCCGCGGTTCCTCTTTCCTCCGTGAGCGTTGTACAATAAAACCTGCACCAGAGAACACTTTACCCCTGTGATATTTACTGCTATCATCACACCAGGGTTCTATCACCACACTGTACCTGTTTCAACCGCTGCAGTGCGTCTGTGAGCGCTGGGTCCTTCAGGTCCCTCTCGGTCAGCTCCGTCACCAGCTCCTCAAACTGAGCCTCGAACAGCTGAGGGTCTGACAGCAGCGGCGTTTTGCTCTGTACACCGTTGCAAACTCTGTCCCCCTGTAAAGACGAGTGCAACATTACCGTGCACCTCTGCCTGTGATGCTGCGCTGCCCACCGCGCAGTTTTACGCACGGCTTGGATCAAAAGCCCCCTCATGCCTGTGCGCAGGGCTGCAGCCGTCTCTCAGCGCAGCCATAAACAACTTGAACGCACTCCCGCCCTTGGTTTTAACAGCTTCATCAACTTATCACAACAGAAATAAGTTTAGAGCCGTCAATAACATGAGATCCACTGAGGATTAGGGTTGCTGCTAAGTGAGAGACGTACTAAGCACCAGTAAGTGAAAATCGCATTAGCTTAGTTTTCCTTGTTTTCCTCTCACCTGCTGACTGCCTATACGGAACACCTAAAAAGACATTTAATTTCCATTTCATCCTTTGTTGAATAGTTATTGCTTACCATATTTGTGCAATGCGCGTATTCCACCTCGTTAAATAGAAAATTGTGTATCCAACTCTATTTTGAAGCGCCTCTTGCTGTCAAACGTGAAGTCTGTGAACGTCTCCTAACTCCAGGATGTGCCGGTTGTAGTCCGCAGCCTCAGTGAGTTGTTTTTATTTTAAACGAATGAACTAAACTTCCCAAGATGCTTTGCGGGTGGTCGAACGGTTGGGGACGCCGAAGGCTCCATCTGACATCCTGCGCTCTGACTGGGCTCACGCATCGCACCAGGATGGGCTTTCGGTTCCTGCAGCCAATGGCAGACCGAGGAGGGTTGGCTCAAAGTGGGGCGAAAGAACCCAAGAGCGCCTAGTTTTCTGAAGATAATATTCACTGGAAGGAAAAAGTGATGGCAAAGGTTACATGTTATATAAAATAAGTATACGGGAAACTCAATAAAGTCATTCTTCAATTTATTTAATACTGTGAAATACATCATTTGCATTTTAATCTGGCATTTAAAATATCTTTAACTTGTCATTTTAATACATTTACAGATGTCAGAATCTATTTTAAGCCTGTCATACACATTTATATAATAAATAATGTTTTTGCAAGACAGGAGGTAGAAACACATCTCGGTGCCTTTGATACAACCGTGTTCATGTTCACTTTACATAAAGTCTATTCAGCCTAAGTGTTCATAACAACCTAAAGAAACTTCACATCTTATAAATATTAGATACAGTGAGGTTTAGTCACCGGTGCATCCACACTTATTGCGAGAATCTTTAAATACCTGCATCAACAGTAAAACAAGTCACATTATTCCCATCTCCTGGACCTTTGGAAGGCTTCGTAGGTGAATATTTATTACTGTCACAACACCACCTGAATCTGTCACAGATGCATGGGTCCAGAACCATCTGGTTGAGCTCAGAGTTTGTGGCCTCGGCCACGTTTCAATAGTCACCATCACCACCAGTGTAGAGGGCACAGAATAGAAATAGAATATTTAACATTGTTGAAAACATGCAGTAAGGCTTTCAAAGAACATCTCAAGAAGCTGGGGTCTGGTGCAGTGTTTATAGCAGAACATGCACAGAAGGAAAGGAAAATCACAGCACATACTCAGTCTGTGGTCAGGGTGTGTTGGAATCTGGTTTGTCAAATTAATCAATGAAATCATAAGAATTAGTGTAACAACGTGACCCTCCACTTCTATTTGTGAACGCTTCGGCATAAGTTTGATTTATAACATGAGGCTGGTTTGTTTAGATGACAAAAGTGGAAGACAAAACATTACAAAAAAGGAGTGCCATGCCCTAAAAAGCAATTAAAAAGCATTCATATTTTGCGTGTGTAAAATACTCAAAGTCTCACTCCAGTTCAGATGATACAGACTAAAGAAGCTGGTAGTGCAATATAATCGCTTGCTTTGTCTTCATCCTGTGACGGCGGTGGAGTTTTCTGATGTGTACATGTGTCACTGAGCTGTGTCTATGGTCACAGAAGCACCACTTCATAAGGCTGTAAGCTTTACAAAAGGGTTTTGTCCTTCCATTGGAACATGTGGAGTCCTGTGCGTCCCTCCCTCACGTTCACAGAGCCGACTCGGAGTACAGCGCTCCTGACGACCCGTGAGGCGTCACCAGTCGCCGTAGTGATGCAAAGGAGGAGGAGCTCAGATCTCCGCAGCTGCGCAGGTGAATCCCCTCGGGGGCGTGGCTTCCGTAGGCGCGGTTGTGTCGGCTGTCGCTGTGTGAGTGGTGGTGGCCGCGGTGACGCTGGTTGGGGTGAGCTCGAGTGGTGTTCCAGGGGGCTCTCAACACCTTTTAAGACAAATGTTTGGTAAAGATTCAATTCTACACGTTCTGCATATTCTCAGAGCTGCTCTTTGCTTCACCTGCTCTGGAGGGCCCATGGTGGGGCCAGTGCCGTCAGATCCTCCCCTCCTCTTTGGCCCTTGTGCGTTTGTCACCGCATGATCAGTGGAAGGGGCTAAGTTACGTTTAGAACGCTGAAGGAAGCGGGCCATCAGAACTCGAGTCACCTGAAAACACAAAGAGACTTTTACTGTATACACCTATACACACACGCAACTAAAACATGAAGACAAAAATGACATATCACTGATTTAGTTCACTGATTGTGCACTTGTGTTTTAATGGAGTTTGCCAAAGCGCAGCGAGGAGCTCCAATGGGAAATTGTTATGAACCGCAAGACCGACAATCTGTGATACGTCCTTTTTAATTCATTGTATCAACGAGAGAGAAACACTGTTGCCAAACTATCCAGTGTTTTGTTTGTTTGAGGAATGTTCATCTGTGGCAATTTTAGTTTTAGTTTTTGTCTTTTTACAATTTATTCTTTTTATCTTTTTAAGCAAATTACTATATTATAAAAAATGGGTTTGGATATTATTTTTTGTTAAATTGGACCAAAAGTATGTTTTTGATGAATTATTACTAATTAAGTTTTGGGTTAATTGTTTACAGCAAAATAATTGATATTTTCTTGAGAGCACTAAATGTGATGGCATGATAGCAAAGCCTTCATCAAGTATTGATTATTTATTTAAATAGAGAAAGGCTCAGCTGGCTGCATAATCTGACATGATTAGATGATCATGTTTTTAAATTAACTGACTACCTTGAGATCTCCTAGTGAGCGGTGGCAGTCCTTGGGGAGGCGCCGTGGGGAGGTGGGCGATGGTTTTGCCGGGACCGGACCTCCAGTGGACACAGTTTTACCGTTGCCTTTTTGAGGTAAAGCCGTGGCGGGCGGCAGCGAGGGACGGGGCAGCAGACAAGCTTCGGATCCAGGAGCTGAGGAACAATAGACATTAACAAAATTAGAATATCGTAAAAAAAATTCAGTAATTATGTATTAAAATGTGAAACCAGTTCATAATATAGACTATAGACTAGAGACAGAAGTAAGTCTTGAGTTTCACCGATATTTCAATGTGTTGCATGTTTGTGTCAAAATATGTAATCATTAGAAAAAATAAATGCCAGTGTTGCAATGCACAGCTCCGTTTAGGAAGATTAAGGCCCAGTCCACACATAGCCAGGTATCTACTAAACCGGAGATATTTTCCTTCGTTTGCACCTGTCATCCATATAACAACGCATCATAAATGAATATATAAAAAAATCTTCGGCCAAAGTGAAGATTTTTTTAAATCTCTGTTTATGCATTTGTGTGTAGACAGAGTTAACCGGAGTGCTGTGTTTTCGCACGGCACAATATGCCCCCCAAACAGCAATAAAGGAAGCATGGATCTTACTGCCGTGAAAACTGTGGTTCCACCAGATCATGCTGCGACGCAGCAGCGGTGGGTACAGCGTATGGATCTATAATAGGTACAACGGCGAGAGCAGGAGATGAGCATCCACGGTCCACATCAGAGAGCAGCAAAGTGGTCACGGGGGAAATATTTGGTTTTAAAAATACCCAGCTACGTGGGGACATGGCCTAAGATTAAGAGATCCTTTATTCGTCAGTAGCACTCAAAAAACAAGATAGAGACATTTAATAAAAACCAAATCAACAATTAAAGTGGATTAAGTTACTCTGTATCACCAGTAATACAAGTCAGTAATACCACTACAAATCCAGTGGTTAAAGAGAGTAAAGTGACATTTGCTATTTGTCCAGTTAGAAATGTGCTGAGTATGATGAGTTTACATGAAAGTGTGTTTACCTGTGTCAGTTGATGTAAGAAACGCCTCCTTACTGCTTCCAGATCCAAAATCAACTGCAGAGGAGAGCAGGACATATCACCAAGAATACAGTATTACCGGTACATCACATTAGAGCCCTGCACGGGCCTATTATCTGGGCCCGAGCCCGGCCCTGGCCCGAAGGGGTGGAGCCCCAGCCCGGCCCGGTCCGATATGGTTTCTGAATTTTCAGGCCCGAAACCCGCATCAAGCCCGACTTGTTTTTTTTTTTTTGTAACATCCCATAACAATGTTTTAGCGTAGTATTTAGTGCCGCACACTGATATGAACGCAAACTTAGCTAGAGGGCGGAGTTATACATGGTAGTGATGTGTTGCAATGAGTTCTGTGTGTGCGGAGTGGTGCAGAGTGAACGGCCGCATCTGTATGATGCCCAGATGCTGCAACACACTTGTAAGTAACGCTATGTGCCGTCAATGACAACACTACACAGAACAACAAACACTACAGCGTGATAGAACGCTATATTCAGTGGGTGCGTTCGTAAATGTATTCTGCCGCTCTGAAAATGAAGAGCCCGAGCCCGGCCCGTGTCCGAGGTCATTATGCGGTCATCGGCCCGAAGCCCGGCCCTCGGGCTGTCAGGCCGTCGGGGCCCTCGGGCCAAGGGCTCAAGTGCAGGGCTCTACATCACATTACACTTTATTAATTATGAATTGATAATATCTCGAGACTCGACTTAGAGCACAAGATGAATGCTGTACAGATCTTTTATAACAAAGGATCATATAATTATATTATGAAAGATAAGTGTAAAGTTAAAAGCAGAGATACACTCATAAGCATACATTTTGTACTATAAGTCTATTATCAATTGTCCATGTGCACATTTTAGAATCAAAGTGACAGAAAACACAAAGTTTTCATGAGAAAATATTTGTTGTTGCTGAAATGTGAAATACATGGTTTTTCAGACATGGTAAAATGTGCCTAAAATGGTTATACCTGTATCGTTGGAAGAGGCGATGCCAGGTTCACTGTGAGACCTCACCAAACCAGGGAGACCCTCACTTCCTGAAATCTGCCCGTCCTCCACGCTGCCTTTCCCCGCTCTCCGACGCAGATACAGGGGCAGGTTCTGAAGTACGGACCCCTGGCTGCTCTGTTTGGTGCCTGGTCTGCCTGGGGTCTGTCCCGCTCCCTGGGTAGATGGGGATGAGGGTAGGACCTGGATCTTTGGAACTGAAGTCTGCAGGGGGCCAATGGAGGCACCCATAGCCTCCAACTGGGAACAGCTACTGGTTAACAGGGCCTGGCGATGCAACACTGGCGACCTGCAGAGAACAGCAGGTATTTATTTGTGATTCTTTATGAGAATAATCAGAACATTTTGCACGTATAGTCAAACCACGACCAACCAAAAAAACACAATTTGGTCTTAATAGATCAGCACTCTTTTAGTGGTTTCTAAAGTCATTGAGCTATAAACAAAAAAAGAAACACTTTGGCCCTATAGTTTTCACATGTATGTCTTTTTGGCACATCTTTATATCAGACTTTTCTTTCTCTTCTGTTGGTACAATAACACATATTTTTTATGGAACAAAAACCTAGTTCTAAGGACAGTGTTACCTGTATGAGATGGTGGCTGTGCTGGGCGAGGAGCAGGAGTTGGACCTCTCTGACCTCAGGAACCTTCGCGCTCGAGGGCCTCCGGCCAGGGGACTCTCTGGTGTTTGGGACGGGGGGCCACGGAAGCTGATGTAGGTGCTGCCCTCTCCCGTGTCCCCCCCTTCGCTGGTGCTCCTCACCCCCCGCCGCTCCCCCTGGACCCTCAAGCTCACCTCCATGAGACAAGAGTCCTCTGAAGGGGAAGAGTCATCTGGGATGTCCACAATCTCAGACATAAGCAGGGATCCATTGTCCATAGACACTGCAGCAGAAACAGTTGATGAGAGACGGACATCAATCAATCTGTATTTGTAGAGCACATTAAAACAGCCTCGGCTTTCCGAAGTGCTGTATAGAAAAGTGAAAAAAAAACAGCATCAATAAAAACACGCACAGAAATGTCGGAGTAATAATAAAACTCAACTTTAACAACATACTGTAAGTATTTCTTAAGTGTGAATTTTGCTGAAGTAGAACAAAACTCACTCTCAGCAGTTTGGTTCTATCACTAGTTTTCACATGCAAAGTATGAAAAAATATAACATAAGGGTTTTATAGTAAGAATACAGCATGTTGTAGTCTTTTTTGTTCACAGCAATGCTCTGTTGGAACAAACATGTAGTAATTGAGAAACTGAAAACATGAAACATCCAAAAGAATCAAGATTTACCCATAAAATCTGAATATTATCAGTGTTATCAGTATTTCAATGGCACCTGGATCGTAACTGTTCAGGTGACGCATACAAAGGTAATAATAGCACATGAGAAGCAAATCTAGAAGAAGAAGAAGATTCCTTTATTCATCCCACAGTGGTGATATTTCAGTCTATGGTGCGATAATGGTAGAAACATGTGTTTTTGTTTGTAAATCAATCTAAAAAACAACCCTATTCTAAGTAATGCAAGTACAAGCTTATAACGTGACTGATCTCCTACCTTCACCGCTGAAGGCTGTGGATGTTGGCCTCTCCCCAGACACGTCAGCCCCGTTCGCATCATACATCGTTCCCTTCAGAAGAATGAAAGGCTATGATCAGTGAGTCATTTCAATGTGGCTGTATATGTACGAAGCTCAGACCAACCTGACTGGCAGCTCTCTGACCCATCACTGCTTCATAAGGAGGAGGGCAGTCAGTGGGGTACAGCGGAACCGGACTCTCCATGGATCCATTATAAGTGATGCTTCAAATCAATACAGACAAAAATTGTAGATCAGCAAAAGACGGTTTTTGCCAATTCAAGAAGGACTGACGCCTGACCGTATGTCGATTGGCGCTAATATTTGAGAGAGGAGTGAAGATAAAATTAGTAATAGCCATTTTGGAAGAGTTTAAGAAGAGGCTATTCAAATCTTTAGGTGTTTTCATAGTGCAGACCTGTGTTTCTTGGCTTGGGACAACAGTGGGAAACGCTGCATGTGATAGCTATTCACCACAGAGAAGACAGGAGCGTGTCAAAATGAAAGGGTCAAGGATCTTCGAAGTCACAGCCCAGTGCACACAGGACCCCAGGGAATCGCATTGGAAGACACTACATAACATGAAGCAATTTTAACATTGTAAATATAAATATAAATATTTTTATCAACAAGGGTAATTAGCCCTATATTTGGTTAGAGCAGTGTTACCAAACCTGTTCAGCTGTGGTGGCACACCTTTTCACTGAAATAATTACAGGGCGCACCACCAGCTGCAACTGATTCAAAAAAAAAAAACTCTGCAGACTGTATTTACAATGTCATCAAAGTGTATTATATAAAAAAATCAACAAACGTTTAAAAAAAAAGTCCTTCTAATCTTCTCACATTATTTTGACTAATCAGGTGATATTGGATCATTTCCAAAGGCACACCAAACAACATCTCAGGGTACATTAACCTGCCACGGCCACTGGTTGAAAAGAGAGTAAGAGTGTTCCCACTGAACATGCCTCAACAAAAAGTCTACTTCACAAGATGGGTTAAGGCCAGTTGTTTTAACCCACCAGCCTGTGTTGCTCAAAGTGTAAGGAAGAGGCGCCCAGCAGTGTTGTTGCTTGTTGGGAATGACAGAGTTTTCCATTCACACCCGTACACTGGGATAAGAGCAGTGATGTGAGAGTTATCTGACAGGACAATACTGGATAAACACAAGTACTAACTGGTGCACTTATTAGTGTACTGCACATTACCCTTCAAATCAATAAAGTAAAGTAAAACCCAAACATGTCTGAATCAATCTAAGTACATCCTTGAGCACACACATAATGAATGCAATAACACCATTATTGAAGAAGTTGGTCCTTCTTTATGTTTTTGTTTGATTATAATGTTTGGATCATGTTCAAACAACTATTACAACATTTTACTTTGTTATAGAACTATATTGTCTATGAACAATTACAGATATGATGTACCTTTGTGCGTCAGTCTCCGAGCTGCAGGTGTATTCTGGAGGGTAGTACGGTGGAGGGGGGATAGGAGCCACAAACTCCTCAAAGTCCATGATGTTGGTGAGGAAAGCGTCCTGTGGAGTGGTGCACTCTGGGTTGACAGAACGAGTGCGGTGTGGAGCCAGCTGCGAGTATAGAAATTAAATGAAAACACAAGAGGTTTATTTCTCAAACTTCCAAAGTAAACTGTTTGAGTAAAGTACAATAGTGAGTACAATTATAGTGGTTTGATTCTGAAATTACATTTGCAACTTAATGAGTTTACTCATTACTAATGTTGTGCTAATCATCCTTAACATTGTGCAGGTACAGGTTTGGAATCAAATTTCTTTCTAACATAATCACACAATTTACTTAAAGATTTTTTTTCAAGATTTGAGATTTGATCTCAGGGTTCAATGCTCTATCAGCCTTACTAGATGCACGAGGTCCAAGGAGAATATGTGGATGCTGCAGGTCACAGTGGACAACGTGCAGATGACTGTGGACAAGATGCTGAGGCCACACGCGCTGAATAAGAGGTCCTGCAAACCCATTTATGATCAAGTTACTGCATCAGTCCGAGAAATTATAATAATAATAATAATAACAAGTAAATACTGACTTTGAGCTGATGTCGCACAGAGTGGCAGTCTGCATTTAGATACAGCACTAGTGTCTCGTCCTCTGTGACGGAGCAGGAGTGAGTGGGAGCACAGCAGACACACAGGCCATTCTCCACCTGCAAAACCACAGGTTCTATTGTATATTTGTTTGTGTAGGCTAAAACAAGGGGAACTTTGTTCAACAAGGAGAGGGCTGGTACCTGGCAGGTAAGCATGGACTTGACCATCTGTGCGTTCTGACATGAGAGCATGGATCCGGCCAAACTCAGGATCACACACACCGCAGATAGAAGCATGAACAGAGACACCTGTGGACCAGAAGTTTAGAAGCAACAAAGCACATCTTATTATTGCACTATTATACAAACTTACCACTAAAGTCAGTGGTCTCCTCCAGGAGATAATCCCAACAATTCCTGATGCAACCACCTGAAAGACAAACTTGTTAGAGGTTTTGTGTTTTCTTCTTTCCTGATGTTGGTTATGATAATACTTACAAAGAAGCCAGCCCAGAAAGGACAGGACTGTCTGACTCGGGCCGAGGAGGTGAAGGCCATGCTGGTGAACGAGAAGGCCAACACCATGGCCCCCAGGCCAAGATGGCACAGTCCCAGGTACAGCAGCAGACGAGCACTGCCCCGAGCCGACATGCCCCTGCGGCTGTCGGACCACCCTCTGGAGCCTGAAGCCACACTACTGGACTCAGAAGGAGATGGCATGGTGCTGGACGGGGTTTAAGTGTTCAGCTCATAAAGTTTAGTTCCGAGAGTTAAATGCACTGACAGATGAAGTGTTGGCAAAGAGCTCCACTAAGCCACTGCCAATGCATCAGGCTGCTGCCATAACTTCTCCGCAATGCCCCATGGAGTGGTCTCCAGAGCCAGTCCCAGAACACCGTCAGCAATAGAAATGAGCCCTATACTGTCCTCAGCTCCTCTGAGGCTAAGGTCCATGTAGTGTGTATAACCCTGAGCTGTTCACAGGCCAACATCATGCATGAAACATTCACAGGCCAACATCGAACACAAAACATTCAGCTAATATCATGCGTAATCAAATGTCAAACTTGGCCTGTTTTGTTTTACAGATTATACAGCATGTTTCTGCTAGCACCGTTCTATCCGGTGTATATCTTCAAGAGCATTGCGGTAATACCAGGACTAGGCCGCGCTTCCTGCAGCATCCCAGCGCTGATCAGAGCTTTGTCTCTCACACTTTCACCCACCGTCCCACCACCAATGACACAGGCTCAGACTCAGGCTCAGGCTCAGAGGGAGCTGTCAGGAGCGCACGTGCCCCCCGCGGAGCATCCTGTCAAAGCCGCGGGTCCCACACCGCATCTGCACGATGTTCTCGGTCAACAAACACTGACAAATACATTCACTCGGTTTCCAGCGACTAAAAGAGAGTTGAGGGAGTTAAAAGCTCACAGAGCGCGAAGGCCAGTGGTGGTTTTGCAGGGGTCCACTTAAAAACAGAGACGCCCCCTCTCTCTCTGTCTTTCCCTGCAGTCACGCGGGTATCCCGTTCTCGCCGTGTGCCGAAATGTTCGCCTGGAGCCTATTAGCACAGGCCACAGGCTCAAAGCGAAACGTCCTCTTCTATTTCCGGACAAAACTCACGCCTAAGACCGTTAGTCTTATATCTATCTTCTTTGCTCTTTTCCTGTAACACCCAAAGCTGTGAACGCTGTATCGTGTTTGCAAACTGAAACCTGCCCTACGTAATGACAAGGCACGCACAGCATGCGGCACAGCGCGCGCACCGCCGTGGTGCTGATGCTGCGGGAGGGGCGGTTACCATAGCGACAGCACTCTGCTCAAGGCTGCAGCTTTTAAGTGGGCTTCAGTGAACACGAGGGTACAACTGTGAGAGGAGTGTGGGATTTGAGATGGTCATAATATAATCTATCATATGTGTAAAAGTACACAAACAACAACGTGAAATGATGGTTTATTTGCACATTTTTCTTATGTTTAATGACAAGATGTGAGTTAGCTCATTGTTTTCACGCACAAACTAAAAAACATAACTTTTGTATTTGCAGCAACCGGTGAGATGGTAAAAACGTTAACCACTGTTTAACACAACATATCAATCCTATCATCTTATACAACAAAACTGAACGTATCCATTTGCACAAGTGCTGCCTCCTGTTAACATCCTTTATCCATTATATTCATATTCACACTCTTCTCATATTACACATCTCTTTCACTCTCTCCACACTTCCAACTCCCACACAACTGGTTTCATATACACTGTGGCTCTTGAGTCTTTAGTATTCTATTTCCCTGTGGGATTTACTGCCAAAGTCTGAAAATTCGAAAAAATATTAATCAAACTGTTAATAAAATGCTGCTTCTCAAAAAGTGCACCTGACATTTATTTGTACATTTTGGCATGTGGCCACAAGAGGGAGCCACACGTGATGCATTTGAATACAAAGGTGAAGTGTCTTTAAAACTATGATGAACGTCTAGAGAAGAACACATTTAGAAGCTTTTTTCTCAGAGGTGCTGGTGATTTTGACCTCTCTGCCTGTAGGGCCCTGTTGCACAAAGACAGGAAAGGAAAGTATTTACATCATATGGAGTATTATAACATGATGGAAATAATAAATACTTAAAGTCTTACTGTTTTCCTGTTGGACAGTTGAAGAATATCACTTGCCAAAGCTAGAAACGACTGAACAACAATATGTATCACTATATACGTAATGCAGAGATTAGAGAAAGGATTGTATTTATATATATTTCTGTCTCACCTCATCAACATTAATGCTCGACTTTGCGCTTGTCTCAAAGAACCGGATGCCATGGTCTTTAGCTAACTGTAGAAAAACAGAAGCGGTTCGCATTTTGGCAAACACATTCCATTTTGTTATTGTATTTTATAACTGCACCTTCTCTCCAGTCTCCTTGGGAATTTTCCGTTTGGCCTCGATATCACATTTGTTACCGAGCAACATCCGACTGACTCCAGCAGATGCGTTCTAGAAAAGCAGAGTTATTCAACAATTCTAGGAAGAAGTTAAAGATACTATGTGATGAAATACAGGCGGCGTACAGGAATATTTACACAAGATAAATTCAAACGACAACCACAGTACCAACGTGTTCTGAATGAAGGTGGGAGATATGGACACAAATGTATATCTGAAAATATATGGTTAGTGTTTGCTAATAATGATTTTCAGGTTATTTTGTGTCATTTTAACAGACGTGGTAAGTAACTCTATCTTTGTTTATTATTTAACTCTTAACTTTAACTACAGTACCTTGCGAAAGTATTGAACCTTTCAACATTTCGCCACATTTCAGGCTTCAAACATAAAGATATAAAAATTAACTTTTTTGTCAAGAATCAACAACAAGTGGGACACAATCGTGAAGTGGAACAAAATTTATTGGATAATTTAAACTTTTTTAACAAATAAAAAACTGAAAAGTGGGGCGTGCAATATTATTCGGCCCCCTTGCGCAAATATTTTGTAGCGCCACCTTTTGCTGCAATTACAGCTGCAAGTCGCTTGGGGTATGTCTCTATCAGTTTTGCACATCGAGAGGCTGGAATTCTTTCCCATTCTTCCTTGCAAAACAGCTCGAGCTCAGTGAGGTTGGATGGAGAGCGTTTGTGAACAGCAGTCTTCAGCTCTTTCCACAGATTCTCGATTGGATTCAGGTCTGGACTTTGACTTGGCCATTCTAACACCTGGATACGTCTATTTGTGAACCATTCCATTGTAGATTTGGCTTTATGTTTTGGATCATTGCCCTGTTGGAAGATAAATCTCCGTCCCAGTCTCAGGTCTTTTGCAGACTCCAACAGGTTTTCTTCCACAATGGTCCTGTATTTGGCTCCATCCATCTTCCCATCAATTTTAGCCATCTTCCCTGTCCCTGCTGAAGAAAAGCAGGCCCAAAGCATGATGCTGCCACCACCATGTTTGACAGTGGGGATGGTGTGTTCAGGGTGATGAGCTGTGTTGCTTTTACGCCAAACATATCGTTTTGCATTGTGGCCAAAAAGTTCGATTTTGGTTTCATCTGACCAGAGCACCTTCTTCCACATGTTTGGTGTGTCTCCCAGGTGGCTTGTGGTAAACTTTAAACGAGACTTTTTATGGATATCTTTGAGATGGCTTTCTTCTTGCCACTCTTCCATAAAGGCCAGATTTGTGCAGTGCACGACTGATTGTTGTCCTATGGACAGACTCTCCCACCTCAGCTGTAGTTATCTGCAGTTCATCCAGAGTGATCATGGGCCTCTTGGCTGCATCTCTGATCAGTTTTCTCCTTGTTTGAGATGAAAGTTTGGAGGGACGGCCGGGTCTTGGTAGATTAGCAGTGGTCTGATACTCCTTCCATTTCAATATAATTGCTTGCACAGTGCTCCTTGAGATGTTTAAAGCTTGGGAAATCTTTTTGTATCCAAATCCGGCTTTAAACTTCTCCACAACAGTATCTCGGACCTGCCTGGTGTGTTCCTTTGTCTTCATGGTTCTCTCTGCGCTTTAAACAGAACCCTGAGACTATCAAAGAGCAGGTGCATTTATACGGAGACTTGATTACACACAGGTGCATTCTATTTATCATCATCAGTCATTTAGGACAACATTGGATCATTCAAAGATCCTCACTGAACTTCTGGAGTGAGTTTGCTGCACTGAAAGTAAAGGGGCCGAATAATATTGCACGCCCCACTTTTCAGTTTTTTATTTGTTAAAAAAGTTTAAATTATCCAATAAATTTCGTTCCACTTCACGATTGTGTCCCACTTGTTGTTGATTCATGACAAAAAATTAAGATCTTATATCTTTATGTTTGAAGCCTGAAATGTGGCGAAATGTTAAAAGGTTCACGGGGGCCGAATACTTTCGCAAGGCACTGTAATGTTAGTTGAGCAGAAAATGAACCTTTTTGAAGATTGCTGAAAACGCCAAGTATTTTACCACCTGAAGCCATGAATCATGATTAACCCTGAATTCAACCAATAAACATGAAAAATGGTCCCAATTTGCCCCAACCTACATTTACTGACAGTAGATTGGTCACAGTTTAGATCCAACAGAGCATATTAAGTGATAGAAACCTCCTCAATTACAGAATGGGTTTTCATAATGGTCAAAAATCAATACATCACAGAAATCATGATTTTGTCACGCATTATTGATACACATACAGTACCCATAGCTCCCCACAGAATTAACAAATTACGAATAAAACACAGACATTTAACATTTTCACAAATTCTATGCCTTCAACTATTTTAAATGCATACCACTATGACCACTATTAAATGGAGTATATTGTATGGCTATCTCCATGTACCTAATCTGAGGAACCATATTATCACTATGTATTATATATAGTATTTTCATTTCTAGATGTTTTCTTATATCGCTATTTTATTGATTTTATCTACTTAAATGTTTGTTCATATGTTTGTCAGAGAGTGAATTTATTGTGGGGCATTATGCAACTTTCTCTGTAAAGAAAATGCATGAACTTAGAAAAACGGATCTTTAAAGCCACTGGGCCACACGACCCAATGCGCAAACATATAAACTTGGAAAATGCACCTTTAATGTAGCTTTGTGCAGCACACTTGAAACTCTTTATAAAAAGTACCATACAACTGTAAGTGAATTGGATATCGCCATATTTGTCTCAAAAACAATGCTTTACTTCTACTGTACCTCTTTGATGCTCTTCATCCAGTTCTGAATGTTTTCGAAGGATTTCTCGTCTGTGATGTCGTACACCAGGATGATTCCCTGCAGAGAGTAATGGAGATGGTAGTCAAAGGTATAAAAGTCCCAGACGCTGACGATGACGCAGTATTTCTTCGTTTTATAGGTGACCTGAACTCACCATGGCACCTCTGTAGTAGGCTGTTGTTATTGTCTTAAACCTCTCTTGTCCTGCTGTGTCCCTATTAAATTAAGCGCATACACAATTAGATACAAATGAGAGAAAATATGTGATGTGGTGGATAGGAACATAAAGAATGCATAAATTAACCAGATGTCATGAGTCATTTGGAAATAATTGAGGCGGAAGTTTCCATGTATACAGGGAAATGAGAGGAACCCAGTAACATATTTTATCTTCAATCTCAACAATGTTAGATTCAACACAGCAGATGAGGACATGTGTGTGCTTACCAGACTTGCAGTTTCACTTTCCTTCCATCTACATCAATAGTTTTCACTTTAAAGTCAATACCTTTGGGGAAAATATAAGGGTAAAAATAAGGACATGAGAAATGTAGCAGAAGCAGCATAAAAATGTGCTATAAACCCACCCACTCCACACACAAGCCATTCATTCACATGTAGGTCACGCACACAGACCATTTTGGGGTTTTCTATCGTCTCTTTTATAAACATCATACAACACAATAAGCAACTGCATTGTTTGTTTTTGTCTGACAAAGACAAACCAGAGGAGACTTTAGTTGAAGAGCGGAAAAGGACTTCTGTTATGTTTTACTGAATAGAGAATTCCAGAGTGGTTGACAGCTAATCTACTCTTGGTTTTGTGCCAGGGGTTGCACATTTACAAAAGGGCGTCCAGATTTACACACACAAAATTACACACACACACACAAGACTTATTCTTAAGTTTGGGAATGTCCATTTGAAGTCTAGTCTTCGCCTCCATGGACTAGACTGGGACAAGAACTGGACCAGACAAAACTTACAGCAGGATTTCCCACAACAATACATGTGTGCACCCAAACTATGTGGGATTTCAGAGGTGACTTTGACCATGTGGGCCACATTCCTCGTTTCCACATGGACAACTTTTGAAGTTTGGAATTTCTTTAGTCCTAAAACTGGGTTATCTAACTTTTTTCGTAAACAATACCTTTAGTTTATCCCAACAGAAAGCATTTTTGTAAGTAACAATGTATGAACAAACCCAAACACAAACATGATGGTTTTTGCATACTATGATAATAATATAATAATCCTGTGAGCCACTATCTGATACTTTGGGCTGCGAGCTGATTGGTTAAGCAAGAGTGGTCCCCTCTTTTTCACTTTTTTGTCTGAAAAGCAGATCTAAAAATGCAAAAATACGTCAAAATTACATTCATGTGAAAACTAATGAGACCCAAACTGTCCTAGATAAACAATGAATTTAAATACAATTTTGTGGATTTAAAGTTAGGTACTGCAGCTTTAATTCCTACTCCTACAGCCTTAAGTCTTTAGTCTTGATCTTATCTAAATTAGACTTGTTATATGGTTTATGATTTGACCCTGATTCAGTCCTGTCTTGCATTCACTTTTCACTTGTTGAATGAAACACATGCACAGTTCTTTTCCAGGCGCTGAGATGGTTAACTGAGATAGGAATGAGGGTGGGTGGACCCTTGCAGAGCCGAGACAGAGGAATGAGATCACAGGCACAGATGGGGGGAAAGGGTCAGGGAAGATACAAAAACAGATATGATACAGAACAGGGATTGTGGTGATCTCACAAAGGTGACTCTCTGACAAGTTGAAACATGACAGCAGTAAGTAACTACGCCACACTCAATGGGAACCAGTTTTTAAGTTTTTTTTTCCCCAACATCAAGCACATATAAAAAGGAAGTGTGGTTAAGAAAAAAAGAAAAAAAGTCAAGCTGGTTGCAACACTGTATAGCAATAGTTTAGTAATTGCCATGGATGCGCATGTGGCAGTCATGACATGATATTTACGTACCAATGGTTGAGATGTAGGTTGAATTGAAATTATCTTCTGCAAAACGAATGATAAGGCACGTTTTTCCCACTCCACTGTCACCGATTAGTAATAGCTTGTACAGAAAATCATACTTTTTTGCCATGTCGGAAAGCGCAAAGTTCAGTCACTCCTTGGGAATTAGAATGAAGTAAGTGGTTCTCCTGTATGGTGGTTTTAAAAGGGCTTTTCCATGTGTTCCACAGATCCCACTTTTTCCCTTGTCACCGGCAAATTCCGATCCTCCTGAGTGCCTCCGCTGTTGTATTTTTCGTTCAATTAAAACTCCACTCCATCCGAAATGAGCAAAGACGAACACATTTGCACGTCCTCTGCTCTAAATACATCCAAACGCAGTGTTTGACATCTCCTTTGACAGGAAAGTTTCAACAGTTTACAAACATTCCGGGATTGCTACGTGTTTCCAAAAACTTTGCTTCCACCCGGATCCACTACGTGAACGTCTACGTGCTCTTCAGACAAGCGGCCTGCACGGACAAGGCGCAGACACGAGATGGCGCTGTTTCACCATATTTGTTTCAGAAGAAGAAATCCCACATTGGGGAAATTTCACAAGTTTCACAAGCAGTACGAACGAGGAGCACACAACACAAGATCATTATTAAGTATAGCACATCTCTATATAAGATAGAAAATAGAATAGAAAGTATAAAAAGTACAAACATGGGAGGGATAAATCTGTACTCTCGTGCAAAAAATATATATTTGCACATCTGTACAAGCACATCTGTACAAGATCTATACATCTGTAGATAAATCTGAAAAACACTCACTCAAATATTTACAGTGATGATACTTTACTGTATGATTATGTGTCCCATTAATCATATTGCTCAGTTAGTCAAAATAAATAACCTGATCAAAATATATGAAGAGTTTATTTGAAAAAACAGATAACTTCCATGAGACAAATATTTGAAAGGCTTTTTTATGAGGCCAAAGACAATTGTATGAGTGCCATACAAATACAATTTCACTCCATCTTTAGATAATTCTTTCAAATTTACCACCAATAACAAACCGTGTTGAACTCATAGACTGCAAATATTTACCAGACGTTGAACCAGACGAATACATCTATTTGACAAATGTTCAAAACGGAGATATCTGTTTTTGCAAATGAACCTGTTAAGTAATAAATATACAATCTGGGAAAAAATAATGTAGGATTAAATATTTTACACTATTTCGACCTCGTGAATTTTAAGTTTCTCTTTTTGAGCTGAAATGTATGTACTAATTAACAAAACAAAAAACCCGTTTTATTTCTGGTTCTTAATGTTCGATTTGTTTTTCTATTTTTTACAACGATAACAATGAGTCATATTTATACCATCTGCATTTATGTAGATTTTAGTTTCATTTAATATGTTTGAAATCATTGTTACATATTTCCTTTTTGTTGTTTATTATTGCACCCCCAGCTTCCGGTCCGGAGTGGCAGTGATTTCCGCTCAGAGTCGACACCACGCAGAGATGCCAGTAAGTAGTTAAACGCATATATTGTAATAATCAATGGAGGAAAAGTGGTTATTCCACAAGATGCCGCGGGAATATTGCTGTAACCCGCTGTTGTTGATCCTTGTTGCGTTGTATGTGGTTATTTTGAGTTAATAATCCTTGCGGTCGCGTAATGGCGAAGACACGTGCTGCAAAAAATCCACGTTGCTAAAAACAAAATTAGCTTGGATGAAGTGTTAGTTTGGTATTTAACAGGGTGACGGCCATCGAATCGGTATACTCTAAGTTAAACCTTTGTTTGCATGGTATATGCGTTAAAATGGGTTAATATTTTGTAACAAATAGTGGTCACGTGGTCGTCCCTAGTCTGGAGAAGGATGTTATTTCCTTGTCTTGAATCTCGAATCCACTGAATTACGTTATATAACTTGTCTGTTAAGTAGCTCTTATGTTACTAATCATATATTTTGTTTTCTGCTTGAATCTTTAGCTTGCAAAGGATCTCCTGAACCCGTCCCCGGAGGATGAAAAGAGGAGGCACAAAAAGAAACGACTTGTGCAATGTCCCAACTCTTACTTTATGGATGTCAAATGTCCAGGTCAGTGGTATCTGTGCATTTTATGGTAGTATGTATTTGTATTTGTCATAATACACATGTTAAAATCATGTTATTTAGATAAAATGTAAACAAAAATATCACTTAGTAAATGCTCCCTATTCTGTACGGTAGGTACGTCATCAAAACAAACTTAACATTTGTGTGCTTGCCTTTATGTGTTGCCCTATCATTATTTCTCCCAGTGACAAGGGTGTCAACTAAGGCATACAGTAAATTGTGTGGCTGTTAAATTGGGTGGCGCTTGGCCTTTCAAATCAACACTTGCACAAACACTTTCCTGCGTTTATCAAAAGTCAATGATTCACATGTTGCTATTTTTGATACCTCTTTGTTTGCTTTTGAAGGTTGCTACAAAATCACCACAGTGTTCAGCCACGCTCAGACAGTAGTGCTGTGTGTCGGCTGCTCCACAGTCCTCTGTCAGCCCACGGGAGGGAAGGCGCGGCTCACGGAAGGTACCCACATCTTAAACTAGGATGTCCTACTCAAAACTTCTGCGGTTATGTAAAAAAAACTGTCAGCTTTTGCACAATTTGTAAAGTAATGTAGGTATAACTGCCTGCTGCTTCTGAAAGTTCACTGGTCCTTGTTTATCTGGCTCAGTAAGACAATTATGAAACTGCAAATCTACTTCACTTTTTTAGTTGTACATAAGATACCTCATGTTAAACACCTTTGCTTGACTCTTATCTCTTATTTTAGAATTCACTTTATCCTCTTCCTACCCATTCCAATTCAATTGTGACTATGTATTGTTTTTTTTGTAAGCTTACCGCTATTTCACACTTGTTGTGCTACATCTAGTTTTTATTACATTTTAAAACTTCTCCTAATCAACACGTCTATTGTTAATTGTGAATTTGAGATTATGGGTCATGAAGGAGCACGACAGCGCTGGCTATTGCTGGGAAATACTGCGATCATAACACAACACGTGTTCGTCTTCAAATGTAAACATTGAGGGATTATGGTGTAATGGGCTGAGCATCATACAGGAGATTGTGTGAATATGGAGAAGCAGTGCCAATATCAACAACTTGCTCTTATTCTTCTCAAAACGAGTTGATTCCGAGTTGAATATCACTTTGCTATTGCATTGCATGTAAGCTCATTTGCCTTTGTGTTGCCCTTTCATTTGTTTCTTTGTGAAAAGGGTGTCTATCGAGGCATACAGTAACTCTGGCAACAGATGGATGTATCTGGAGGACTTCTGACGTGAATCTTTCAACTCTCATCTGCCAGAATAAAATAACTTTAGCAATCATTGACTTAGACACGGCACTATTATTGGTTTAGGTTTCATTTATTTTGTCTTTTAGTTGTTTTAATCCTTACTTACTATCTGTTCTTGTTGTATTTTGCAGGTTGTTCGTTCAGAAGGAAACAGCACTAAAGTGATAGAGGGTGTTGGACTTTGGATGAAAAGGAGAGGACCATGGTTAATGGTCTTGAGGCAATGCCTTTGAGCTGAGGCTCACGCAGAGACCAGTGTTGGATCATGTACACAAACAAAATCTGTTTTTTTTTTAATCTGCAGAGAGGAGTGTTCCTACAAGTCTTAATAAATCAAGGTTGTGTTTGGGAAAGGGGCTGCAGTACAAGTTTCCTCTGGTTCACCTTTAAATGTATTTCTCCTATTAAATTTGACTCAACTTTTACAGATTGATATTGGAGAAAGGAATACAAAATGCAAGACTTGTGTGGTACAACAGTAAGACTAGAAATGCTATACGTCAAAGTATCTTGATTCATTTTTAACAAAGTAATCATGTAAATGGCAAAATCGAGTCGTACTTAAAAGACATCTAAATCATGCTGTGGTTTTCTTCATGCACTTACATCATAGACTGGGGATCACAAATGTCAAAGGGTTCGAGTTTAAAAGGAAGTAATTAAACATGAACAGGCTTTTGCGCCAATATGCCTTTTTTATTTTGTACTTGGGTAAAAATAAAATGGTATGCAAAACATTGGTCAAATTATTTCACTTCATGTAGATGTATATAGTTATGGTAAGTTTTAGTTTGCTGTTGAAGTAGCTATAGCTGGGTTCAGTGGTGCATCAGAAAACAAAATAATTGTAAGTGATTGCTATGGGTTTAACTGTACTTTGTCCTGTCTTTATCTAATATGACTCAGGGGGTGTGTATTTCAATTAATAACCTATTGGACTTATGCGGACAAGAAGTGCATCATTTACCTGGATATTTCTCATGACAAACTTCATTCCAATTTTACAATGTTTTCTTTGACAAAAACAGTTCTGGCCCAAGACCTCCCCTTCTGTCTAAATTCTTCCATTCTGGTACATTGTAATATGTCCTAAAACACAAGATAAATTGTCTCAGGGTTATAAGGAGTGAGATTTCTCCTCTAAACCACATAATCGATCTTGTTGCCTGTTTCCTCGGTGTAAAGTGTTGTGTGCACAGCGTACATTCTCACACCTCTGTGAAAAGAGCTGTGGTCACTGATGGATGCTGCTCCTAAACGGCCAAGAGCATTTTGGGAAAGAACATCACTCATTGTGTCCGTGGTTCATATTAATCTTATCTGAGTCTTTGATCATTTCCTGCATTAATTATTTTTGCCCAAGGATCTTAAATAGCCCTCCCACTCATTTAGGGGGAAAAGAGTGACACATTACACTCTGGTGAAATGAACCACTCTGTACAGAAAGTGAAAGCTGTCAGTTTCACATAAAGAGACTGTTATAGAAATATTTTAGTAAAGCAATCTGAATTAACACCAAATAGTTATGAGTGTAAGTTATTAACTAATAGTCAACTCTGGATTCAGATACAGGCCATAGTGCTCTGTTGGCAGCGGGTCAGTGATAGATGGAGACGTGCTGCATCATGTCTTTGACCTGGGTCATAGAACAATATGTTCAGGTCAAAAGCAGATTGTTACATATATCAGAGTTGTATCAGCGTTAGGAGGCGTAAAGAGAAGCCTTGAGCAACACATATCAATGTTGACTTCATTTATGTAATATCTAGAGTAGATATGTGTTTGTTTACTCTGGTCTATTTAATGTACAGTTATTTCCTCAATCGGGGCAGTCGATTTCGGACGGCTGCCCGGTGGTATTGGTATCGGTTCTGTTATTCATTGTAATTGTGCACATTTACTAATGAATAAACTCACACTTTGTTTGGAATTACAGCTCTGGGTTGTTTACATTATTTTACTCTTGTTATGTGCAGTAATTCTACAACAAGACAAACCTTTTAAAGACATTTAATCCCCAGAGAAAATTAACCTGAAAACAAATCTCAATTTGATCATGTTCATTTGTTTTTATTTATGACATGTCTGCGTTTGATATTTGTTACCACTAAATTCAAGATCATGAAAAGACTTTAGATTTTATATTTTTATTATTTGAGTTATAAACCCCATAGTTTAATCTTGGTCTTGTAAATAAATTAATCAGTCCTAGTCAAAAAATACCTACATCTTTAATAATAACTTGAATTTCAAGTGTTTTTTGCCTGTGACTTTGAGAAAACAATTGCATCTTATATTTATATTTATAAAATACGTGTAGATCTTGTATTGATATATTAGGGATGTACTGGTACCAAACATCAGGTTGTCTCTGGATTGGGTCAGTGGTCTATCCCTTTGAGTCTTTGAGTTGATGTAATAATAATTTACTGCTAATATTCTCCCAGGACATCATTTAGTTTTGACTTTGATGTGATGTGATGATGAACAATAACAGCTAAAAACACAAATAGACTCATTTTTTAGTATGTTCTCGTTGATTTGAGGGGAAATGTTCAGGTACCAGCAGATTATGAAGACCACATAATTGGTATCGGATATAAAAGAAAATCTGAAAAATAGATGTTTTTGACACAGAAAACGTTCAAATTACATTTACGTTTATAGGTTCTAACACATTTCAGTGATCTGATTGTATTTTAAGTCACATCCCTGAATCCATGAATTGAGACCAAAACAAACTGGAGAATGGGCAAAGCCTCTCCCTCACTGACCTACATTCATCTTTCAAAACTGCTGGAGCTCCACTGTGCTGACACCAGGAGGGCAGGGCCACAGATGACAAATCATGAAATGTAAATGTTCCTCCAGCGCAAATAAACCACTTTATGCAATATTCAGTTATGCTAAACATCAACGTGTCCAATGCCTCACCATCCGCCCGTCTGCCTGAAGCCACCCTAATTGCAAGGCTATTCCTGTCATCAATAATAGGTCTCAAGGTATCATCATTTTTCACATAGGCTCATGGAAGCCTAAATGAATTTGACTTCCATGTGTAATTTGTGATATTGCATCCAGCCAATCAGCAGCTTTCAAAGTTTAAGCTATCAAAGCAAACAGGCCTGTGAAGGAGCAGCTGATTGATAATCAACTGTTTCAAAGGTCTTTACTCTGTTTGAATGGATGCCCATTTTTTGACAGTTATTCTCCTTCATTGACAAACAAATATTAAAAACGTTGTGAATTGAATAGTAGTTCAATGACTAAAATAATGACATTGACTATAGTTAATAATTCCTAAAAACTTACAAGCAAGTGACAGTGTGTATGACTGTAATTTTTATGGCTTTTCGGATTTTTTCTAAATATGATCCAGTTCAAATATCTGTTTTTCCAAACAATGAATCTCGGTGCAGGTGCAGTGAGGTGTGTGCACAGGCACAAAAAGGAAACCCCAGAGTTCAGCCGAGTCAAACTGTTAAATCATCAGAAGTCCATGAATGTCCAGGTTTCCATGCAGAGGCTGATCTAAGACGAGTCCTTCAGGGACCAGGCCTCCAATCAACGGGAACGTTTTTAGGTTAACCTAAAAACCTAAAAATGATTTCCATTCACTCCACACAGAAGATGATGCCATCACCATCCATTTACTCTCTCATTACATTCATGCCTACGTTTTAAGCGGTAGGGGAAACTGGAGTACCCGGAGCAAACCTACGCATGTGTTACGTTCCCCTTGGCTCACAGGGAGGCAACAAAAAGGAGGAAGGACACGGCATAGACTTTTAAGGCTCACTGGCCGTTATATTCAAACAATAATATGGAATCAGTGTAAATGGTCTGGGATGTACAGTATGTAGTGCGTGAATAACAGTATGATAACCTTATGTGTAAAGTGTGCATGTGTAAAAGGTGTAAAGCGGCGTGGCTGGTGGCGTGGTGTGCAGGCCCAGACCCTTTGGACAGGTCCAGGTGTCTGCAATCGGAGAGAGAGAGCGAGAGTGCTGTCTGGGACGCCCCTCTAAAGTCCCAGCGCAGGCCCTCAGCCAATCCAACCCTGCACACAAGAATTGTTAGAGCAAGGGGAGGAGGGCACGCAATCCCATACCTGGGCGCGTATAGCATGCATGGGGAGAACATGCAAACTCCACACAGGACCTTCTTGCTTTGAAGCACAAGCCCAAAGCCTCAATCCTGGTTTGACCACAGGCAGTAGAACTGGGACTTTCACAAGTCCTAGTCCTGGTCCAGTCGATGCAGGGTCTAAGGACAATGATGATCCGGGACCTTTAAGGACCTTTAAGGACATGTATGCACATTTATCAACATTTATGAACATTGGTTTTCCCGGCCCCTTTATTGACCAATGGCTACTATTTGTTTGTTTTTAGTGCATGCATTATCTGTTTCAACAGTTTGATTCTCTGATCTGTTGTTGGCAAATCAATCTTTGTTTTCAAGGATTCAGATTAGGGCTAAAATAATATCCCCACACTCTATTGCGTGGCCTTAACTTGTCATGCATGAATAGTTTTAGGTTCCTTAAATATAATAAAAATATGTTTTTAAATTAAGTTAAATTGGTGAAGCTGACATTGGGGCAGTGAGGAGTGGCTCTTTCTGAATAACAGCCGCATTGTTCTGGTCTAGTGTAATGTAATCATTTACAATCAGGAACGATAATTGTAAACCTAAAACTATTGAAAAACTGTGAGATATTTCTTGTCAAAAGAATAAATCGTGTCCCCGTGAAGTCCGGAAACATGGATGTGTGTGTGTGTGTGTGTGTGTGTGTGTGTATGGGAGTGTGTGTGTGTATGTGTGCGTGTGTGGGTGTGTGTGTGTGGGAGTGAGTGTGTGGGAGTGAGTGTGTGGGAGTGAGTGTGTGTGGGTTTCCTCTCGCTGCTTGGAAACCCCCTCAGACGCGCACACTCCAGACGGTTACCACGGAAACCAACATCACTTTAAAGGCAGCAGATCGAGAGGAGTGCGGAGTTCAAACGAATGTGTAATAATGTAATCCTGCTGCTGTGAGTCAACAGTTGTTAGAAACTCAAAATATTCCATAATCCAAATAAAAATGTTATAGTATATTTATAAGGAGGAGATGGGAAAACAAAGGAAGGCCGGTTCTATTGACGAACGGAAGGTAAATAT